GAATTTGAGGAGAGGACATTTCGGGGCGAGGATCTTTTGGTTTGCGACGGGGATGTTGAGGCTGGCTTCGATTTCGTGAAAGAGGTCGGTGACGGTGGCATCTTCGGGGAAGGAGAGGTCGTAGATGATTTGACGGTGCTTCACGGAGAGGGTGAGCCATGCGGACTCGGAGGTTGAGGCGTCGTCTGCCATTGGGGAGTTGGCCATGTTGGTGATGATAGTATGTGGCGATGGTGAGATTAGATTGAGACGTTGAGATGATAGATTCGGTTTGTACTGTATGTTTGAGATTGGGTTTAATAGATAAGATGATAAGGAGAGAAAGATTGGATAAATATGTATTCACGTCCGGCCAGGTTAAAGGTAGAAGTTATTCCTACCATGGTGTTCGGCCAAGTTCGGTGTTGCTTTGTAATACGTCACTGCCACTGCCTGGAAACCCCGAGACACCAGCCTCACGATGACAACCACCAACGGAGATAGCGATCAGACTGTTCGCGATGAAATTGACCGATAAACCCGATAAATATAATCAATTACTGGCTTGGTCATGCTATGAAAGCTATTTTTTTCCGACTTGGAGATTATTATACAAGAAAAAGGGATATCACGGAACACGAAAGACTAACGAAGACAATCATCGCGATGCCCTGCTAACCCGGCTTCGCTGCGAATCATCCCAGCGCATCGGCGCATGGTTCTCGGCTTCTATCTCGGTCACTGCCGTCTCAATCTCTTCCATTTCGGCCATATCCTCGCCGTCGGCCCTCAGTTGGCTTGGGTCACGCATTGCGGCAGCCCTCACCTCGATGAGCCTGTTGACCTCTGCAAGAATGGCATCGCTCTCGGCGAGATGTCTGTTGCGCTCTGCGAGAGTGACGTGCTCCGAGTCGCCGTCGTTGCGCATCGTGATCTTGAGGCTGTATAGCTTGCGGAGAAGGGCAGATGCTTCTTCTAGGTCGCCTACCCAGGGCTTCTCGACGGTTGGGCCGCTCTCTTCGACAATGTCGCGCTCTGCGGCTTCAAGTTCGGACTTTTTGTCGCTGTAGTAAAAGTCTTTGAGCTGCTGGCAAAACGCTCCAAATTCTTGGGCGTCCTTCTCGTTGGCGGTGACTTCTGTTGTCCTGGTGCGCGTGCTGGTGGCATCTTCACCAGTCTTTACGCCTGCGGCTTCATCATCGTCCTTTGGCGGCTTAAGATCGTCAAAATTGTACACGATCCATGCTGCCATGAAGAGGATGACGATACCGGACGCGACGCCAAAGATGATCTTTTCAGTGTCGCGGCTGCCGGCCTTGCTCTGCGCCGCGTGCTGGATGAGGATGGCGTCGTCCGAGATGTTGTAGCTGCTGTTGAACTTGCCTGGGATGGCTACCAGCTTGGCTGGGAGATAGCCAATGCCCCATTCCTCGGTGCTGCGGTTCATCAACTCAACCCAGAGGGTTGTGTTGGTTGTGTAGTAGTTGAGGCCATCCCAGGACTTCATGATGCCGGTTGGAAAGAGGTGAGTTGAGATGGATTGTCAAAGATGGTATTGCAGTCTCAAGCGAAGACAAAACGCAAAATACTCTCTCTCATGATAAAAGAACTGCTCACAGAGTGTGTAGGTGGGCTAGGCAAACTGGAGAGCCGCACTCGGCTGTGCTACGAGAAGCCCCCCTCTCACACCAACAAGGCTGTCATGAAGGCATATCCCGTCGGCACACCCACACCCCCCGGAAGCCCAGAACCTTGGCGATAGCAATTTCCACAACCGCCCGCATCTGCATGCGTCTCCTTTCAACCTTGAACTGAACCAATAGTCCAGACCTGCAGACATTGCAGACACTGCCTCGTTTGTGTGCAAGTCCGACACCCTTGAGGGGTAACAAGACTATCGCAATGTCTCCCTTGCCGCAAGGCAACGAGGCTTGAAAGTGCAAGCATGGGTTGAGACAGGTACGTAGAGATACAATGGTTTGATACAAGTTGATACATTAACGCTGAACTATCCAATAGAACCCCGGTCCCTTTCCCTGCATGCATCTAGGCTAGCCCTACAGCTACATGAAGCCATCCTCCGCAGCTCTCGGGTTGAAGACGTGTGACTCGTTGAGGAGCGGCTCCTCAGGCTCTCCGTACTCTGCCCTCTGAGTCGGCGTGAGCTGGATGCTCGCGCGGTCCTTTGTGACTGTGATTTCGAGATCCATGTCTAACTGGTACCATCCTGACGAGCTGCCGACAGCCTTCCACTGGTTGGGCTTTGGCTGCGGGAGCTGAAAGTCCCACTTCTTGGCTTCCCTCTTGCCGGCTCCGATGCGCTCGATCGTCCTGCCTGATTATGGTGTTAGTGCTATCACAGGTGTGATTGAGGCTATCGAAGCTTACCTGGCGTTTCGTGGAGGTTCGTCGGCGGCTCGTTGGCATGCTCGCCAATGTAATCCCAAGTGTCGAAAACGACTGTAAGTCGGCTGGCAGGGTTCATGCGTTTGGGCAGTTTCCTGACGATCCTCTGCTTGACGTAGAGTTCGTTCTCGATCAGGTCGCCCTTTAGTACGAGCCACTTGATGTTGTTCTTGGCCCGGGCCTTTCCGTCGTGAGTATCTAGATACCGCTGCTCGGGCTCGTGGGAAAAGGTTGCGAATGGCTCTGCGAGGACGACGCCGATGTGGCAGGGGCTTTGATGGCAGACGGGGGCTTGACGGAATTCACCGCCGCTGCTGAGGCCCATTACAACACCTCCTCGGGCTACGGCAGACCAGCTGAAACAGGTCAGTACATGAATGTCTTCTTTAAGGTCAGGGTCAAGCCTACCTCTCCTTTTCAGGCCAGTAGAAGCCGACATCACGGCTCCTGGCAAAGTGTTCGACGCAATCGCGAAGGTATTTGCTTCCAGAAAAGCCGCCTGAAAGGAAGATGGCCTGAAAACGGGTTAGAAGCCATCTCTCTGGGACGAAGGTGATCATTTTACCTTTGCTTTCATGTGCTTGTTCTCGACTGCTGAGAGCTGGCCCTCAATAAGGCGTAGAATCTCGGGAACAGACTCCTGGAACATGATCTCAAGATCAGCGCTCGAAATGAGCAACTGCCCATCACGAATGCCTCGTGCGGCGTCGTTCCTGTTTCCAAAGCCGTGAGGCAGGTTGAGAACTTTGATGTCTCCGGCTTGCCCACGAGCCTTGCGTCCCTCAAACTCATGCTTGATTTGTTGGAACTCTTTGAGGATGGACTGAAGACCAGTGCTCAGAACGACTTGCCCACCGCTCTGATCTTGATCTCGGGCTTCGAGGACGCCTGGGGCTAGGGCGTCGTACTCGGCGCCTAGTTTGGCGGGGAGGTATTCGAAGAGGAAGTATCTGTCGATGCAGGTAGCACCACATTTGCCGCCTGAAACACATTGTCAATAATTGGTGATGTGAAATGGGACAAAGACTTACCACTTGGACGGGTCACCTTTCTAGGCTGGAAGGGACTCAAGCTTTGGACATAGTAGGAGACCAAATCCTAGAAGAACGGTAAGAATATGCATCTCAACGTTTGTGTGGTGTACTTACGACTGTGCCGCCACCGGCGTCGACAACCACGAAACATTCTCCCTACATAATGTTAGCAGTTGATGTGGTGTCTTCAAAGCAGAACATACATCTCGAATGTCCATGATGCCTTCGCTCTGGGCAGCTTCAAGCGTATACTGTGCACACGCTTCAGGTTCTGTCGTCAAGCGTGAAGTGCCGAGCTTGCTGTCTCTGAATCCATATTTGAACGCAGCGTGTACTGCCTTGAAGGTCATGTTCCTTGCCCTCTCATCCCATTCCTATACTCCAATTAGTCATTTCAATTGAATGACAGTTTCACTAGTAACCTACCGCTGGGTGTGTGACGACAATATCAATGGGAAAATCCTTGAGTTGGCCTGGGGGGAGATTCTTCTCGACGGAATTGTGCGCCGCCTTGGCTACCTCGAAGAGATAATCCCGAGTAACATCGTACGGACCCTTTGTCACATGGATAGGAAGTCGAGTACCATTCTCAATGGCCTCACGCAAAATGCGATCATACTTGACGGCACACTTGAGCTTCTTGAGAGCGTCGAGCGTCTTTGGCTCCGGCAACTCCAGCTTGGGCTGCCGGATGACGTACATGTTGTTCTCAATGTCCCATCCCCATCTCTGGCCGTGCTCAGGCGAGTAGGTGTAGAGAGAGGGGACTTTGTCCTGGATGTAGTCGGAAGCCCAGGCGCTGACGACTTGGATGTCTCTAAGCCTTGGTGGACTTGTTCCGTTTACCAGAGCCCAGGCGACGCCTAGAGAGTCAACAACTGGAAATTTACAATGGAAATTGGGGAAACTCACCAGTAAATGTTGTACCAAAGTCGAAGCAAAAGATGAAGCGAGGTGCCTCGCCTGTGGTGCCCTCAATGGGGATGTCGGGGCCAAGATCAAACTCATCCATTGTGGTGTCTGACTCTTTCCTGAATGACAAGTTCTTGCGAGAAAGATAACACGAAAGATGGTATTTCTTTTCAATCAAGGACCCGAGGTGATTAATTGCAGGAGGATATAAACGGGCTGCCATGCCAGCTTGTGCTGGGTGTGAGACTCGGTAATGAGGGGGCGTCTACCTAGACATGTATCTTTCAGGCTCTCCAGCTGGTACGCCTTCACACCTCCACCTCCACAACAACCCGACACGCGGGATGAGGTTGAAAACAGGCGCCGGGGGCTGAGAGTGGCAATGTCGTCGACAAATTTCTCGGGGTGCATTTCTTATCGGACAAGGGGGCTTGAGCTTCTGCCTGCTTGTGCGGCGGCGGCAGCTAGACGCAGCCTCCATGGAGAGCCTCCCAGGGCTGTGACAGGCTCAGCCCGCTGCCCGTCTCGGTTCAAGGCTGTCTCGACTTGTCTTGCCTTGACTTGCAGCGAGTAGAGGGGAAGCTAGAGTTCTTTTGTTCATCATCGCGTCTCTCTCTTTTGGAAAACCAAGTTTGATGTCAAGCCATTGCTCTTCTCTCCTCTTTCACCATGCCTTCCAAACCCCGAGACGAGACCAAGGCTACCAAGCGCTGGAGCAAGAAGCTCAAGGACGTCAAGGGCAGGCTCACCAATAGAGGGGAACCTCAAGTCGAAGAGGTCGCCGCCCCCGAACCGCCAGATACTCCAATTCACAAGCAGTACGCGACTCAGCAACGTGAAGCTGCTCGTCGGCAAGCAGAGCTTGGCTTCACCTCGACTGATAATCTATCGGGTCGAGCAACGCCGAGCACTTCATATTGGAGCAGCGCAACTGCTACTCCTTCAGTCGAGTCCCCGCAGCGAAATCTAGACGGATCGACTCCGGGCACACAATCCACATCGCCTTACAGGTCTCGCATTGAGAGCGGATCTATCTGGAAGAACGAGCACGAGATAGACGGCCAACCAGTCACACAGCCATCCTCTGACACTTCTCGAGGGACGTTGACTCGAAGTCCTCCTCAGGTCACATCAACTCACAGTGATGCCCCTCCGAGGCTTATGGTTGAGCTTCCCTCGGAGCGCATGATAGATACCGAGCCGGTTGAGATGCCAGTGGAAGAACCGAAGCCAACAGAAACAAACCAAGAGCCAGAAGAAGCAATGCGAAGCCAGACAGGCAACACCAGTGGGCGAGATTCGCCCCTCGCGACTCGACACCGCAATGAGTCTTACTCTGAACGAACAGGTGGACTTCCATCGTCGCCTGATCAGCACAAGGCAGGCCCTTCGCAACCTCCAATGGATCCAGCACGAGCAGCTGCCACCCTCGCCTATCAAGCTCAAACTTCTACTGCCACACAGAGGAAGGCTGTTGGTTCAACCACTGGGAACCCTCCATATCCGACTGCCCAGAACGATGCGGTTCCTCCCCCACTTGTTCCACCAAGAGGTGCGAGTGTGAGGCCAGAAGTTGTCCGATCTGAGGCTGTTCGTTCAGATACTGTTCGGTCTGAAGGTGTTCGGCCTGACGCCATTCGGTCTGTCAGGTCTGATGCTATCCGGTCAGAGGTTGCTCGGTCAGAAGTTGCTCGGTCTGAGGCTGCCAGGTCCGAAGCTGCTCGATCAGAAGCTGCGCGGTTAGAAGCTACGCGATCAGAAACAGCTCGATTGGAGGCTTCTCGATCAGAAGCTGTTCGGCCAGATCCTCCCATCAACCAAGACCACACTCCTGACGAACGTGATCGGAGATCAGACCCTGCAAGGGAAACCGATCCTTTCAACTATATAATCGATGACGATGACGATGACAACGACGACCAATGGTCACATCAGTCTACGGAACAGCATGTGGAGTCTGAAGAGCGCCGAGGGACTGGCCTTCGTGACAGATTCCGCAGAAATGGAGGAACCCAAAAACAGCATCAAACACTCCAAAAGCCTGGTGGTCAAAATTCGAGCCTAGACGACTGGTCCAGGAAGCTCAAGGCCTTCCAAAAGCAACACAAGGTTCCAAAAGACCCCTATGTCGACCAACTTGGTACAGTGTTGCAGTGGGCAAACAAGGAGCTCGAAAGGCGTAAACAAGCAGTCGAGGCCAAAGATCAGCAGATCAAGAGTTATAGTGGCTCTGTCGGGAAGTTGAAGGATGAGATTGCGAGACTCAATTCATCGGTTGAGAATCGGAATCGTCAAATCCATCAGCTGCAGGATGACTGGACCAAGGCTGAAAATGCCAGACAAAAAGCTGCGGCAGAACGTGACAGTATACAGACTCATGCTCGCGGCCTCAAGGATACCCTGAAATCTACACAGAAGAAACTTGAGGCAGCCGAGCAGGAGTACCAGATCGCCGTTGGCGAGCGAAACACTGCCCAACAGGAGTCGGCAATGTACCAAAAGCACTACGAGCAGACGACAACTGAGCTACAAAAGGTGAATTCCAACTTGAATCGTGTGGTTGGAGAGAGGAACAAGGCTCGAACAGAATGCAACGGGTACTGGGAGACTGCTCAGCAGAAGGAGCTGGAGCTGGAGGATGCTCTCAAGATCAACAAGCAGCTCGACCACAGTCTCACAACAACAACCAACGAGAGAGATGCTTACAAGCAGAGTAGTGATACTGCACTTGCTCGCTGCTTGGCGCTTGAAAAGGAAAAGAGGGAAGAGATTGCCAAAACGCAGGCAATCTATTCTCGCCAAATCAGCACTCTCAATGAGAATTCCAAGAAGAAGCAGGAAGAGCTTGAGGGCACCATTACCGACATGGCCTTGAGTCATCAAAGAGTGGTTGAGGAGATGACGGCTGAGCATGAAGCTGAAATTGCTCGACGAGATGCTGAAGCCAAGAACTTGGAGGAGAGGTTCAGAGCCAAGTTGAGGGCCGATACGACAAAGCTTCAGAACGAGTTGACGGCGGCTCACAAGCGCATGGCGAGCTACAGTAACATGGACGACTATGTTGCTACACCAGATGATGAGTTCAGGAGCAACTTCTTGCACATTGCTCAGCGCATCAACAACCTCAACTACTGGGTTCCACGGCCAAACAACTACTCGTTCGACCCTGAGCTTGATCCTGACAGCTTCTTGACCAGGAACGCTGAGCAAGGAGGTCGAAACTGGCCCAAGTTTGTACGCCATGTTTGCTGGAGAATCATCATGCAAGGCTTCTTTGACCGGCCTCTTGGATTCGGTGCCCTTGGATGTCAGGGAAGCGATGGCTTTGATGCCATGGATCACTTATTCCAGGTCTTTGCTGTTACCGACACCAAAGGTATGTTACAGAACACATGTTTTTGGTCTGATACTCATGCGATTATAGGTTCACGGGGACTCATTCTACCCAACACCAAGGAAATGAATTCCTGGCGCGCCGACTTCTTTGGGAAACTCCTCAAGAAATGGCGACAGGGCTCGGCCTCGGACGACTACTACCTAAGGTTCTTCCAGGCCAATGTTCAGCTGGTGACAAACGACCTGCTAGCATCTCTACAACGGGCGAGCGGCAGCCGGCTAGATCCTCAGGCCAGCGGTGAGATCGCCGAGTTTGTCGAGGGTCTGGGTACTCTGGCGCTCGAGATGGCCTCACAAAGGGCCCAGATCTACCTAGACTCGTGCGAGCATGGTGAGAGTGCAAACGTAGACAGGTTCAAGGATGAGGCGGGCATGGGGTCTGGTAGTGCTACCGTCGATCTCATGATTCAGCCGTGTATTCGTAGGGTGGGTGATGGGCGGAATGACTTTAGGGCTGAGAGGGTTATCGTCAAGGGAGATTTTGTTTCGGTCAAGGCGGGATACTGAGGAATTTCTTTATAGGTTGTTTATTTCTAACTGTAGATTAATGGATGTATTACACCTTACTCTGCACTCTTGATGATATCCAACTTGTCCAACACTCGAAAGGCATCATATTCATTGCCGCTACTGTCCGGTCTCGGCTTCAATAACCAAGACATACCGAAACTCCCTTACACCACCCGCTGACAAAAACCCCAGTCTCTATCTGCCCGTCCCGCGTCTAGTGGCTTACTGCGGCTGAAAGGGCTTAACGGAGGGCATTCCCCTAGCTTCCCCCACGTCAACTCAGCCCTCCCGCAATCCTTTCGACCCCAGGCTTGCACACACCCTTGCATGGGGTGCATTCTCAACCCTTGTCAAAAGGAAACCCAACATGCGGCTTGGTATCACGAGACGTGCATTGGCTCTCTAGAACGCCTCTCGGCTCATGGGCGCGTCGCGAGGTGCATTAGTTAATATCACATCGGCGGGCCGCTGCGTGCAGAGGAGAATCAGGCTGTGAAACTCACAACTGTGATAGGCAGATTTTCAGACGAAATATTGTAGCATTTCTGCAGGCAGGTCTTTGTCACACAGCCTGCTTTTGAATGTATCTTAATGTACTGATCTAGAGGTACTTGGAGTGACTTGAGAGTTTTCGACATGGGGGTGGGAAATTGTAGAAAGTAGGCTGAGTGAGGAGGCGGATGCAGCAAGGTGCGATGTTAGGCACTCGACTAGAGAGCGGCTCAAGGGATTGAATGACCTTGGGGAAGAAATATCGACAAAAAGGTCAAGTCCTGGGCTTCTCTGCTGAATTCCTCCCTCCAAGACCCCCCAAAAGCCTTCTCAAACATGCAAAACAAGACTCTTTGGAATCTATCTCCCGAACCTCTCCCTCAGGGAGACGTTGTAGGAGCTGTTTTTGTCACGATATGGTTCTTTGCTTCTGGTTTCTTTATCTCGGCCTTCTTTTGGCTGTTGCATAGGCCGAAGGAGCTCTGGAAGGAATTCAACACTATCCTCTACGGAACTGCCTTTCTCTGCTTGTAAGTTCATTCTTTCTCGTGAGGATTGCAATTGTCTAACTTGTGTTAGCTGGTACTTTATCGTCGTCATCGACAGATGGCTACACTTTGACCAACGCTCCGTCGTCTACGGCTACATCCTCCTCGCGCCCTTCTGGGAAGCCTTCCACCTCGCCTCGACCATCCTCCTAATCTGGGGAACATATGCCATCCTCTGGCGGGAGATAAAAGCCAACTCTGAGCGACGCAACTGGTGGTGGGTATCCGCCAAATTCGGGCTCTTTTTGGTATTCATGGTGTCGTTCTTTCAATGGCTGCTAGGGTTTTCTCTGGCTGTTGTTTGGATGAGGTTTTATAGTCTCAACATTATTGCTGATGTTTCGGACAAGTGGACGCATTTTGAACTTGCTACTACGGGGTTGGTCTTTGGGTTTTGTCTCATGATTTTTGCTGCTGCTACGGATGCTATTATCTTGAGGGCTGTCAAGATTGATGGAGAACGGCAAAAGGTTTGTCAATTGCCCTTGATCTGAGATACAACATGCTAACATGGATATAGTATCACAATGTGTTCTACGGCGCTACGCTTCTTCTCCTTATCCGCTCCATACTTCAATTCGCCGTCGTTATCCGGACCTACATGCCTGGCAACACCCGCCAAGACACTCTACTCTTCAAAGACGTCTCTGAAGGTCTCGTCAGCGTGCTCTACTTTTCAGTAATGGCCTGGCTCGCCTGGGACATCACATCCGGCAAGGTCCAAGAGCACGCCGTCACGAGGCCTGTAAAGGGTGAAGTCCGCAAGTACATCCTCGACGAACTCAACGACGGAACATCCCACGGACGAACTCTAGCACCTCCATTCCGTGAGGTGCTTGACAAGACTGAACGAAATCTCGATGAAGTTCTTGAAATGTCGTTTGAGACGCTCAACACACCGAGGGAGGAACAGCGGAAACTTGCGAGACAGTATATTCGCTTCTTGCGCAACAAGTTTGGCACGCTCAACCCAAGGGAGGGGAGGTTCTTCAGTAGCATTGAGAACCGCAACATCTCGGCTATTACCAACTTTACTGAGACTGCCTTTGGGAATCTCGGACGGAGGTCTGCCTCTAACGGCGGCGGCACCTCGCCGGCTTCGACCCTCAATGGATCTCGCACTCAGCGACACGCTAGACAACCTTCCAACCCGAGATTGTCTCCTATTCATGACGATGTTCCTCTTGAGCACGTACGGAGAACAAGGCCAAGCTCGAGGTCGACCTACGCTCCAGTTCCTCAATCCGATACCCAATCTATCAACACGATGCCCCTCTTCCCTCCTCCGGCCAGAAACTACGGTCCAGAGTCTGGAGCACTGTCTCCTCAACCGACTGGTACGCGACCAGCAGTTCGTCCGGTCGGTTCACCGCCTTACCCTTCAACGAACCCCTATAACGCCTACAACCCCCTTCCTGGGCATGAGCGGGATATGGCCTGATTGCAGACTGTGTGGTTGTGGTTCAGATTGTTTAATAGCAAAATGCATGGTTTTCTGTATCTATTGTGTAATTTAGCCATAAAATTTGAGCGGAATTATAGATTCGATTGTCCATCATTATCAACTCCTTTTTCAATTACTCTACAGAAATTCCAAACGCCTTCATAACCACGTAAAAGCACGTAAACATCCATGCCAAATCATCAATCTGTTAATCCCTACCAAAATCTCTCCCCAAATATGGATATCCCCCACTGCTTCCCGTCGAGCTTGTACTCATGCTCACCGACCTCCCAATCCCCATCTTGCGAACCGTAACTGCATTGAACTTTTCAGGCGTGAACCCAAGTCCCCCTTCTGGATCATAGTGTCTTTCTTGGTACAGCCACCGAAGGTGAGTCTGCCAGTCTACCCACAACTTGGACGTCGGCATGGCGTCACCGACTCGTTCCAGCAACCCCGGGGATCTCTGCCGCATCTTGTGCATGAGAAGCTGTCGCCAACACTCTGCTGGACGCTTCGAGTTGGGTATGTTGTGATTTCGACTCAGATACCATGCCATGTTCACGCACAGCATGTCGTTGTTTTCTTGGCTGATGAGCTCGCGGATTTTCTTGACGAAGCTGGGGTGCTCCTTTTTGCTCTGGTTCACGCATGCCATCGCTTCATCAGGGCTAAATCCTTCTCGAACCTCTCGACATAGCTTGTCTCGAAGCAGGCCACGATCGGTATCAAGAGGAATCGACCGGATAAGGTCATCCCCAAGGCGAGAGGGGCGTGTAGTATCTGCCGCAGCGGCACCCTCGCGTTTCGAGAGACACAAGCAATACGCAAGGTCGTCGCGATGAATAGGATATTCGGCCTCTGACGCAGTGCGAAGGAGGTGAAAGGCATTCGAGATGTAGTGATCACTGGGCACTCCTTTCAAACCCTCGACGAAGACGTCACCCCAATGCTCATGAAGCCATGTAGCAGAGGCAAGGGCGCGGCCAAGACCACCAGTAGCAAGGGCGAATCTCTCGCTAGCTTGCCGTTCGTAGAGCTGCCTGTACAGGTATTCCACTGCTTTCATGAAGACCTGGCATCCTGGGCCGGCAAGATCTCTCGGACTACCATAGAGGTTTCGTAGTTGAGGTGCATCCGTGACTGTGTTGAGAAAAGCTGTACAAGCCTGAATCTTGTCGGACAGGTCTTCCTTTTCAAGGGCTCGCTCATAAGCATTCAATGCACGGATGCCATCTGGAGACCGTAGTTCCAAGGCTGCCTCGATCCGCTCAATAGTTTGCCAATCAACCCATCGACGCTTGATGCACATAGTGACGATGAGTCCGATAGCCTCGGAGCCTCGGACGATGGCACGATCGACAACAGTCATGAGACTGTCCATTATATGTCGACCGTTCTTCAGGGGTGGAGTGTCGGCAGCCAGGCGAAAATTGCCACTGCACGACTGTCGTAGATGACACTGTTTCCTCCCAGTAGTATCCGGTCCCTCCAGATCCAAAGCCTCGACAAGTCGATATCGATCCTTCTCAGAGAGTCGTGTCTCCCATTCACGGATCCTATTGAGGTCGGGTTGCCAGTGCATCCACCAGTTTCTATCAGGCAGTGCGTACCCGAGTAGGGTCTTTGCAGGGAGGTATTCCAGTTGACTCGCTCCAGCCACTAGCTTGTATGCAGAATACCATTGGCAAGAGTCTTTTAATTCGTTTAGCTTGGTTCGGAGTTTCTCCTTGTAGTCGGCGTAGCACAGCATATTCTCGACCAAGTGTAGTGGGAGGTAGTCGTCGATGGATTCTTTTCCGATGTGATGGAGATGCCCTATGATCGCTGGGAAGGGTTCTTCGGGTTCACGTTCCCTGACTAGATTGAAGAGAGCCTTGGCAAGAACAGGTACTTCGTTAGGGACAAATTCGTGTCGTATACCGCTTGCCAGGATCAGAAACTGGAGGTAGGCTCGGGCCTGATGTAGAAAAAAGGGACCAGGAATCTCGCATCTTCCAAGTGCCTCCCGCACTTGGCCACGGGCGCCCTCGTGGGAAAAGGCATGAAAACAAGCAAGGACTCCGGCTTCGAGTGCAAAGTTTTCGTTCCTGAAGGGTGCCAACTTGCTGACCAGCAAGATATCGGCATCCAGAGTTCCAGGCGTTACTCTACGACTGAAGAACGAGTTTCCAAGAACATTGAAGCCGTTGCCTATAACGCCGTTGGCCAGGATGTTGTTTGTCAAGGCCTGGGTCTGTTGGAGCGGGAACTGATCGTAGCGTCCCTCTTTGAGACGATCGACAGCCCCTGTCTCACGGATTTGGTCATGCCAGGAGGTTCTGAACGCGAACCGCGGGGAAGTTGGTGAAGACGACATGTGGATGCATAGCAAGAGTCGACAAGAGTAACGAATGTTGTGCCCAAGGACAGACTTTGTGTCAGTCGTGCCGGGTTCTGGCCTTAACCCATCGTCATACAAACGAGCGTCTGTCCCAGCTGTGGTTGAAAGCCCAGGGCAGGTGTTAGTTGGTTGAGAGGGCTGAAGGCAGCCGACAGCCCTCCATCACTTGTGAACTCTAGGACGAACAGCACTTGACAGCGAGCATTCGGCTGCCCTCAGCACAGCCCTAGTGGCGACTAGAAAGCGCCGGTGACCGCTATCAACCCCAATTCTGCCCAGGCTGTGAATAGACCGCATGGTGCGCAAATTGCTGCATGAGGTGAAAGACGGGAGGGATGAAAGTACCATCAGGTCACTCAAGTACAAGGCACTCTGCAAGGTATTCGGGACTAGTAGATCAAAGCTTGGCACAGCGCTTAAGGTGGAGGCAGGGCACCCAGCGAATAGCGTCAAGCTGGGGAAGCCTCTTGGCAGGGAATCGTAGCGTGGCATGGGGGGGTGTTCTATTAACACGGCTGTCCAACAACTGGGGGAGAGGCTCTGCGGATATGCCGGCAACTGGTTTCTCGGTGCGCTTTGCACTTTGAAAACTGGATGAATGACTCTCAACGCGTCCTCACATGACTGGGCGATGGGCGTGAGCTGCTCCCTTCTTGGCGAACGAGGCTTTGTCTGCAGCTCGGAGAGAGTTGACTCGTATCCTGAGATGCCAGGTTTGCAGTTGTGGCTTTCAATATTTCAGCCAGGAACATGAGACTGACAACGAGGTTGTGTTGCACCAAGTTGAGGCTGAAAGCGGTGGTGTGATGAGAAATCAAGACGGGCGATTCGAAGCTGAGACCGAGGCATTGCGCTGAGAAATAGAAACACAGATGAGAGAAAGCCTCGTGGGAGGCCACCTTGGTAGTTCATCCTGTCTCGTCACTCAACTGACCATATCCAGGATTGCTGACGTAGGCAGTGAGAAAGGTCATTGCATCATTCATGAATGGTCCGTTGATGAGGCCCAACATTCAAATCTCAAAAGAGCAAGATTCTCTCAGCCAAACGAGGCTGCAACCTGTGCCGGACCCTCATCATGGTGATCTTGCTGAGAAAGAGGGCATCTGGGTATCCCAAAACGGAACGGAGAAAGACAGATGCACCAGCCACATACATGACACACTGTGGCTAGTATCTGTGGCTCACCAACCACATGCCAGCGCATTACGTAGCTGCAAGGTCCAATGAGCTTGCTATCGCGTCGTGTCCTTTTTCCGGCCGAGTCGAGTCTCGAGATTCATGATCATCCTGCTCCCCTGTCAATCCCTCCAGGCTCAAGCTTGCAACTCTCAACATCATCCACCATCACGACGAGATTCAATTGCATTCGGTCCCTCGCTCGCGTCCGGTTCAACTCCTTCATATTGTCGCCCGACGCCCGCCCGCTGCGCTTCTAGCAGCTCTCTGCGCTCTTGCCCCTGTCTTAGTCTAGCTTCGCGATAAGCACAACACCGCAATCATGTTGAACATCTTTCGCATCCTTGGTAGGTTTCGACGTGGAGGAGCTTGAATGACTGGCTCTAACGGATAGCGCAGCGGATTTTTCGCATCTGGGCAGCATCTTCATCTTGCTGCACAAGATGGTGCAGTTGAACGTGGGTTCTCCCTTGTCCTTGATGGATTAACAATGCTGACAATCACCAGAGCTGCTCAGGCATCTCGTTCAAGTCCCAGGCTCTTTACATGTTTGTCTACGTCACTCGCTACCTCGGTACGACTCTCGATACCTCGTTCGCAATGTCTCTAACAAATCGCAGACATCTTCTCGACCGATAGCATCTACAACTTTGTCTTTAAGCTCCTCTTCCTCGGTTCGCAAGGATACATCATCTACCTCATGACCAACGCATACAAGCCCACCAACGATCCCAACGTCGACACCTTCCGTGTCCAGTACCTCCTCGCCGGTGCCGCCGTCCTCGCCATCGCATTCCCCTATTACTACACCTTCTCCGAGATCCTCTGGGCCTTCTCCATCTGGCTCGAGGCCGTGGCCATTCTCCCCCAGCTCTTCATGCTGCAGCGAACCGGAGAGGCTGAGACCATCACCACTCATTACCTTTTTGCGCTCGGCAGCTACCGCGCTCTGTATATCCCCAACTGGATCTACCGATACTTCAGCGAGCCCAACCACAAGGTCGATTACATTGCCATCATTGCCGGCATCGTCCAGACGATCCTGTACAGCGACTTTTTCTACATCTACTACAACAAGGTTCTCAAGGGCAAGAAGTTCAAGCTCCCCGTCTAAGCGACCAAAATACCCACAGAACCTGTACGAGCAGAGCATCAGGCTCAAGACGCGTCTCGGTCGCGTTGACATTGACATTACGATCAAGAAGCCGCAAGGCAAGGGAACGGCCGCTATTCTGGCCACGACAAACTCCGGCTTCAGGAGATGCATGAAAGGCGTTGGTTTGGGAGGTCGACAAGGCGGTAATCACTGGCGTCGCCGTTTGGCTTGGAGATTTGGGGAACGGACCTTCGATTTAACGAAACGGTAGTCAAAATAGAGTGGAGTCTATTCATGTTCCACATGCTGCTTAGATCCGAGATGTGTGCCCATGGAGGAAAAGTAGGCGACGTGTAAGATTGAGGATGGCCAGTAGGTCATGATAATTGAGTTTGAACCATGAAAGGATGCTATTTCTTTCGTTTGCTGCATCTATTATAACCTGTATTGTTCCGTTGACTTCTGTCATGCCCCCAAAACTTCCTGTTTGGGGATGTTCAACTCCAGGCAACCCATGACATCAATCACGTGATATCGAACTCCCTTAACGCGACATGCTACACCTTGAACCTTCAACTTCAACATCGAAACACATCGCAATCATCAAATCCTTCACTATGGCTAGCGACGCGCCCGAAAAGACAGAGCAGTCTCCCGCTGCACAGAATGGCCCTGCTGATGCGGCGCCGCCCGCTCCTACGATCCCAGAGTCACGACTCCCGTCGCGCAAGGATACCTCGCTGCGAGAGTTCCTGAATAAGATGGATGACTATGCTCCCATTGTATGCTCCCCGCGCTTCGCATCTCAACTCATCTAACTCTCTTTAGATCCCCGATGCAGTCACCCACTACTACATGACCAAGGCTGGTCTTCCTCCCCCTCCGCAAACCGATCCCCGCCTGGCGCGACTGCTCGCCCTCGCCACCCAGAAGTTCATCGCCGACATCGCTGCCGACGCATACCAATACAGCCGAATCCGCGCATCGTCCAACACGAACAATCCTATGGGGTCACTCGGTGCCGCTGCCGGATTCCCCATCCCCGGCCAGCCGACCGGTCAGCCTGGAGCCAAGGACCAGAACAAGGGCGCGCCGCTTGGCATCCAGCGACCAGGCTACGGCGGTGGTGGTCAAGGTGGCAGCCAGAACAGGACGGTCCTCACGATGGAGGATTTGGGCATGGCGGTCGGAGAGTACGGCGTGAATGTCAAGCGAAGCGAATTCTACCGCTAAGTGCTGTTGGTCTTGATTACAACTGAACGAGTGCATACGGTAAAGGTGTTTTGGGTTCAGGCGTTTACGGAGGTTCAGGGTCTGTCAAAGATATCAGGCCAGTATAACATTTTGACTGGCCGCAATAGATTGCTTTCATGCGCGAATGGACATGTTCGTTGAATCATCGTGCTCAGTGATGTTACATGTAGTATTTGTACATGGGTATACCCAGATTCCGGCTCTTGCTCATAAAGTCTACCTCTTGTCCCAAATGTTGGGCTTCCGCGTCCTAGCAACACTATAAGCCAAGGTCGTCACTTGAGGTTATAGCACTTACGGTGAAAACTCGCCGAGCTTGTGTCCGACCATATCTTCAGTAATGGTCACCTCATGGTAGTCCTTGCCGTTGTGAACCTCAAATTTGAGTCCAACAAAGTTGGGCAGAATCGTGGCAGATCGGGCCTGCGTTCGTACGGGAGGGACCTTGTCGCCGACGGACTTGGGCCAGACAATGGGAAGGCTATCGAACGTTAGAAGGTGATGGTATTCGAGTCGATCGTGGACGGCTTACGGCACAAGGTGTGGGCCTGAGAGAAATTGTCAGTTATTAGAAACACGAGAAGAAAGCAATTGACTCACCCTTCCACACAGAGCGCTTAAGGAGAACCCGTGTCGCGTACATTGTCGCTAACACACCTTCGTCTTGGGAAATTTCAAGCCTCCCATCTCCAAAGCCTCAAAATGCGATCGGCTCCACGACAGGGGTGGTGTTTTTCCGGGATGGTGGGCGGGTTGATCCGATGACCCACGTGACCTCCCCTTTCGTGAACGGGATCTCGGCATCGGTTCATTAACCTGAGGGTCGAGATGATGTTCAACGGAGAAACGTCGCCCACCAACGGGACGAATATTGATGTTTCGGTGATAGACCACATCTTTAAGTGGTCATGCGACTTGTCTTGCGATTTTGATGCTTGTATTCAGGGCTCTTTTCTAAGACGCTCTCATGATGGAGGCCAAGTGGTTTTCAACCCCTTAACACTCGCCATGATGCAGGTAGGGAATCCGAAATGCTTCTCAAGAGATTCAATTCAGGTCTAGTATCTGCACATTACGCAATTCTACAATATCAAATCACATTCGATCCTTCTCCGATCTACCCGTGATGGAGGTTTATTGAAATATCAGGGGCCCTGGCTCCTGTTTCAGACAAACAGAAACGGAGCCACCTCCTCCGCAGTGGACGGGCTTCCATTTTCCTTTCCGGGATTCTAGATGAAACCTTGTGCACATCGGCCGAGTCTACCAAGGCAGTGGGCGCACTGAGGAGCCATCATGGCTTGTGGGTTGACGATCCCCTTGTCATATCCCAATGCAATGAATCTGCTGCCGCCGCCGCATCGTGGCGTCAGTAGCAGAGTAAATGGCCTTGTTATTAGAAGTATATATACTCGCCTTGGCTCCCAAGTAGTTTTTGGCTCTGCATGGCTCGTTGATCGATCATCCGACACTCCTTTACAACAGAGAAACTAGACCAAACAATGCGGTTCACTGATCTCCTTCTCGCAAGCGCTGGCGCTTCCCTTGCTTTCGCCGCTCCCTGCACCAAACGAGCTGGAAAGCTCCTGTTCACCGGCTCCAATGAGGCCGGTGGTGAGTTTGGGGAGGGAAACCTCCCTGGAAAGCTCGGCACCGACTACATCTGGCCCGAGACAAGCTCTATCGATGTATGTTTCCCAAGTCGTGAATCTGGGTGTGTATTGACGGTTATAGACGCTCATTGGCACCGGCATGAACACCTTCCGTGTGGGCTTCCGCATGGAGAGAATTACTCCTGATGGCATCACGGGCTCTATTGATGAAGACTACTTCAAGGGCCTCCAGAGTGTTGTCAACCACATCACTGGCCAGTAAGTTCCACAATGTCTATTATTCAGATCAAGGACTAAGAAAGCAGGGGCGCATATGCCGTTCTGGACCCTCACAACTATGGCCGCTTCGCCGGCAGCATCATCACAAACACAGACAACTTTGGTACCTGGTGGTCCAAGGTAGCCAAGCGCTTCGCTGATAACAAGCACGTCATCTTTGACACCAACAACGAGTACCACGACATGGACAACTCCCTCGTGGCCGAACTCAACCAGGCTGCCATCGACGCCATTCGTGGCGCCGGAGCAACCTCCCAGTACATCTTTGTCGAGGGTAACTCCTGGACCGGAGCCTGGTCCTGGGTCTCTAGCGGCAACGGCGATGCCATGAAGGACCTCAAGGACCCCCAGGACAAGATCATCTACGAAATGCACCAGTACCTCGACGCAGACTCGTCTGGTACATCCGAGACTTGCGTCAGCACCACCATCGGCGTGGAGCGCATCAAGGCGGCTACTCAATGGCTCAAGGACAACGGCAAGAAGGGCATCCTCGGCGAGACGGCTGGAGGTGCCAATGAGCAGTGCTACACTGCCGTGCAGGGCGAGCTCCAGCACCTCCTGGATAACTCGGACGTTTGGACGGGCTGGCTCTGGTGGGCCGCCGGACCCTGGTGGCACGACTACATGTTCAGCATGGAGGCACCCAGCGGAACGGGCTACACCAAGTTCTTGCCCAAGATTAAGCAGTTTATTGCTGCTTGAGGTGGTTGCTGCTGGTCGGCTGGGGGCGGATTCGATGTATATACTTTGTATCAACGTACATAGTTTCTTTGTTTTAAGTTGTTGTCTAAGTTTCTTTATAGCGTCTGTGACATTCGTGATTGTTCAAGTGTGCAAAAAGAACCAATTTAGTTACATTCGTCTTATACATGTCCTGGTTATACCCCTTGGTCTCAGGCTGAGAGGCCTTCCCCATATTGAGCTGCGACTCTCATGTATAAGGTAATGCATGATGTTCTCAATAAGACAATAGAGGATTTTCTTGATTAATAAACGCGAGTTTTCGTTCAAATACTAGTTGGGATCCCTTGTTCATCGTTCAACTCTTTGTGTTGTAACATGGCTACATTCAGTTCTATTCAAAATCACAAGTACATCAAGATAGGCTTCTATTTTCAACCCTAGCCTTTAAAGAATGTCATTTCTATGCAATCAAGGTCACACTGTTAATGCCTAACGGCACTTTTCTCGTCTTGAACCAATTACATGAAAGACATATCTTACCACATTTCGTGTAAGTGACACAGGGTAGGTAACTTGACCAACTGACAGGACACCAAGTGGGGATATCACGTGAATGCCGAGATTCTGGAGATGGCAACATGGTGGTGAGAGCCGGCTCCCCAGAGACCGGGGATTGTCCGACTGGAAAACATCAAATTTCTGGCATCCATTTCCATCGCCGTTGCAACCTCTTTTTGGCCGACTCTGCATGTGGCTCATGCGACGTTGATACTTCACAAAGAAGTCGAGTCTTTGACTCTGCTCGACCTCCAGCGGAACCACATCTTCCGACCCTTTGTCTTTGAAGAAGCCACCTTCACACTTGGCGCCGCGACCGACTTCAAACAGCGCAGCTGTAGCATCATTATTGCTCCTTATACTCGACCTACGATCAACTTAACAACACCGAATACTCTTCCCCAACCTCCAGCGATCAGATGCCCAGCGCAACCGCTTCAGGAGCCGACACAGGCGGTTCGGCCCGCTCTCGCGATCACAAGCAGGGGAATCAGGGACGAACCTATACGCCAGACCAGGAGGCAGCAGTTATCCGCATTCGGAGATGCGAAGCCACAGCCTTTTACGATATCTTGAACCTCGAGAGCGTCAAGTCAACATGTACAGAAGCGGAGATTAAAAAGGCATATCGGAGGCAGTCGCTTCTGACCCATCCTGACAAGAATGGACACCCTCATGCGGACGAAGCCTTCAAGATGGTCAGCAGAGCGTTTGGAATTCTGGGCGACAAGGAAAAGAAGGAAAAGTTTGATCGATTCGGTACCGATCCTGATAGTCGATTCGCAAGCGCCCAGGCCAACAACCCCTTCTTCTCGCAACGAGCCGGTGGTGGTATGAACAGAGGCGGCCCGATGTTCGATGATGATTTGACCCCTGAAGAGATGTTTGCTCGCTTCTTTGGTGGTGGAGGAGGGTTCGGTGGCGGTCCATTCGGAGGTGAGTAGATCAGTTTGAGTGCATGAACCATGCGCTAACATTGCAGCTTTCGACACAGGCCCGCAGTTTGTCTTCAACTTTGGCGGAGGCCCCGGTATTCGAGTTCATCAGTTCGGTGGAGCTAGGCCGAGGACGAGACCGCGCGAGGCCAACCAAGGCCGACAGCCCGAAAACAACGGCATCCAGACCCTCCTGGGTCTACTACCCATCATCCTGTTCTTCATCCTCCCAGTTATCACCTCGCTCTTCTCCGGCGGCTCTTCCTCGTCATCCTCTGCTGGACCTCGCATGGTCTACGACAACCCCGCGCACCCCTACACCGAGGAGCGCAAGACGCCGAACCTGAACGTCCAGTACTACGTGAATCCCGACGAGATTGCCCAGTACAATGATGGAAAGCTCAATAAGCTCGACCGAACAGCTGAGTTGAACCTCGTGCGACACTTGAAGGCAGAGTGTGAAAACGAGATCGTATACCGGCAGAGGTTGAGAGATGCCGCCCAGGGATGGTTCTACCAGGATCCCGAGAAGATGGAGCTGGCCGAGGCGTATACGATGCCGTCTTGTGAGCGACTTCACACGCTCGGGATCGGTCGATGAAGAAATTGTACAAGTCAAGCAGCGCTTAGGCGCGCCAGTGGATATTGTTATATGTTTCTTGTATCAGGCCTTTGCTTGGAGTTGGCGTTGTTGGCATTTCTGGGTCTGCATGGCGACGACGAAGTTGACGAGTTGGAATTGGCACGTAACGAGGGGCAATCGAGCCCATGTAATCAAGACATTATTTGGTACGGGCTGTTGGGCCGGAAGACTGGAAAGACAGCGAAGTAGAGTATATCGCATGGGGTGATTCAATGGATTACTCGTCACTATTTTGGGCTGCCCATCAGCCATTTGATATATCGGCTTGCTATTATCAGGGAGTTTTGAGAGATTGCAGCCTTGGTGCTTTATACCATGGCTTGTGAAAGAGTTGCGGTTGGAACTCCACAGCCAACGGTTGTCGTTGAGATTGGAGAGTTTGGTTAGTCTCAACGTCTGTGGCATCTCAACAGACCGTTGACTGTTCCAATTTAACTGGTGATTGGACTCTTTCGGCCCCGTGTATTCGCTGTCATATATCCATCATGTAATAAACAAGTGAGGATCGAGGTGGTTGGGCTATAGTCTGTTGATGGGTCAAAGGATGATCATCCCACTAGAGGATGGAAGTGTCAAGCTTGAGATGGGTGGATGCACTATATTACCACCTATTTCTAGACCTGAATACTCCAAACAACCTAATATACAGCCCACGTCCCTAGTATTATTTCAGGATTATTGAACATCTGCCATCTCAACTCGGATCTCGGATCACGACTTCTCACGACACGCAAGGTTGAACGACACGCCCACGTCATCGCTGTGGCGGCCATGATGTGGCTGGCCAGCTGGGTCACCGGGTGGCGGGGCAAGCTCCAGGCAACCGGTCAACGGACGCGAAAGCTTACCCGACCTTTTCTTTTATAATCAATCAAGCATCTTCTTTCTGCGAGACACATTTGCTTCCCCCCAATCACAGAAGCCACATTGAGCGAATTGTTCACTTTCAAACGTACGTTGCACCGCCACGGAAGATCCAGAGCGGGACCCGCCTGCAACCCAGTGACGACACCGCACTTCAGGGCAGCCCACCTGAGCTTCCCCAAGACAAACAAGAAGCAAAGCTCAAGAAAAGGAGATAACGACACATTCGAACGACGAGATCCATTCCGCGCCGAATTCTACCTCTCTTTCCAATTTTGGCGCCGCCGACTTCATGCATCGAACGTCCGGCGCTTCCAGAACGACCTCGAATCACTTCCCCGCAATCCTCTTGCTGTGGTAGCGCAGCAGCAGGTCACAGCTGGTGAGGCGCTGAGCTTTATCAGCGGACTCCTGCCCATGACATTGCTTTAATCCTTCGATTCATTCATCCTATACCAATATCGAATCAATTCCGAACAAGAAAAACCCACGCTCGAAACCATGTCGAATAATCCCTGGGCTGATGGAGGGTCTGAAGGTGGATGGGAAGATGTTAGGCCACGCCGCGATGGACAAGCGCCCTCTGCTGATGGACGAGATCCTCAAAACGCACCCGCAGCGCTGAGACCTGGCGGTGCTTTTGAGAATTTGGAGGCGGAGGAGGAACATGCTTGGGGAGAACCTAGGAGACAACCCAGTGATGGACAGCGTCTTGAAGGAGCACCCGCCTTTCTAAGACCAGGAGGAGACAGATCCGAGACGAACCCATTTCTACGGAAAAAGGTGCCCCAAAGTCAAAGTCAGGATACGACTCCTGCGGGATCTTTTTCAAAACTCACACTCGACGAGCCCAGCACAAACCCATGGCAACCAGCAATTGTCGGTCAGAATGCGCCGACGCCGCCGCCGCCACAACTGGCCCCAAGCTTGTTGGACGAGAACACCAAAGATCCTTGGGCGCCAACACCACAACCACCTATCTCCGGATCGCCAGCCCTGGTATCACTACCGTCGGGCCGAGAATCACCAGCCTGGGACGAGGATCCTCTAGGAAACAAGGCTAAACCTCCCACTCCGCCTATGAAACTGACGGAAGAGCTTACCGGAGATACTCATGTCTGGGATGAGATAGGAGATCCGAGCAAGGGCAAAGCCAAGGCTGGTGCCGGATCAGCATCACCCGACGACTGGAACTTGATAGACGCAGAGCCCTCGACAAGCTTTTCTAAAGAATCCGCAGAGGATAAACCACCGCTACCACCTAGACAACCGACAGAGCCATCCGCCTGGAAACCTTCACGAGAGCCGGTAGACGGTAAGACCGAGACATACCAAATCAAGAACATCCGATGGCATGACGCGACCTCAGCACAGAACCCTCGAACATCACCTATCCTGATCCAGAACGCAAATGGACCTTGTCCACTTGTGGCGCTGGTGAATGCCCTCACCATGACAACACCTGCCGATATCGAGGACACAGCCCTCGTACAAATTCTCCGCTCTAGGGAGCAAGTCAGCTTGAATCTGCTTCTGGATGCCGTCTTTGATGAGCTAATGTCACCACGGAGGACCAGCTCTGAAGACGCCCTTCCTGATGTTTCAGACTTGTATGCTTTCTTGCAGAGCTTGCATACAGGCATGAATGTCAACCCCCGTTTCATACCAACAGAGAGTATGGTGAACGCCTACAAGCGTACGTCACTGACACATTTGCACCCTACCGAACGTGGCGATTTGATACCGGGAACCTTTGAGAATACAGCTGAAATGGCCCTTTACGCTACATTTTCGATTCCTCTTATTCACGGATGGTTACCCCCCAAGTCAGAGCCTGCGTATGAATCGCTGGAGCGACAGGCCGCTTCATATGAGGATGCGCAAAACCTGCTATTTCGAGAGGAGGAGCTGGAGGAGAAGCTATCAGATCCCGACGTTGGTCTCACTGAGTCAGAACAGCAGCTCTACCAAGATGTGATGATTATCAAGGAATTCCTGGAGACATCGGCTACTCAACTTACACATTGGGGCATCGAAGTCATCGGCAAGGCTATTCGACCTGGCACGTTTGCCATCTTGTTTCGAAACGATCATTTCAGCACGCTCTACTGTCATCCGCAATCGATGCAACTTCTCACGCTGGTTACAGATGCAGGCTTCAAAACCCACGAGGAAATCGTTTGGGAGACGCTGTCTGATGTCAATGGAGAGAGTACCGAGTTTGTGTCGGGAGATTTCCGTGTTGTCAGCCTTAGTGGTGCTGTTCCCGGAACAAGTGCAGGAAACTACAACAGCAACGATGGAGGAGAATGGACAACGGTGCATAACAAGCGTGGCAAGGCTCGACATGAGGATGAGCCCCCGATGAGTCCTAGCACGGAACAGGAGGATCGAGATCTGGCTCTTGCGTTGCAGCTACAAGAGGAGGAAGAAGAGAGACATAGAGCAGAGGAGGCACGAAGACGAAGGGAGAGCATACTTTCGGAGCAGTACATTGAGCAACAGGCTCGACAAACAGGGCCTGCGAACCGTGGTGGCCGAGGAGGCCATGGCGATCAAGCTGGTCGAGGGGGAGGGGCTCCGAGGGGTGGAGGCGTCACCAGACAAGCCAGTGGTCTCGTACCGGGCCGAACTAGTTCTTCCAACGCACCGACGACAACCATGGCCAACGCACAACCTCGACCTGCTCAGCAAGTCGTCCGCTCCCTCATTCCTCCTCAGCGACAGGGCGTAACACGGCCCGCCGAAGCAGCGAGTGAGGAAGCACCTCCTTCATACGAGCAAGCAGCTCAGGACCAGGTGTATCGGCCACCAGTGGGGCACCCAAGTCATGCGGACAGCAGCGCCGACATCTCGAGACAGTCTACAAGGACAGGTTCAGTGTCTATGGGACAACGGCAAGCGGGTCAGTCTGCAGGCAGACGGCCACCCGTCAACCCCGCGGCGGTGCTTGGAAACAATCAATCGCAGCCCAAGGACAGGGACTGCGTCGTCATGTGACATGTTACAGAAGGAGGGTATTTGGAGTTTTTGGCGTGGGAAACATGTATAGCAAGGTGCTGGCATGAATTGACAATATGATGAGTCCAAGTCAACTCATTGAGGCTCAAGTCATAAGATCTGCTTCTATAACGGAGACGACCCCATATTCTCCACTTCTGCTATACGACAACTAATGATTACGAAAGAGAAATGTCGATTATGGAATGCTTAAGTGATTTGTTTGAAAGATGGTGGCGCTTTGTAGGAACTACATGTGAGAGATTCTGGGAGGACATGACGAGTCCTACTGGACGGAGTATCTTTAACAAATGGCTTTCTTTATGCTCCCAAACACCTTTTGTCACAATTGATTGTAATTTTATACATCTTGACCGGGATATCCCTTTCAGAAACTACAATACCAAAAATCTACCTCCTCCGAGTCCGCGTCGCTGGCTTGGGCGCCGGCGCAAACGCATCATCATCCGAGATCTCATCATCGCTAATCTCCACAGCCTTGCTCTGCGTGCCACTGGCCTGCGACTGTGAAAAGTTTAGCTTTGTCTGCCGCGTGCCCTTAGCAGCTCCTCTCTTTGCCGTCGTAGTTGTAGCAGCCTTTGTGGCTCTCGTTGCTGCAGCTCGACGAGTTTTTGGCGGTGGTGGTGGAGCGGGTTCTTCTTCTGACTCCATGACTACATCTTCTTCTTCCTCTTCTTCACTGTCTTCAAAAGGTTTGCGACCACGGCCTCTTGCGGGAGGTTTTCGTGCTGGAGCTGCTTTGGTGGTACGTGTTGCTCGCTTAGCAGGCTTCTTTGGTGGCTCCTCATCCTCATCCATCAGATCGACATCCTGCTGGACAGCTGCCTTGCCTCGACCTCTTGCAGTCTTGCGTGCAGGTGCGGGTGCAGCAGATGCACGTGCGGAGCTCGTACCCTGGTCGGCAGCAGCATCCTCGTAGGTCCAGGCGTCTGGTTCGTTCTCCCAGCTGCCGTCAAAGTCGCTGTCCCATGTAGCGGGCTTTGGTTTGAGAACCCGCTTGCGTTCCGCTTGGGTCGTCGTGGGGGCCCCGCTCGCTTGCTCCTGCTCGATCCTTGTTCGGTATATCTCCATGGCGCTGTTGAGATCCTCATCGTCGGATTCTAGGCCTAGCATCTGTCGGACTTGACCTGTGAGGTGTTCTGATACGAAGAGCTCCATGGCATGCTTGTCGTCCTTGGTCACGAACTGGGTTACAGCGTCGCCAAAGGGACCTTGTGGGAGAACCTTGAGGGATTGTGCTGAGAGAAAGTCCTGGACGAGACTCTCGACCTTGACTGCGTCACTACCGTCAGCCAGGGCCTCGAGGGCGTCTGGATTCACCGCTGTTGTCTTGCCTGTAAATCGTTAGTGACTGGTCGTTCCAAAGCCAGGAGAAGAACTCACGTTGTGACGTCTTCTTGCGGTAAAAGTACACAACGTCGTTCGTGTTGGCCACCTTTCCAACAAACCGATTGGAGAATCGCTGGGGATTCTCAATCTCGAATTGACCACCATCTGTTGCTGTGTACTCCACCTTGAGTCGAATCAGGGGAAGTGGTCGTTCTTCCAGAGCCTCCTCATCTGTCTGGATCGCCTCCCAATCGGCGTTGGCTTCCTCAATCATCTCTTCGACGACTTCCATCAGCTTTCGTGTCACCTCTTGGCGGTTTTCCTTCTTCTTGTCAAGTCCTTTAAAGTTCTTATCTTGCGAAAGGACGAGTTCTCGAGTGACAAAGGGTCGCACGCTCTTGAGTGGAAGCTTTTCAACCTTGAAGTCTTTGCCTGTGACGCTGAGGATAGCGACATGCTTTTGGACGGCTTCGCCGGGTACCAACGAAGTGGCAACTGAGGAGCCAGGCTGCATGACATGAAAACCTGTCTCTGGGTTCTGGGTAGGATCAATTAAACATTCATGCTCGTGACCCCAGACGACAAGATCCAACCAGTCGGGAAGGACATTCTCGGGGAGATAGGATGTAGCTGTGTGGGCGTGGTGGTTCTGGTGGACAGCCAAGAGGTTGAACCAGTCTGGGCTCTGGGGACTGGGGTGAAACCACTTGACCTTGTGGTCTCGAAATGTTCGAAACATTCGCTCGTCTCGAACATTACTCAACCCAAAAAGTGCCAGTCTTGTAAGACCCTTCTGGAGTAGGATGGGCTTGGCTTGGATATTATCCGCCTCGGGAACCCGTCCAAAGTAGTTGAGCAGTCCACTCGCCTGCAAGAGGTCAAGTGAACAAAAGTTGCCCTCGCCAGAAGGATCGTCATGGTTTCCATGAATCGAAAAGACTGGGATGGAAATGTTGATATCGGGGTCTTCGTAGTTGACGTGAGGAAAGGCGCCTTCAAAGACAGACGCAGCATCGGATTGAAATTCGAGGGGGCAGGGTTTCATTCCAAGGCAATTCTGTCGAAGGGTTCGCATGACTTGGTAGAGTGACTTTCGAGAGGGCTTGTTGTCGTGGAAGAGATCACCGGCAAGGAGAACCATGTCGACCTAGGCATGTTAGAGGGGGATGATAGTTGAATGGCTTCTTGTCTCACATCTTCGGTGCGGGCGAGGTTCAAGATCTCGTCAAAGGTACGCCAACTGTCATCCTTACGGATGGGATCTCGTTCTTCGTATCCGACATGATTATCGGTTGCAACGAGGATGCGGATTGTGTCCGCCTCTGCGGCTGTGAGCTGGGGATACCGAAATGATGGACATTAGATGGACACATACCGGTGAATTCGGGCATCTTGGAGGTTCCGTTAGAGGCTCTTGGATGTTTACCAAGGCCAATAGAACGCGGAGACGTGGTGGATGTGCTTTACGCGGGTGCCTGAGTAGAAGACGCGAGGAGGTGAGCTAAGGGTGACGCGACCAATTACGAAGTCACGTGATGATCCATCCAATCCACTCCTCCAGCTTAGCTCCCGAGTCCGTTCAACTGAATGATGTGACGGCTCACCTTTTCGAGCGCCCACGCAGCTTCTGGATTGGACAAGGATGATTTCCAGAAGTTGGGACTAAAAAAAGAGGGCGAGCCCATTTAATTTTTCGATTGGGGCGGGCGGCGCGGGATCTTGCAGCGGGAGGAGACACATCATGCTGGGCCCCTTGAGTGCAAAGCTCGCTAAGGCAGGAAATATTGGGGAATGGCATCAGGTCAGCTCTCGTTGACACTCTCTCGGACCCGTTCCGCAAAAGGGTGACATGTCTTTTTTTTTTTCTTTCGTCCCGTCATTGTCTCTAATGGATTGTGACGCAGGGGGATACGCGATGTTACCTTTGCCACGTTGAAGGGTATGGAGAAAGCTGGTTGAGCATGAGCTTATCAATGCAACTTATTATCTGGCATTGCTGATCTTCTTTGTTTAGTGAGACTTGTGCTTGACGACATTCACGGCGGCACAGGCGCTTCTAAAGCCACAATGGATAACAGGAGCCAACACGTCAACCCCTCTCTTCAACAGAGCCCTGGGACCCAAGATGGCAACCGTCTTGACATTTGACAGGTCAGACAACTCCAAGCCACGTCCCTCGCTAGCCATCAAGAATAAGACCACCACATGGCGGCAAGTGGACCCTTTTTTCAGCACGCCCCCTTTGACCATCGCTTCTGACCCCCTGCTTCTCGTTCCTGACCATCCCGATCCCCCTCGTTCCCAACGGCGCGGCATATTTTTTGTTTTTTTGCGATGGATGTGTGTCTTGCTTTTGCTTTTTGACAATGCAACCAGACTTATATAAACTCTCGGGAGGGCCCGTCGCGTCTTGTGTGGCTCCCCCCAGATGCTGTTTTGCATATCACGACCCGAAGTCTCGGGAACAAGAGTATCATCTTGTACTTCATTCAAGACCAGGCCGGAACCTGGACAAAAACGTGCTCTCGTGGCGCCAGAACTGAAAGAGGGTCAACCATCTGGCCATGATCCCAGCGTCCCAAACTACTAGACTCGCGCTCGGGACCGTCTGTGCCCCCCATCCCGTCATCCATTATCCATCCTTATCCTGCGGCTCCCGGACCTTTTGCTCTCTTGTCCCTGGCTCCTTGTTGGTTCGAAACCTACCTCTGTTGGACTTGATTTAACACTGCATAAACAAACAACCATTGGTTTGATCAGATTGCTCAGATCCCCTCATCTGACCCCCCATCTCCTCGCTAACCTGCTTTTGTTACTCTTGCGGCTTGGCTTGCGGTCCCCCTCTTCTTCACTCCTTCAGCCCAAGGTCCGTTCGCGAGCCGCCATCTTACGATACTCGATACTCCCGCGATCCACACTCGCGCAAAGACACATCGACTACTATTTCTCTCGTCCTTTTCCGCTGCATCAGTTCCAGCTTGATTATCTTTTATCTCATCTGACTTTATATAGCCAGTTCCTGCAGCTTTTTTTGCTTCTTCCTCTTCTCCCATTTACAGCTCATATCCAAGTTACCCCGGCTTCACAAGTCGCATCTCTCTTTCACCCCGCGCTTCTCTCTTATAACCCCCGATCCTTGATCACAAAGCCTCAATCACATCCAAATCGTACCACAGGCATGCATCTCGTCGCCAGGATCGACCGGGATTTCCTCCACGGAGGGAATTTCTGGTCACACAAGAACCCAGTCTTTTCTATCGAGATCCCCTTCTTCTGGCGCAGACGCCCGCGCCTGTCTCTGGGAGATCTGCCTGTCGAGATCTTTGCCACCATCTGCCGCAATCTGTGCGCCCACTGCCAGCGTCAGCACGTTGTCGATCTCCCCCCTGACGAGATCGGGTGCGCCCTCGAGGCTCAGCAGGCTCTGTCGCGCCTGAGCCGCACGTGTCGCCGCTTCCGCAACGTTGCTCAACCTATTCTCTTTCACTGCTACCACTCGGGGAGACAGCCTGATCTGTCGACAAGTCCCGACTGGTGGGGTGATACCGAGGCTAGGAGGCGTGAGATTGAGACTCTCGAGACCTTTCTGCGCACACTCCTAGAGAGGCCGGACTTGGCCAAGGAAGTTCGTGCTCTAGCCTTCTTTGCGCTTAGAGAAGTACAGGCTCGCGAGGTGTCACCCGAGACACAAGCTCTCTTCCGACAAGCAGGCGAACGTGCTGGCTTTCGGGCCCTGCCTTCGTATGACCATGTCGAACCCAAGTGGTTACAAGAGGCCGCCATCATGGCTGCGCCCTTCCTTGAGCAACTACTCATCTACCGGTCATCATCAGAGGGCTTACAGTACTTGAGAGACTCACCCTTTTATCTGCCCAACCTCAAGTATTTGGTGTTGCCTGGCCAGGGCAAATACCCCGACGAGTGCTGTCACATCCAACAGATGCAAGATGTCCTGGCCAAGGCGCAGAACCTCGAGGTGTTGGCAGCCATCGATGCTGACTGTGGAACTGATATCCCCCTCCGTGAGCGCTTCCGCACAGAGCCATGGGATACAGCCCTATCAAGTCTCCGTCGCCTATCATTACACGGCCTAGATCCCGACAACTTGGCCAAGATCCTCCGCCGTAGTCCTGTCCTAGAAGATCTAGAGTACTTTTGCGACATGGACAAGTACACCGTGCTTCAGCACGATCACCTCAGCCCCGTTCGTCAGTCATTACGGCGACTATGTTACACCAGCACAACATGGGAGCACACAAGCGGCGGCGCCGATGACATGATAGAGCAAATATCAATGTTTCTGCGCTGGGACACGTCTCTCCGCGCTGACTTTAGCTTTGTCGATTTTCCGCGCCTTGAGATTCTCGAGGTTGAGCAGCTTCTTCTCTACGGACCTGTGTTTGATGATGAGGAGCGGTGGCAGCGGTTTGATGGCATGAAGGAGATTGGTCCTGAGATCTTTATGGCCAGTTTGCCCTCGTCATTACGCATCTTGCACATCGGCATGGTACTCGCCTGGCCAGAGCTCCACCGCGATCTACTAGGCATGACAGAGAAGCTATACCGGTTCCAAAACCTGAGCATCGTGGCCGTAGACCCCTACGAAGAGCCTCCCTCCGAACAAGTCCGAGAGCTCGAGGATGCGTTCGCGTCAAAGGGTATCGTGTTTCGGATAGGACAGACAACGCAGGTGCCCTTTGGGAGGGGCATGCTTGGCGTGAGGCCGGGCCACCCTGAGCCTCTCGGGGGTCAGGATCTGCGGTTTCCCCTGGATCATAGGAATCCGGGGCATTGGGACTTTTTGGATTGGTAGATGAGGGTGTTGTAAGAGTAGTGGGTTCATGGTTTAACGGTACATGTAATAGTTAGCGAAAACTGCTTTTGAAGTGACATTTGTATGTTATGCATCATGTATAAGGAGCCCAGTCATTATGTATCAAGAGTCTAGTTAGTATGTATGAGGAGTCTAGTTGAACATAACTGACGAACAAGTGATGTAAATATTGGCGCTGCAGGGCTGTGATGAGCATGGATTTTATGTACATCATTGTTTGGACCATCTTTCGATGTCAGGTTCTTCCCACTTCTAATCCTTGACCCATGTGCGTGATGTTCATCACTCAGCAATGTCGGCTGGCACTATCAGACCAATCATGGACGAGAGCTGAATCCAAATAAGGTGTCAGTTGGCAATGTAATTTCCAAGTGATTGGCCGAATGTAAACTTGTAGAGTCAACATACTAAATCACGTTTGAGTTGGTGATGACTCTGAAGCACTAGGTCGGAGGTGTTGTTAATGAGGCACCTTTCCATGATCACCAAGTAAAAAGGGACCATTTGATACATCTATGAGTGTAAAGAAGTGCGGAAGTCCAAGATTAAGCTGCTTGTTAGTCAGTGAATGTTTGTGTCATGGGATATAAGCTCCCTTGGCAATCCTGTGGATCAAGGTTAGTATCGCTGGGCCACCGGATGTCTCGCACATTTATGACGAACCATGACTGAGTTTTAATCATTGTCACTTCTCAGATAGCTATACTTGATCTTCGAGAGGGGTGATGCCTGCAACGACAGGGTTGTTGGTGGATAACTCGGCAAGCGTTTCGTAGTTGTATGTCATTGACATAACCTCACGAGGAACAACTCAACCCCAAAGGAAACATCACTCAATTTAACTGCCGCTTCATCATTCCGTAATTCCTTCTTCTTGAGAAATCTGCGAGGATCAGCTGTTCACGGCCTTATTCACATAGTCTGGCCGAATACGCGGATGGGCAACTAACTAGCCACTGGCTCGCTTGTCGATCTATGCCCACCAAGGTTGTAACTGGGCATTTGTCAACGCAAGTTACCATTTTATCGGAGAAATAGTTTCATCGGAGAATTATCAAGTCGTATTAAGTTATTTGAGGTATATTCATATGATCATTCCATGTATCTAGAGTATGTCTACGTGAGGCCGTTGGGCATGGATGTGCCTATATTGCGGATGTTAGCTAACGAGACACTTCGATCATAACAGCCCTATCATGAAACATTTTGAAACATATTTCAGATACCAACCAAGCAAACCGACAACTTCAATCTGTATATACAGCTTGTACAAGTTCCTATGATTCTCCGAAACTCCGAACATGACCTCAACCGACGGAGAAATGCATCGTCAGTTGAGGGGTAAAAACCGGCTCACATCATCGGGCACCAGACTTGAAAATCCCATGAACCATCGGTCAAAGCAACCACTTCAAGACCCAATCCGATGCCCCATGGGATCAATTCCGCACCGAGCTTCTCCGCCATTGGAGGGGGACGCCCGATTCTGGGGTAAACTGGGTCAAGGCCCCTCTCCCCGCATCCACTTGTGACAAAGATCGTCGTCTTTCAACACCATCAATGGACATCGTCAACGGCCCAATGCCGGCGTCACTACGTCATTTGCAGGTGATGGGTCCTTCCACGAGGTCAAACAGGTGCTTGCATCCCCACTTGTTTGTCCCCGCAAGTTGGGTGAGTTTCTGGGGTAGTCTGGGAGCGTGACTTTTTTGTTTCCCCGCGAGTTCAGGTTTTTAATGGTTTCGAGTCGGTCCGAAATCATTAGGATGGACTGATGCGGAATATTGCCGTTGTAGTTGACGGTATTGACGTTGCAAGTGTACGAGATGGGATATATATTGTCCATGATGCCATTGAAGTTGTAGTGCAAGCGCGGCAGTGAGCTTCCAATGTGCCCATCATGACAGCCTCGTATACTTTTATGCAGCTCTTTTTGGCGTCTTTGGCTGTTGGCCAGCAAGTCTTCTTGCCTGCTGAAGGCCCAACGACTCGCCCTCAATGCAAGGCTGGCACCAAGACGAGAGAGCCCAAATACACATATACTCCTTTCAGTTACACCCAGACGGACACTATCAGATATGCTACCTCGGTGCCCTCTCCGACTACGACAACAACATATGCTGCGCCTCCAGAGGCATTGACAACTCTGCTGCCCTCTCTCTCTTTCACAACATGGGGCAAATGGGATCCCAATGCAACGACCAAAGCCTCGGACACTGATGATCCCTATGGGCAGGCTGCATGGACTGCTCTCTGGGAACACGCAAACCCTCCCAACTTTACCGAATCGGCCTTGTACAGCACGACAGTATCTCCTACCCCTATCCCGAGTGATGAGCTCGTGCTGCCGCCGCGAGACTACTTTGGCCCGAGCGACTGCTACAACTTTCCCAAGAACTTCTCCTTTGGGGTCGCCAGCTCGGCTAGTCAGATTGAAGGAGCTACAGCTGAAGCGGGCAAGTCGCCTTCTCTCATGGATATCCTCGTCCGAGACGCCCGGCCCAAGTCGTACGTGACGAACGAGCATTACTATTACTACAAGCAAGACATTGAGAGGGTGGCTGCCATGGGTGCCAAGCACTTCTCATTTAGCATCGCGTGGACTCGAATTCTCCCATTCGCCCTACCGGGAACCCCCGTAAACCAGGAGGGCATTGACCATTACAACGACGTGATCAACTTTATCCTCGAGAAGGGCATGGTGCCCGAGGTGACCCTCCTCCACTTTGACACTCCTCTTCAGTTCTTTGGCAGCAACCTCAGCGTGGCCGCCGACCCCCCGCTGATTGGGTATGTCAACGGTGGCTACCAGAATGAGACATTTCAAGACGCCTTTGTGCACTATGCCAAGGTGGCCATGACACACTTTGCCGACCGCGTCCCGGTGTGGTTCACCTTTAACGAACCGCTGCTGTATTCGTACAATGCCAAGTCAGTCTACAACGTGGTCAAGGCCCACGCGAGGGTGTACCACTGGTACAAGGAGGAGTTGAAGGGGCAGGGCAAGATCTCTATCAAGTTCAACAACAACTTTGGTGTTCCACGGGATCCCAAGAGCGAGGTCGACGTGTACGCTGCGGACCACTTCAACTCGATCCAGCTCGGACCCTTCTGCAATCCGATTTTCCTGGGGCAAGACTACCCTGACTCGTTCAAGCAGACGTTTGAAGACTACGTGCCCCTCAGCAAGGAGGATCTCGACTACATGGGCGGCACGGCCGACTTTCTTGGCATCGACCCGTACACTGCCACGGTGATTGCGCCCCCGGTGCAAGACGACAAGGAGAGCATCCTCGAGTGCGCCGGGAATTCCTCGTCGACGTACAGGCCCTACTGCGTGAATCAGACGACGACGAATGTGTTTGGCTGGGACATTGGTTACCGCTCTCAGACTTACGTTTACATTACCCCTACATACCTCCGCAGCTACCTGAACTATTTACATAATACCTGGAGAACCCCTGTCGCCATCACCGAGTTTGGATTCCCCGTGTTTGGGGAAGCTGACAAACAGCTTGTGGATCAGCTCTTTGACACGCCGCGGAGCATCTACTACCTGAGCTTCATGTCCGAGGTGCTCAAGGCCATCTGGGAGGACGGGGTTGAAGTGGTCGGAGCGTACAGCTGGAGTTTTGCGGATAACTGGGAGTTTGGGGACTATGACGCTCACTTTGGCATTCAGACGGTGAATCGGACGACGCAGGAGAGGGGATATAAGAAGAGTTTCTTTGACCTGGTTGATTTCATGAAGGCGAGAGGTGTAGAGTAGGGGGTGTGGAGGAGAGGCCAACCGGGTGCTGGTGGGCCTTGCACGGTCACTAATTCATTTTGGGAATGTCTATCAAGACGGTTCAAGGATGTTTTTGACGATAGTGAATTAAAAATTGCGTGAGAGTTGATGATAGCAAAAACAAACTTTGAATAGAAAAAGATAGTATGAAAAAACTCTGAATCAGCCTAACTCATGCGATGCGGCAATTTCAATGATTCGTTGTCGGACCGGGGACCTCACTATTTCAACTCGTCCCGTCCACCGGCCGCGCGTTGGGCGTAACGGACGAAGGAAAACGTGGGTCCCGGAGTCTGGAAGCAATCTTAATCACAAGCCAAGCTTTTGCTCCGGAGGCCAGATCCGACCCCGGGATCCCGAAAGAAGGAAATATCGCACCGGGGGGAGGTTCGGGGTCTCCGGGACGAGGTTCTGTGAGTATCTCTCCGCACTCTGAATGCATCTCCATGGGGTTCCAATTGGGGTTTTAGCTAATAATAAGGTAACAGTTATGTTTAAACAGAGGCTTGATGCTAGCGCGCAGAAGCCGGTTTTTGTTTAGAGGTTAGGGGGGGGGGGGGGGAAGAAGGGGGGAATTTGTTGGTTGGAGTGAACAAGGGAGAAGACTACGACGCGTGATGTGGAGATTCTCTTCTCAGGATAAGAAGGAATGGATGCTCCTGGTTGGATCCCTTGTCCTTGGAGGCAAAGACCCAAGAGATCCATGGTGCGGAGAAGAGAAAGATGAATGGACCGTGGCCCGTGCTAGAGATAAAGATCACGAGAACAACATGCAAATTATTGGCAGGGGATCAAAGGAAAGCCCAGGGGTGTGCCTCACTGGAACGGAGCCCGAGGAGGAATGAAGAAGAGCTTCTTGATCAAATCAGAGCTCGTACAAACCCTGGACCTCGTCTCCCCCAACAGGCAGGTTGGTAAAAAAGGCTGGCATCATGCAGTCTCACGGTCCACTCATCTTCTTACCCCGCAGGACAAGACGGCAGATAGGCATAGGCTGACTGGCAGATAAACAACCCGCCAAGACCGCAGTAAGACCGGGGGTTATCAACGACCCAAGCTTTGTCAAAAAGTGAATAAACAGGAGGATGGATATAGCGCACCATGGGACCAACAGAGAGCCAGAGATCCCATACCGACCTGCCCGAAACGGAGAAGGGCGGTGCGATAGCGGTGGGTACTGCAGTTACTGTGCTGCCGTGGTAATATCTCTCTCGCTCTCGTAGTGGAGGAGGGCAGGGCAGGGGGATCACTCACAGTCAGGGAAAAGCTTATCTCCAAGGTTACACTTGGACAAGAGCCAACGAACCAAGGAAGCCGTTCTAGAACTGCGCTAAGTACTAAGGAGGAATCGTTTTCTTTTCTCAAGAAGCCTTGGCGATCACTTGCCGAAAGCTGCCTTGGCTTCGGGCGAGCACTTGAGACACACACAAGTAGGCTACCAGAGGTTTTTTTTTTCCACTCTAATCTAATCTGCCCTGCGCCCGAGTTTGCTGTGGAAGGAATATTCTCATGTGTTGAGACGGGTGAAATGGCTTATTATGCATTGTGGACGTTGCACATGCAACACGGCACGGCTGAGTAGAGACATGCATGTAACAACGCTGCTGCCTCTTCGCGAGGCACACACACACACATCGCCACAGAGTTGCACATTGACCAGGGGATCTGCCCATTCTGCTCTGCTGATCAGTGACAATCCAGGAAAGGTCCTTGACCCCGTCCCCGGTTTACGTTATGGATCGTTTGTCCGCCTAGGGTTCCATCAAGAAGAGTGTGTACACTCCCCTTCGATGACGAGCGAAGGAATCTTGGCGGAGAGGAAGACATTTGACACAAGTTGGTTGGTCGTAGGCAGGGCATGGGTGATTCCTTCTTTTCTCTCTTTCACACGCCCCCCGGTCTGAAGGAGAAGCCGATGAAGGGTAGGCAGTCTGGGGTATTAGGTAATTCTCTGCGACAAAACAAACACAGAGAGATGTTACGAGTCAAGGTAGGGAAGGGATCTTCGTTCTCTATTTAGACGACAGGTCCCCTCCTCCTTGTCCTCGGTTTCTTCTCGTCCTCGTTGTGTCACGTCAAGGGTCCTCTCCATCTTGGGATCGCCATTCAACACTCTTGTCGTTGTTTTCTCATCTGGCCAAGCCCTTGGCTTTTTCTTGTTCCTGTCAAAGACTCTTGGCCTCTTGGCCATCTCCAACAACAACACTTGGCGAGCTTGGCTGCTTCTTTCTCCAACTTGGAGTAAATAGAAACAATGGCTTCCAACGACGTCGAAAAGACGGATCTTGGCTATGATGCCACCGTCCCTACCGAAAAGATCCAGCAGGGCGACCAGGACATGCACATCCGCGGTCTCGAGACGAGCGCCGAGACGTCGCTGCAGCGTGGTCTCAAGGCGAGACACATTACCATGATTGCCATTGGTGGTGCTATTGGTACAGGTCTGATTATCGGTACCGGCAGGGCTCTTGCTCAAGCTGGTCCTGGTTCCGTCTTCCTCTGCTACACCATCATTGGTTTCGTCGTCTTCCTCGTCATGGCTGCTCTTGGTGAGATGGCTGCTTGGTTGCCCATGTCTGCTGGTTTCACTGGTTACGCTTCTCGGTTTTGTGATCCTTCGCTTGGTTTTGCGCTCGGTTGGACGTGAGTATTCGAAGCAATTGACTATTGATATCTGCTGACAGCTTCTAGATACTGGTTCAAATACATCATCGTCACGCCCAACCAATTGACAGCTGCTGCTCTCGTCATCCAATATTGGGTCCCTCGTGAGACGGTCAATCCAGGTGTCTTTATCGCCATCTTCTTGGTCATCATCTGCGTCATCAACTACTTTGGTATTCGATTCTTTGGTGAGCTCGAGTTCTGGCTCTCGTCGTTCAAGGTCATCACCATCATCGGTATCATACTCTTCTCCCTGGTCGTCGCCCTCGGTGGTGCTCCTGATCATGACCGAAGAGGTTTCCGATACTGGAAGAACCCTGGGTAAGTTGACACTGCTCACTTAACTATACACAACTAATCTGTCTCAGTGCCTTCAAGCCTTATATCATGGAAGGCGACGCTGGCAAGTTCCTTGGCTTCTGGTCCTGCATGGTCAACGCCACCTTTGCTTACCTGGGTACCGAGCTCGTCGGTGTCACTGTCGCCGAGGCCCAGAACCCCCGCAAGACCATCCCCCGCGCCATCAAGCTCACCTTTTACCGAATCCTCTTCTTCTACTGCCTCTCGGTCCTCCTCGTCGGCATGATCGTCCCCTACAACTCCCCCGAGCTCAAGTTCGCCAACGAGTCCAAGAAGAACAACGCCTCGGCCTCGCCCTTTGTCGTCGCTGCCACCATCGCCGGCGTCGGCACCCTGTCCCACGTCATCAACGCCTGTATCTGCGTCTTTGTCTTTTCCGCCTCCAACTCGGATCTGTACATTGCCAGCCGTACCCTCTACGGTCTCGCCTCTGACGGTTCTGCCCCTGCCATCTTCAAGAAGACTGACAAGCACGGCGTGCCCATCTACGCCCTCGCCATGTCTGCTTGCTTTGCCCTGCTTGCCTTTATGAACGTCTCGGATGACTCCACCAAGGTCTTTGGCTACTTTGTCAACCTCACCACCATCTTTGGTCTCATGTCGTGGATCTCCATCCTGACCACCCACATCTTCTGGTGCCGAGCCCGCAAGGCCCAGGGTCTTGCCAACGAGGCCCTCCCCTACGTGGCTCCCTTCGGCGCCAAGGGCTCTTACGTCGCTTTGTTCATATGCATCCTCGTTGCCCTGACCAAAAACTACGACGTCTTTGTCGGCGGCGACTTTGGCAAGGAAAAGTACAAGACCTTCATCACTGGCTACCTGGGCATCCCCGTGTACCTGGCCCTCATCTTTGGACACAAGATCGTCACCAAGTCGCGCGGCATCAAGCCCCACGAGGTCGACTTTTACACTGGCAAGGATATCATTGACCGTGAGGAGGAGGAGTTCCTTGCCCGCAAGGCGGCTCTTCGCGAGTCTGAGGGAGCCAAGCGCGGCAACTGGTTCTACAAGACTTTTGTCTCTTGGCTGTTCTAGACGTCTTTTGTGTATATAAACATGTGGTCTATGTGTGGTAGAGGTAGAGGTGGATGTGTTATGTATATGAGAGAAGTCTGTGCTTACAGGCGATGAGCATATGTTCATGTAGCGAATCACAATTTGCCGTTTCTCATCCAAACGGCTTCTTAGCGTTGAAGCTTTTGTGTTCGTAACTTGCCCGAGATTGCCTATTTCGGCACACCCCAAGTCGGCAACATCGGCCCCACAAGAGGGCCGAGACCCTCCGGAGCACCGACTCCGTCATGGCGTGACGCCGATGTCGCGGGTATGCGGCTACTTGACTTGTCACTAACAGATGGTGTGCACTCCTTATCGTGGCAGAGAAGTGATATTTATTACAGTTTATTACGATACAAGTGAGGTCATCCCGTTGACGAAACATCCCCTTGCTGCCCTTCGACATCATCTCAACACCCGGCAAGGTACATGTTTCAATCCTCGGTGATGATGATAGTTCTGGTGAACTTTTCATCGACGCCTTGAACGGAGCTACGCGCGTCGTTGGCCTGCGATCCGCTGAGAGAGTTGATGATGTTGCCGGTGAAATCCTGCCAACGTTAGTCGATGCCTAGATAGTTCAGCTGTATTGGAGATTTTACTTCAAAGGCACGCTTGGTTAGGGCAATGGCGAGGCGGAAGGGAGCGTCGACAAAGGGGATTTCGCCAAAGATGTTGACTTTGTCGAGGAATGCATCCAGAAGGTCGCTGAAAGTGTTGGATAGCTTTGACCATGTGAGCTTCAAATCCCATTCAGTTTTGGTACATGCTGCTGACCTTCTTGACCGAAGCAACGATTTGGTCACCATCCTTGCCGTCGAATGTTCCCTTGGCAGCACCAGAGAGCGATCCGCCGATGTCAGTTGTAATACGGGTCACGTCCCTCAGACCAGTAATGACCTCCTACTTCTGTTAGAAACATATCATGCACAGCTATGGTGGGACTTGCAAAGAAGGGACCAGAGCCAAGGATTAGCTGGGGTGCGTTGGAGATGGAAAGCTGGCCAGCGGGCTTGATGAGGTCCTCTGTTTTGTGGACGAGGTCGTCGATGCCGCGGATGAGTTGGCTGGGAGAGATCAAGGCGTTGGTCACAGAGGCAGCCCCAAGAAGGACAAAGTTGAGAGAGAAGCGCATCTTGAAGGAGCGTTGGGTAGAAGGTGGGTGTTGAGCGATGAACTGTGATGAAGGAGTGTAGGGTTAGTAAGTTGCTTCCTATCGTGGGATCTTGTTGTTATTATACTAATTCTTAGCTACTCTGAAGTATACAACTGTCTTTCAATCCATACTAATTAGACAATTGAAAGGGACTCGGGATGTTGTGATAGTTGGAATGCCCTCCCTCTACTCGGACCGACTATATGGATCACAAGTAATCGAGTCCATCCCTTCAGGTCAGTTCCCGCATCTACATCTCGGCTTCTTTATTAGACGGAATAACATGCAAATAATGTTAATATGTAAATACTCCCGTCGTCAGAAGTAGAGTGCTCTCAAAGACGCCAAGACAGGGGCCTTCTCTCATGTAAGTGCGATGATCAACACCCACGATCCCCTCAATCTAAAACACGAGAACCCATTTATAGATCTACAAATCTGTTGGTTCACCCTGTTGGTTCTCACGATGCACGACCTTCCCGACAGATCGGCCCCTCAACCCTGTTTCTCATCAACCACACGTTCACCGCAGGGTCATCCCATGTAGCACAGAGCCGCATCGCCAACGTGTTACCACACCAAGAAGCAGGTCTCAGATTGCCGAAATCTTATATCGTCGACATGCCAACTACATACAATCCGACGGGACACTATGGCAGGGACTGGCTCGGCGGGATTCAGGGTCTACGACAAAGGAACGCATCACATTCTACAGAGGAAGAATGGACAAATTCATCTCTTGTTACTCCTACAGACAAAAAAAGAAAAGCCGTTTCTCATGACCAAACTCCATCAAGGTAAGATAAAACCTCCGACACAAAAAAAAAAAAAAAAAAAAAAGCGATGGTGTTACAGTCCCTCACTGACTATTTTGTTAATTAGTCAAATAACACTCGGGGAGTCTGGGTAAAAAACTTACAGCAATGCGAGCGTCAAGTCACCGTGAATACGAGCCTTGAGCTCAATCTCAATCTCGAGGTTCAAATCAAGATGCAGACTGAGCGCGTCACTCTTTCCACCACCGCCTTGCTGCGGCTGTTGCTGCTGCATCTGCTGCTGCTGCTGTTGTTGCTGTTGCTGTTGCTGTTGCATTTGTTGTTGCTGTTGACGCTGCTGCATGGCTCGTTGTTTGCTTTTTGACATTTGCTTTTCGTCTTCAGAGTCGGATTCTTCTTCGTCGAGCCAGGCTGGGCGGCGGCGTCTTGTTTCATCGCTCTTGGTGTTGGCCTTTCTGTTGCCTTTTCTCTTGGGCTCGGGTTGCTGAGGGGGGGTAGCTGGTTCATCCTCCTCAGACTCGGACTCGGACTCGGATTCGGATTCTTCATCATCTTCCTCTTCCTCATCGTCGTCAGAGGACAAATCTTCGTCGTCGTCTTCCTCTTCTTCGGATTCAGACTCGCTCTCTTCCTCGGGTGGTGGTGCTGGCTTCTTCTTGCGCTTCTCTGGCTTTGGCTGCTCGACCTTGGACTCTTCAGCCTTGGACTCTGCGGCCTTGGATCCTTCAGGCTTGGCTTCCTCAGCCGTAGCCTTGGCTTCTTCAGCCTTGGGCTCCTCAGTCTTGGTCTCTTCGGTCTTGGGCTCCTCGGGCTTCGATTGCTCGGGCTTCGACTGCTCGGGCTTTGACTGCTCGGGCTTTGACTGCTCGGGCTTGGTGTCGGGAGTTTGTGGCTTGGCTGTCTCTTCGGTTGAAGCCTCGGGCTTGGACTCTTCCGGCTTGGAGTCTCCAGGCTTAGAGTCTTCCGTCTTGGGGGTCTCTGGCTTGTTTTCGGGCTTGGAATCCTCAGCCTTGGATGGATCAGTCTCAGGCTGACCAGTAGGCTTGTTGGAATCTTGGTTGAATGGGTTGTTGTCGGTGTTAGGCTTGTCGTCGTTCTGTCCCGACTGCTCTCCTTGAGGACGAGGAGGTCTAGGAGGGGACTGAGAAGAACCTCGCTGCTGCGAGTCCTATGCAAATGGTCAACCCCTATCTACAAAAAGAACATTCCATTCATCGAATGTCTCACTTACCTGAGGGCCTGGTGCAGACATGTTGGTGAATATTTACAAAGTACTTTTTTTTCGCTGACGAACAAAATAGTTTCGAGAACAAAAAGAGGCGTAATTGTCAAGAGAAAAATTCTATACTAATGTTTCTCACGCATGGCTTTTGATACTGTAAACCCTTGTCAAGAAAACAGGTTCATGAGAATGCGACTGACGCAATGGGCGTCATCAGGATGCCATCTCTGACCGTTTGAGAACCGGTTTCTCCATAGTCAGGTACAAGAGCTATATTCTGCCGCACACCATCTACATCGATGAAGATCGAGTCAATATGACGTACGGAATATGTTTGATGTGCAGGCGGATGACGTCCCCCCGGGCCGGCGTGATGGGCAGCAGGGGTTCTTTACAGGGGTGATGATGTGTGGCTGGTGATCATGACTGGCTTGGGGGGATACTACAAGATGGACGTCATGCTCTGCACTGGAAGGCGGGTAGGATTTTCCTGTTCAAACGATCGAAATACCGCAAAAATGGTTATCGGGTTACTCGCCATCACTGCTATACCGACTGTCACGGGCGTGGGCAACGCGATAAGTGCCCAGAAGAAGCAAAATGCGAGCCTCAGCAAGGAGCAGGAAAAGTTCCACATGACTTTCATCATGGAACACGAAGGAAAGATGCAAGAGCTTGGCACAGGGGTGGTAAAAGACCAAAAGGTAAGTTGATCAGTCTCTGGCAAAACTCGACTGACTGACTTGACAGTTCTACATCAACCATCCCGACAATCCAGTTGATGGCTACAAGTTTCTGGGTTGGTACTTCAAGTACCCAAGCGAAGAAGGCCATCTGGGGCTGGTGAGCATGGTCTCTGACGACCCCCCGGCTCTCAACTGGATCTATGTGGACAAGGACACGCACGCTCTCACGTACGGGGGGAGAAAGGACACGGTGGGCCACGTCATAGGACCCTGGGGCTGGAGCGAGGATGATCGATTCCTGACGCTCGAGGAGGATCACGATTCGTTTGTGGCAGTGCGCGAGGAGGGTCCTGATGGAGAGCAGAGATGGGCAGTGTATTGGGACCCCGAGGGTGACATTGAGGACGAGGTGGACGACGAGGATAGGTGCCGACCAGTGAGGCTCCGACGGCGGTTGCAGTTTGGCATGGAGAGCCGCTATGTCAGAGGCAGTGAAAAATCAGGCTAAGAGTTACAAAGTGAGATGAGATGGCTGGGTGGAGTTTGTGGAGAGTGCGAGGTGGAGGTGAGGTGTGTGCTGTGTGTGGCCACCATGTGATGATGGCCGAGAACTTATGCACCCTTGCAGTGAGGCAAGACAAGGCATTGTAATGTACATACTGTATCTGGATTCGAATCTCGATCATGACCTCATGGCTGTTCCAAATCCTGTTATTCGACCTGGTGGGTTGAACTTATATGGCCTCGGTCCTCTTGGGGGGGAGAAGGGTAGACATAGACAAACGCCAACAATAAACTCGTACCAATTTTATTCATTACCCGAGCGACTCTTCATTCAAATCAACTACTCTCATCATGTCGGCTACCATGGAAAAGGATCGCGTCTCGGCCGAGTCTGACGACCAGACCTACTCCAGCGAAGAGCAGCCCAAGAAGCAGCGCCGCACCAAGAAGAAGGGCACCAAGTCGTCCCGCCGCAACCAGCAGCAGCAGCAGCAGCAGTCGGGTCCCCTGGACCAACTCCCTGTCGGCGGAGACCTGGGCAACACGGTCGGCGGAGTGACCAACACTCTGGGCGGCGTCACAGGTGGTCTCACCCAGCAGCAAGGCGGCGGCGGCGGCGGCGACGGCGGCAAGGATACTCTCCGTCTAAGACTCGATCTCAACCTCGACATTGAGATTCAACTCAAGGCGAGAATTCATGGTGATTTGGAACTATCGCTACTGTACGTTTTTTTTTTTTTTTTTACCCGCCCCTTTCTCTTTCCCCCTCCCCTCAAGACACATTTTCCCCCACGTCTTTTGTTTGGCCATCGTATCTTACTTGGCATTTTCAAATCTCCAGCACCGGGTGAGACCCGATGGGACTCGGGCTAATCGCGCTGTCTTGTCTTTGCAGAGGCTAATTCGCTTTTGTTGTTTTGAATTGTAGAAACTAAACGGCGCTTTTTATTTTTATTGTTATGGGTACCCATGTAATGTTAGCAACTGTGGAAAGTATTGGGCGTTTTTTGGGAAACATGGGAAATTCTATACGAGTCAAATGCATTGGCATTCTTTGAGTGAGAGAGACAGGGCATGAGTGAGAGTGAGATTACTGTACAGTACAGGCTCCAAGATGACGATGCCGAGCTCCGGAATAGTCACAGTGCTCACAGTGCATTTGAAACTTTTACATCTCCCGTTGGACGCCACGTTTATGCCGTGAGCCACGAAAAAGCCACGAGAGAACGAGGCCATCCGCATCACATTAGTCTCTTGTCTAACCAAGAAAACCGTTGCTCTTCAGGAACGTTTGTTCGTCGTTGACAGGGCCCTTGATCCTCTAATCCTGTCTCATCTCCCATGGCCCGTGTCTTGTTCCCTGCTAGCGTCCGTCTAACGATCGCCGTGATATAGGACGATCGCCCTTTTCCGCGACCATCGGACAGGGCTTCCTTGTTCTAGAGCAACTCTCTGAAACCACAGGGCCGCGGTTCTTACCGCCCGGGTGGAAGAGACATTCCGCCCGGCAGCAGGGGGTTTCGCCTGTCACCTCTGACTGGTCCAATCCAACCTCTTGAGGCTCGATGCATCTTGTCTTGTCTTTCGTCATGTTCCCCGCAAGAGGCTTGCGCAAAACAGGTCCCGACACTCGTGTCAGCAACACTGTCTTTCTCTAACAATCCTTCAATTCCCCATACCCAATCTTTTCTCAGCCAACGAATATTCGTTCCGTGAAACCGCGGAATTCACCATGGCGTCGTCTTCATCCACCCCTGGCGATGATCCCTCGCACAGCACTTACGAGGTCAACGTCCCCGTGCGCAACGGTCGCGGCGCAGAGCCAGAGGTGTCGAATCCCGAAATCCGCATCCCAAGGATAAAGCCCGTCACAGAAGAGCAATCACAGAAATCACCAGAAGATCTAGCAGTTGGACTCGAGGGAAAGTACGTTGATGAGTTTGGCAACATTCTCGACTGGGACGGCACCGTACTTGGTCGTGTTGAGGGGGATCTGCCGTCCATGGTCGGCCGGCCAGTATCGGCGTCTGGCGAGATCCTGGACACTGATGGCGAGGTGGCTGGACGGGTGTGCGAGAACTACATCAAGCCCAAGCTGGAGCCCTTGTCTAGCGGGCTGCGCGTCGACTCTGAGGGGAACATCTATGATGAGGAGGGGAACGTGGTTGGCAAGCTCAACAACAAGCCCAAGGACGACAGCAACAAGGACGACGACAGCAACCAGACAAAAGAACAGCAACAACGACAACAAGACGGAAAAGTTAATATTCCAAAACCACCCGTTGTAGCTCCGAGACCAGATGAACTGTATCTGGATGTCAAGTCGACATTTGACGGGATCCAACTCATCATCAAGATCCCCACCGTCTTTAACAGGGACAGTAGTCAAAACCAGAACCAGAACCAGAACAGCAACAACCAAGGCGAGGATCAGGGACAGACCAACAACAACCAAAATCAAGGACAGAATCAGAATCAATGATATCTTTTTTCCATCTTTTTCCTTTTGGCGCGTTTCAAAAAAAAAAAAAAAAAAAAAAAAAACCACGCCTCGATCGTGTCATGTCATGCATTAGAGTGGCCCTCTCGGAATAATAATCCTCATGGAGAAACCCCTCCCCGTACGCTAGAGTTTACTTTTCTCCTCCTCTTACAAGACGCCGTTGCCTTCTCAAAAGCCGGTTCTTGCATGACATACACGTGAAAAGGCGAGAACAAGCTCAGGCCAGTCATCATCTCCAACCCGTGAGATCTTCTCCACGTTCAACTCGTGAGGGTGTCGTCCTCCCACCCCGCAAAGCCGGTTTTGCAACCAAGCAGCTTTGGAAGCTCAATGTGCAAAGTCCAGACCAATCCTTCATCCTGGAAGCTCCGAGGCGGCTCCCTGCTCTGATACGTCATCTCCATGCCCTCGCCACACCATCCCACCCGTTGAGATCTTCATCATGACGTGTGGCTGTTGCTCATGTCGTCCGATAACAGGTGCGGCGCAGTATCATGGTTGATAGTTGTGGTGCTCACACTGACGTTGTAAGTGTAATTGACGTTATACAACAAGGTTGCAAAGAAACTTGTTTTTTTCCTCATTGCTGTCTAGGCGCTATAAAGATGTGAGGGAATGTGGTGGATGGGTTGAGCTTTCAAACAAAAACAGTACCAATTCAATATCATTCAGCCTACTACAACAACAACAGCCAAGTAGCCATCTTAGAAACTAACATTGCGATACCCTCAAAAACCCTCTGTTGATTCCCTTTTACTCTCTATTGACACGAAAAGATACCCCCCTCCCAAAAAGCCATGTCAAACACAAAGGATCCTACTTCCATCCCCGAAGGCCAGGTCAAAGACTCGACACAAGATACTGCTTCCAAAGAGCAGCAGACTCCTGGTGCGTTCACAATCCTTCAGCCGAGCTTGGCGCTTATCGTCCCCATTGCAGTCAATCTTGAATCAGTTCCCCGGAGCGCCACCGGCGTCGTGAACGATGCCGGGGATGTCCTAGACGATGCCGGCAAAACCGTCGGCCACATCGCAGACACCGACAACCTCAAGAACCTCGTCGGCAATACCGTCAACGCCGCCGGCGATGTTGTCAGCTCTACCGGCGACGTCCTCGGCAAGACTTTGCCCATAAGACAGGGCAAGGAGGAGGAGGAGCACGATTCGCACGACGAGGAACACAGCGAGTACACAACTCAGCCCGCTGAGAAGAAGTCGGGCGGCCTGGGCGATACCGTTGGTGGTCTCACCGGTGCTGTCGGAAAGACTGTTGGCGGCGTCACTGATACTGCTGGCAAGACCGTCGGCGGTGTCACTGACACGGCCTCCCAGACTGCCGGTGCCGTCGGCGAGACTGGCAAATCAGCCGTTGGCGGTGTAACCGGTGGTCTCGGCCTTGGAGGCAAGTCAGAAGGCGAGTCTGAGACTTCCAAGGACATCGAGGCCAAGCAGGAGGAGACATCCGACGTCAAGAGCGAGAGCCAGAAGGACTCCACCATTGGTCTCGAGGATCGCGATCTGCCCACCGGTGAGAAGGAGGCTCCCGAAACCCAGGAGAAACTCAAGGAGCTTGCTCCCGAGGAGGCCAAGGAGAAGACTACCGAGGGCGAAGATGTCGTCAAGGAAGCTCAGCCCGAGGAGGAGACTGGCGACGACTTGACAAAGAAGCCCGAGGAGGCGACAGAAAAGGCCGAGGACGTTGTCAAAGAGGCCCAGCCCGAGGACAAGGAGGCACCAAGCATCCCTGAAGGTGCTCCTCAGGATGAGGCTCCCACATCCGAGATTCCTGAGGGCAAGGCACCCGGTGAGGATGAACTCCCCGAGGGTAAGGAGGCTGAGGGTGAGCTCCCCGAAGGCGAGCTCCCTGAGGGCCAAGGCCCACCTTCCGAACTCCCCAAGTCTGAGGCCCCTGAAATCCCCGGCGACGAGGAGGGTGAGTCAAAGGCTCCCGGCACCGAAGATCTCAAATCAGTTGCTCCCGGTGAGGAGGCCGCTGGCAAGCTAGGCGAGGAGGTGGAAGGTGAGGTTGCCGAGGGCGAAGAGAAGGCAGCCGAAGGTGAGGAGAAGCTTGCTGAGGGAGAAGAGAAGCTTCCTGAAGGCGAGGTCCCAGAAGACAAGCTTGCCGAGGGAGAAGAGAAGCTTCCCGAAGGCGAGGTCCCAGAAGACAAGCTCGCCGAACAAGAGAAGCTCGGTGAAGAGGGTGAGGAGAAGGCTGTCGAAGGGGAAGAGAAGCTCGGCGAAGAAGCTGAGAAGCTCCCCGAAGAAGAAAAGGTTGGTGAGGAGGGTGAGAAGCTTGGAGAGGAGGGTGAGGAGAAGCTCGCCGAGGGAGAAGAGAAGCTTGCCGAAGGTGAGGAGAAGGTTGGCGAGGTCGAAGGAGAAGTTGAGGAGCCCCTTGACTTCACCGTCCTCAAAGGAACCACCGTCGACAAGCAAGGAAACCTCGTCAACGACAAGGGCCACCTCATTGGACGTGTCACCGAAGGTGAAATCAAGCAACTCATCGGTATGAAGTGCGACGACGAAGGTGTCATCTGGGGTGACTACGGCAAGCAACTCGGCAAGGCTGAGCCCCTCCCTGAATGGGAGCGTGGCGAGCAGAAGGACTTTTCCGTCCTCAAGGGCACCACTGTCGACAAGGACGGCAACCTCGTGAACAACAAGGGTGATATCATGGGTCATGTCGTTGAAGGTGAGGTCAGAGAGCTCATCGGCATGAAGTGCGACGACCAGGGTATCATCTGGGGCGATTTCGGCAAGAAGGCTGGAAAGGCTGAGCCTGTTGGCGAATGGGAGCGCGGCGAGGAGATAGACTTTTCTATCCTCAAGGGCACCATTGTCGACAAGGACGGCAACCTCGTCAACGAAAAGGGTCACTTGTTCGGTCGTGTCATCGAAGGCGAGATCAAGCAGCTCATCGGTCTCAAGGCTGATGAGAACGGCAAGATCTGGAGCGATGGCAAGGTCGTCGGCAAGGCAGAACCTCTCCCTGAGTGGGAGCGCGGTGAGCAAAAGGACTTTTCTGTGCTCAAGAACTGCAAGGTCGACGAGGCCGGAAACCTTGTCAACGACAAGGGAGACACTGTTGGTCGCGTCGTCGAGGGCGAGATCAGACAGCTCAAGGGTCTCAAGTCAGACGAGAACGGCAAGATCTGGAGCGATGGCAAAGTCGTTGGTCGCGCTGAGCCTCTCTCCGAATGGGAGCGCACTCAGAAGAAGGATCTCTCTGTTCTCAAGGGCACCAAGGTCAACAAAGCTGGCAAGCTCGTCGACTCCAACGGTAACGTTGTCGGTAAGGTCGTTGAAGGTGAGCTGAAGGAGCTCATCGGAAAGCGATGCGACGAGAACGGCGACATCTGGAATGATTCCGGTGAGGTGATTGGAAAGGGAGACACGGTTTCCGCCGCTGAACGCGAAGACAAGGCGTTCGCTCCTTTCGAGAACTTCCCCGGCGCCACTGTCGAAGCTGATGGCCGAGTCATGTTTGAGGGCCGCCAGGTTGGTGAAGTCATCGAGGGTGATCTCAAGACTATCAAGGGCAGCACCGTCGACGAGGATGGTGATATCCTCGACCGCCGCGGCAATGTTGTCGGCAAGGCCAAGGTTTGGGAGGAGCCCGAGCCCGAGGCCGAAGCCGAGGTTGACAAGTCTGCTCTCGCGGGCAAGCGTGTCAACAAGGCCGGCAACGTGGTCAGCCGTGACGGCGAGATCTACGGCCGTGTTGTCGAGGGCCACATTGGCTCTCTCGTCGGACGCATGTGCGACAAGGATGGAAACATCCGAAGCGAGTCTGGCGACATCATCGGCAAGGCTGAGCTTGTGACTGAGGGCGAGCGCGAGGGTCTCAAGGAGGGACCTTTTGCCGAACTCCAAGGTTGCACTGTTGCCAAGGACGGCAAGGTCGTTACTCCTGCTGGCGATGTCGTCGGCCGACTGACCTCTGGGGACCCCAAGGTCCTCTTCGGTCGCGCTGTTGACGACGACGGTGAGATCCTCGACAAGAACGGCAATGTCATTGGCAAGGCCGAGCGCTGGGAGGAGCCTGAAGTCGAGAAGAAGCAGAACCCTCTGGCTGGCCGAAAGGTGAACCGTGAGGGTAACGTCAACGACCAAGAGGGCAACATCATTGGCAAGCTCACCAGCGGCGACCTCCTCGCCTGCGCTGGCAAGGAGATTGACCAGGACGGTGATGTCATCAACAACAAGGGAGAGACTGTCGGTCACGTCTCCCTGCTCGAGGATATTCCTCCCGAGCCCGAGGTTGAGGAGGAGGAGCCTGGTGAGACTGAAGAGGAGAGGCTCAAGCGCGAGCAGGCCGAGGCCGAGGAGGCCAAGAAGCAGGAGCAGGCTGAGAAGGACAAGAAGCTTGCTGGTTCGCTCGCCTACGCCATCAGCCAGACTCTGGACAAGATCCGGCCCATCTGCAAGCAGATTGACGACAAGATCAGTGCTGCTGAGGCTCAGCCCAAGGAGGAGCGTGATGAGGAGGAGCTTGTTCGACAAGTCCGACCTCTGATTGAGGAGGGTGGCAAGATCTTGACCGAGACCAACGGTACCATTCGAGGTCTTGATCCTGATGGCCGTATCCAGAAGAACGCGAAGCAGAAGGTTGCTGGTGGTGAAGCCACTCCCGAGGAAGCTCATCTCGCCGAGTTGCTCAAGGAGGTGAGTACCACATATCCCAAATCCATAACCATATCACTAACGACAGCAGCTCACCGGAAGCATTACTTCGACCATCGACAACGCCAAGCGCAAGCTCGAGGGTATGCCCCATGCCAAGAAGGAACTCAACCCCCTGTGGGCTCTCCTCGCCGAGCCCCTCTTCCAGATCATCGCAGCAGTCGGTCTCCTTCTCAGCGGTGTTCTTGGCCTGGTCGGCAAGATTGTAGGTCCCCTACTAGGTCCAATCGTATGTCCCCTTTTGCTATGTTGTCTCCCCCTTTGGCGCCTCTTTCTCCTGCGCCCACCCGTGCTCGACGTTTTGTACTGACAGGTGACAGCTTGGTGGTCTTGGTCTGGGTGGTCTTCTCGACGGTCTCCTGGGAGGTCTTGGCCTTAACAAGGTGCTCTCGGGTCTTGGTCTCGGAGACGTTGTCGGTTCTCTGACCGGCAAGAAGAAGAAGTGAATGACATGATTGAACGAAATTGTTTTTGGATTGGTTAATTGAATGGTATCTGTACGATAGGAGTTAATTGTTAGTCAACTAATGCTATGAATGGATTGTTTGGTCTTTGCAAAATGCTTCCACCTTGAGTGGAGGGTGCCAGTGGAGAAGCTAAAGTGATGTATACCATATATGCAAATAACGATGATGAGTCAGCATCTAATCTCAGCAGCATAAAATTTCGACTTTTCCTTCAGATCTCTTCAAACTTCATCAACAAACACCATGCTCAGCTTGCTTCTAGCGTGGCCTCCCTGAGCGACGCGACCATGCGTCTCTTACTCATTCGCCATGGAGAGACAGTCGACAACGTTGCAGGCGTCTACGCCGGCTCCCGAGACTCTGCCCTGACCGCCCACGGCGTCCTCCAGGCTGGACGATTGGCTGCTCACCTTGCTGAGCACGTCGACGTTGACCACCTGTTCTCTTCCGACCTCCAACGCGCGGCAACCACCGCTCAGGCTATCCTCGATGCGCAGAAACGCGCCAACGAGGTGAAGCTTGTCGTGACTCCGGAGCTGAGGGAGAAGGACTTTGGGTCTGGCGAGGGTGTCAAGTTTGGGTTGGCTTTTGAGTTTGAGGGCGAGGAGACACCAGAGGCGATGAGGAAGCGATGCGATCGCTTCTTGGGTGAGCATCTTGGCCCCCTGCTGCACGAAGACTCTATTGTCTGCATCGTCGCGCATGGCATCCTTCTTGGTGTTCTCTACAAAGCACTCTGCGCAAGACTCTCACATGTCACGATAGCTCCCGGCGCCCAGGCAAGACCACGTCCTGCCTCGACGCCCTTTCACCCTTCCTGGAGCAACACTGGGTATCTAGAAGCAGTCATCACGGCTCTTCCAGATACCAAGGATCGCTTCCAGATGCGCGTTGACAAGGTCAACAGCGTCGAACACACCAAGACCCTGAAAAGGACTCGAGGTGGCATTGGCAGTGCCAAGTTCGACGCCAAACAAAAGACGATGGACTCGTTCTTCACGCCTGCGCCGAAAAAGCCCAAGTGTAAAGAAGATGACATCGTCTCAAAGTAAATGGTACGTTTACAATTTTTTCTTTCTTCAACCAACCCCCAAGCACATGATGAAAAAGCAAACTCACAGACCTGTACCGAAAGTACACATGTGGAAACAACTTTGTCCAACCGCTGTCTGACAGCTTGGTTCAAATCGTCTCTTGTTATGATTGTCTTTGTCGATAACCTGGCTAACGACGAATTTGCAGATTCATTACTCCGTACTCTTCAGCTAGCGTAGCTCAATATCATAATCTTATCATGTCATCGCGTTTCAATAAATATTATACATCTGTGCTTGTCTCGTCTTGTCCCGTGAATACTTTGTACATGCGTCGACTGACTGCCTGGCCGATTGTGCGATCCGAAAAAGTGCCATCTTTGTTTGCACTCTTCCTCACGCCCTCTAGACGCGTCGGTCCGCCGGCCTCCAGTCCTCGAACCAGCTCGCTGATGCTGGTAAACTCCTGCGCAACTCCATAGGCAATTGGTGCCGTGACTCTCACGATCTCCTGGAGCATCTTGACGTAGGTGTCTTTTGTATCCTCGCCCGTCTTGACCTGTCCACTCTCCATGCAGAACCCAGCGACAAGCGTTGCCTGATCTCGCTGCTTCCTGTAGGGAATCGTCGAGACGTGCTGGGTGAAATTGACGATCCACTCTGCCGTCTCGAGCGGGATCGTGGTGTGGTGAATCATGACATCGTGCATGACTTGCAACTGCAAGAGAGCGTCCTCAATGGTCTCCTCAGGTATGTAACTCTCGGCAGGCTTGTTACGGCGGCTGGGGTTGGATGCTGAGGCTTCTTGAGCCCGTACGCGAGAAGTGAACTGTCGGTTGCGAAGGTTGCGATTCTTGCGCATCCATGGAATTAGACCCTCGAGAAGGTAGAGGATATGGTGAGTAGAGAAGTGTCTTTCCATCTTTTCAACGTGGGAAGATAGCTCATCATCCAAGGCAAGTTTGACGAACTCATCAGCCGTCATGACAACAAGGGCATGCTTTTCGTCTTGCAGGCGTAGTGGGATCGGTTCCCAAAGACCAAGATCGTCATTGTAGCGACTCTTGACTTTTCTGCGCCACTTGATCACATTCTCAACAGGACTTTCCCAAGTTGTGAACTGCACATCCAGCGGCTCCAGCATGGCTGTGAGTTGAGTTGTGACAGTCGGGTTCAAGCTTGAAGGAATATCGACCATCATCTCTGGAGTCGAGACCTTCTTGTCCGTCCGGAGCTTGTTGACCTCGGCCAAAGCAGCATTTCGCTCCTTCTCGCGGGCCTTTGCCTCCTTGGCTTCCTGCTTTTCGCGACGTTTCGTTTCCTTGTCGACCTCTTTTGCTGCGGCTCTCGCCTCCTTCTCACGAGCCCTATCTGCTGCTGACTTTTTGCTCGTAGTTGTAGTGGTGGGTTTTGACCGAGATCTGGATTTGGACGGTATAACATCGCTTTGGGAGCGCTGAAGCTGCGATCGACGCCGAATCTTCGCTATATCGAAATTGGAAATATCCGGCAGGTCATCTTCGGAGTCGCCATTGGCATCCGAGTCGTCAATGTCAATGACGACATGACCTTGCTTACCAGGTGGAGAAGAATCAAAAGAGCAGACTTCCGGCGCCGAGCTTGAAATCGGATCCCAAGTAGCTGTTCGCCTATGTATTGATTTCGAAACCGGTGCTGTGGTGCGGATGGGCGATGGTGCTATGGGATCGACGGCTTTCGAGGTATTTGGTAACGGTTGTGAAGAGCTCGCAAACGGATCTGAGGATTCGAAAGGTCCTGTAGCTGGCTTGGGCGGCGCGAGATGTACAGGTCGGGGAGAACTGGCGAAAGGGTCGTCATCGTCATCGAGCTCAGTTGTGGTTCTCGCTGGTTTGGTCGGGCCGGGGATTGATGGTCTTCGTCTAGGCGACTGATGGTGTTCTGGTGAACTCGTAACTTCGATAGGGTCGAGGATTGTATAGGTTCGGCCTCCTCCAATATTTCGTACAGGGGGGAGAATGGCTTGCAGCTCTAGTCCTGGAGAGGTGCGCTTCAGAGGACGGCAAAGTTGCGCTGGAGAAAGACGTCGCTTTTTACTCCCAGCCGTTTCCGTAATGATAGGTTCGTCTAGGTCTATGGTGGTGTCGAAGTCATCGGAAAAGAAGAGAGGTTCTTCTTGGAGGATCAAAGCATGGGTATTTCTCCCATTAGGGACATCTTTTACTGGCTGTGCGGTACGCAGCTCGTCATGGCGAACAGTGGCAGCAGCAGGTCGAGGTTGAGAAGGTGGAGGATTTGACGGGCTAGATGAGATGAGATCAATCACCTCGGGCGCCATCTTATCGATCTTTGTGTACGGGAACCATTGACACCGACTTGATCAATCTCGAGGCATCGCCATCTGCTTTTTCGATGGAGGGGTGGTAGCCTGCGCGATGTGACGCGACGACTTCTGGTCTGGGCTAACACGAAAAACGCCAAAGTCACGTGGTCAACTACAGCTCACGCATTGTGCAGCAGCAAATTGGGAATAACTTGATGAACTTATGGTCATCATTTAGTGCATGAATGCATAAATCTTCTAGGTGCCACTACATAAGACTTAGATGAGACTATTCCAAGTTCTTGGTGGTTAGCCTGTTGGCAGAGCTCATGGGGCCTATAGGAGATGAATACGACGAGCCTCCATCGCCAAGTCCTGTTACTTCTAATCCTTTCCTCATGCAAGATTTTACGGCTTTTATGACATACCTATTCACTTGCTCAAGCCCAGGCTAAACGATCCAGCCTCTTGGATCACAGGTGTAACCTCGAACTAGGATGCTCTCAGCGGATGGATCGAAGGCTGTGTGTCGCTCGTGATGGAGAATCCTGTATTTCGCCAAAGGGAATTTGAAACATTCCCATGAAAACTTCCAGGTGGACTCAGCTTCTCTGCTTGCCGTGAAACGAAACGCTGCAGCAGTTGTGGGCTGAAAGTGCCACTGGCTTTGTAATGGCCTAGCTGGCGTTATTCACCGCTTGGCGTCGTGAGGCTGTCCACTTTTAAGGTTGGCGTGGCATAGTGGAGGGCTCATGGGATCGTAGTGTTTAATTGGCATGGGTGCATGAATGGTCTGTGTTGGCAACCTCATCTTTCAGTGCCCGACTTCTAATCGAATGCAGCCCGTATACAAATCTCGATCGTCTTGTCCAGCTGGTGTAGTTTCGCCCTGGAATCTCGACTGAAGGCACTATCGAATATTGGCCCGTGATGAGCCAGCACGTAGCTGAATAATGTCACATCGCTCGGTCCAGGCAAAACCTCAATGGGGAAATACCCCGGCACTTAGAGTTCGCTGGCCGATACCAATTTAACGGAAGTGGAAATGGCCTCGTGTTAGTTGAGAGAAGGTTCAGGGTAAGGATGGATGACAACGATTGACAGCACACCACGAGAGCTTCAAAGGTGGTGGCGTTCGCCTATGTTGCCCTCTTCGTCCTTCTATCGTCAGACATTGATAACGGTACGAGAGTAACTTTACGGTACGGTTGATCTTCCTGAAGGGATACTGTCCGATTGTTGATTAACAATCAGTATTGAGTTCACCATTCCATTGAAATGTCACGACCAGGCCACGAGGCGGGAGACCACTCGCAACAATGTCTCGAGCTAGCTTTCCTTGCCTCTGCGGGACGATCAACTGCCGTTACAGAACAGGATCGTGTCTCAGCGACCGGCCTTGCTCACGGAATCCTCACTCGCAAGGTTGCCCAGGCAGTAAAACACGAAAAACCGCCATAGGAACGAGCCAGCCACGAAAACAAAAGGCGAAACGACAGTGCTGAATGCCAACCTCACTACACTTTACAGATGGATAACCCAGCCATCGATAGTTACGGGCTACGGCTATCCGTAATTGCCCCTGAGATTTGATGAAGGGGGATCGAGTGATGGACACCTGACAAAAGATCATCGGTCCTCATTACAGTGCCGCTCGCTTCGAGCGCCGACTCCGGACGCTCGGTATCCAGAGACAAACACCGTTATTGACGGCCGGCAACCGTGGAGGTGCCGGCACGCCCATTGTTAAGGTTGATGAGTGAAACTGTCTGGCCGCCGTCCGACACCAGCATGAGATCTGGCAGCCTGCCAAGGCGCGTGGCATGGGAAAGCTGGCTTGCGCTCCCTGTTGTGGCACGAACTGTCGACCTTGTCTGCATGTCTGAGTGGAGGTCTCCACTTCCGATTCGAGGCTTGCTGAACACTTGGATCTTGTTGCGAAGGACACGACAATCATGTGTATGGCACAATGCACGCGGAACAGACAATTAACCAAACCTTATCGCCAACCAACGGCCTGCCGCCCCTTGCACGGCTGATTGACGTTGTTGTCTCCATCCAGGTTGGGGAACAAAGAGGACATGAGGGACAAAGTGCAGGGCCAGGCCAGGGTCGGGACGGAATAGAAGTGGGGGGCCCGACCTGAAACTTGCCGTAGACGCAATGTGTCTGCCCCCGCGAATTGCTTCTGTTCAAGCAGAGGGCGTTCCAAACAGAAATGGCTGCAGCAATGTTTTCTGTTGCTTGCTTCTTTTTGCAGGAAAATGGTGCCATTTGATACCGGGCCGCTCTAGGGTTCGGCAAGACCAACAAGCTCCATTCCGATAGTGCAGTGGTTCTGGCGAGAGTTTGGTGCGTGTCGTGTCGGACCAACAAGGGAAGGGTGGAGGTGTGACAGGCTTGATGCCGCGTAGCAGAAGCATCATCTCGTCAGAGATTCTAGGATCAAACAGTAGCCGCCCAATATATTGAACAGACCGACCGACAATCGCAGTTCGGATCTGTGGATTGCCGGTTTGAATGAGCAGAAAAAGTCAGGGAACCGGCCGGGTATTAATGGCACGCCTTGCATTGCACCGCATCGCATTGCTTCTCTGCACGGCATTGTCTTTGCGTGTCGACGCTGTCCTTGACTGTACATGACTTATGGCCCGTTGTACTCTGTACATGCGTGGGATGATGGTCGACTAACGAGAGTGGACAACGCCCGGCGGTCGGACAGGGCCCTGAGTTCTGTGATGGAAGACATCTATCGCATGAGCAAGGACAGGGAGGTACGAATAGATGGCTGGAATCGCGCCCATCCATCACACGCGAATGGCTGGCTGGGGTGGGAAGCCGTTCAACCGTTGAATCTTGAGAGCGTTTTCTTGCAACGGTATCCACGGCTCCAGCTCAAAGGAAGCCTTCGTACCTGCATCGAAGCGCGACTATGTGCCGCTAACGACGGCGCGTCGGGACTTCACCAGCCCCTGAATATCGAGAAAGGAGAGAAGAAAAAAAGCGTCGGCCTCGGGATGATGAGGAGGCACTTGAGTTGGTAGGAGAAACTGGTGGGTGGGTGGTTGGGTGTGGTGTGCTTCTGCAATCTGGCTGGACGATCTCAAATGAGGGTCGGAGTTGCAAAGCACCATGCTTTGGTAAGCGCGGAGTTTGGTGGACAGAATAATCGGCACACTTTATACTGGCAAGGCACGCGTCTCCCTCTATCCTTTCTGTCCAGCCACACCTCGAAACAGTTTCAACGCCTTTCCAAGAGCTCTTGCGACACTCTCAGGCTTGGGCTCTTGCAGCGGACATGGCCCTTTTGGCCCGATGCTAGGGGACCCGAGCCCGCGGTGGCTAGGAGAAACCAGGGTCTGTGCCGCTAAAAGCCCGCGCGGGCCAGGTACAGCGCCCGGGGCTCCCCCGTAGCACAGCTCTCCAGCCAGTAGGCGTCGTCCCCGCCAGCAGCCTAAAGCGCAGTTAGCGCCCCAGAACAATCCAGGGGTCGAGCCCGGTGCCAGTGTGGACGGGAGGTACCTGGAGACGTTGCTCAAGTGGCCGGGCGCCAATGTACCTGGAGTCTAGTCCAGTCCCTGGGAGGCGGTCTTGACAGCCCCCCTCCGTCCAATCCCCTTGGCTGCCGGTCCAGTGAATGGAAGGAACCTGGAAGTCACTGAGGTCTCGTCCCCCCCTGGCCCTGATTCCACTTCGAGGCTGTCCAGGTCCCGTCCCTTTTTTCTTTGCTCTGGTCTCCGACTCCTGAACTGAAGTGTTCAACGTCCAATCCAACGTCCGACGTCTTTACCTACCTAGTATTTCTCCTATTCCGTTGTCGCGTCGAGCATCTTTCATTGCGCGTCGCCCGTGGATTTTCCTCTCCTTCAACCGTCCTCGTAGGCTCGTACCCGACGACGACGCCCCCGCTAGCGACCCGACAATTGTCCCCTCCTGCACTGGAACGAAGAAGCAGTCGTCGGAACTCGTCGCCAGATCGCCTGTCCCTCGCCTGTTTAATTACAAACCCCCACACCCCTAGTCGGGATAAACACTCTCTTTCTCTGCTCGCAGTCACCTGTGAACGCTGTTAGGGACGTATTGGTATTGCCGCCCGCGAGACTGTCTGGGACACTTGACGACCATCTCTCCGACGACACCGCCCGTTACACAGCAGATCTATCTATGACGCCGTAAAGGACGATTCCTTCTCCCTCGGCGGACCTCAACATCTCAAAGCCCTTCGCGGCCTTTCGAGCTCGTTTGCGACGACTTTTCTTGACCGCCGCTGACGACGTACAACGGCTGAGACATCGCGAATCTCGACGACAACTCACCAGCAACCGCCATGGCGAGCTCGCCGCCGACCTCCCCAGGAGGGATTCAGCGGCCTCTGAGCGCCGCTATTTCCAGAGCTGCCCCCAGAAGCACCAGCCGGTTAAGCATGACGAGCAAGACGGGAGGTGGTAGTAGAGCCTCTGACGAAGACAGCCGGACGGCGGTCAAAGTCGGTATGTTGTTCGATGCCGCTGCCCCTCTGAGATGCTAACTTTGGTGATAGCCGTCCGTGTACGACCACCGCTGAAGTCGACCGATCCTGGTTACGATCTTATTCCGCAGCGATTCCAGCGATCCATGGTGCAGACTACTTCGGATACCAGCCTTGCAATCGATTCACCGCAGGGGCGCAAACTTTTCGTCTTTGACCGCGTTTTCAGCTCCGATGTGATGCAAGATGGCATTTGGGACTACCTCTCTGACTGCGTGAGTGCTTTCACGCAAGGATACAACGTGTCGTTGCTGGCGTACGGCCAGTCCGGCGCTGGTAAATCGTACACAATGGGTACCTCGGGTCCAGGCGAGCAGCATGACCCTGAGCTCATGGGTTAGTCCAACTTACTTGCAGCGCACGCGATCCGCTAACCAGTATTCTAGGTGTCATTCCTCGAGCTGCCGCAGCCCTTTTTGAGAAGCTCGATGCACCAACAGGATCAGCCAAGTCGAACCGCAGTTCCATGTCTCACCTTCGAAGCCCTCGAGGATATGCTCAGCAGGATCCGCTTGGCGACCGCAATTGGTCTCTCAGAGCTACATATGTCGAGATTTATAACGAACAGCTTCGTGATCTTCTCGTTCCCGAGTCGACTCCTCTCAATGAGCGCGGAAATGTCGCCATTCGCGAAGATACCAAGGGCAACATCATCTTGACGGGCCTCCGGCAGATCGAAGTGAATTCAGTGGATGATCTCATGAATGCTCTCAACTTTGGATCGTCGATTCGCCAGACCGATGCCACAGCCATTAACGCCAAATCTTCGCGATCTCACGCCGTCTTCTCCCTGAACCTCGTCCAGCGCAAGAGCAAGTATGGTTCTGGTTCCGGCGCTGAGAAGCGCTTCTCCGTACCTCTGGAGGCTATGACCGGCCAGGACGTTACGGTAACTGTCGACAGCAAGCTCCATTTCGTTGATTTGGCTGGTAGCGAAAGGCTCAAGAACACTGGTGCTCAAGGTGAGCGTGCCAAGGAGGGTATCTCGATCAATGCCGGTCTTGCTGCGCTTGGCAAAGTCATCAGCCAGCTTTCGTCTCGAAACCCTGGCGCCCACGTTTCGTACCGTGATTCCCGCTTGACCAGACTCCTCCAGGATTCGCTTGGTGGCAATGCCATCACTTACATGATTGCTTGCGTTACGCCTGCTGAATTCCATCTGAGCGAGACCCTCAACACGGTTCAGTATGCCCAGCGCGCCCGAGCTATCCAGTCCAAGCCACGAATCCAGCAGGTCGAGGAGGGTGACAAGCAGGCCGTGATTGACCGCCTCAAGGCCGAAGTTGCTTTCTTGCGCGAGCAGATTCGCAGTGCAGAGCGTAGTGGCAGTAGCCCGAGACGCAATGCCCCTGGTCCTAGTGAGCGATCTGATCGACAGAACGAGCGTGAGGTTGAGCTCCAGAACCAACTTTTGGACACGCAAGAGAACTATACTGCTCTCAGTCAACGCCATGCGCGTCTCATTGCCGAGTTGGCTCGCGCCCGCGAGAACGAGTCAGACGAAAACCACGACGATGCCCTTGGTGACAGTGCCACTGATCGTCTGAACCGATCCAACTCATTCGCACAGGCAGTTGAACAAGTTGTTCTCGAGTACGAGAAAACGATTCAGTCACTTGAGCAGTCGCTCTCCAGCACTCGTAGCACTCTCTCTAACACCGAGACCAACTTGCTTGAGAAGGAGACAAAGTGTGCCTATGTCGAGACGATCAACAACCAGCTGCAGTCTCGGCTGCAGAAGCTGATGGACCGTGAAGCTAGTACTGAAAACTATCTTCATGATCTCGAGTCTAAGTTGGACGGCCACACTAGCGGCGAGGAGAAGAACGCAACCATCATCATGGAGCTTCGTAAGGAGATTGCTCGTGTGCGGGAGAACGAAGCCTCATGTGAAGATTACATCTCAACCCTTGAGGAGCGCCTTGCTGAGGCGGACCAAGATTCTGAGCTGATGCAGCGAGAGATTGACCGCCTTGAACAGGTTGTTGAGCGCCAACGAAGCCTCGGCAAGCTTGACTCGCTTCTTTATGAGCTTGATCAGATCCAAGATGGCAAGGAAGCTGAGGGAGAAAAGGCACCCGAGTCTGCGCCCGCCGAGCCTACCAACGGCACGGCTTCGCGCCGTGGCATGGCCGACCACTCTCGAAGCATGTCTCATGTGAGCCGCCATAGCCAGATGGAAGAACCCATTCCTGAAGGTGACGAGGAACAGGACACTGCCCAACACAAGATTGGCACCGTCAAGGAAGAAGCTGAAGACGATAAGCAGCACCTTGAGAAGCCTGAAGAAGAGGTCCCACCTCAGAGCCCAGCTCAGTCCAAGTTTGTGGCGGACAAGCTCGAGTCTGTAACTCAAGAGCTTATCGATCTCCGGGTTGAGCACGAGTCAACTCTCCATGACTACGACTCGCTGCACCACAAGTATGAGAACGCCATGCGACAGCTCGCGGAGCTGCAGGATAGTATCGACGAGGCGCGTCACCCACAGCGCATTCGCGACTCGGTCATCTCTGTTGCCACCCCGATACACACCCGACCAGAGTCTTTTTTGTCAGACGCGAAGACGAACGATTTGAAGGATGGACCACGGTCATCCTTTTCGCGATCGCTCTCCTCGGAGCTATCCTCAGCCATGGATTCGCCTGCTACCGCGGCGTCTTCTAATGCCGACACCTTGTCTGAGGATGGCACGGCCACTGCGAAGCCAGAAGCCGTTTCGACGGAGGATCTTCAGCATGCTCAGAGTGTCGAGCTAGCGGCCGAGCTTGACCGACTCAAGGCCATGGCGCACGAGCGTGAGGCTGCTGAGAAGGAACTGGCTGAGCGGTATGCCCAGCTGGAGTCAAAGCACAGCGAGACTCTCGATATTGTTGAGGAGCTCAAGACGGATCTTACACGGGCGCGCGCTTATGAGGCTACGTCGCCTCGCTCAAGCACTCCTATCATCCGACGCAAGTCAAGCCAGAACCTCCTTGTCGCTGACCGTGCTCATCGTTCGTTTGCATCCCTGCGTAACATCGCTGCTGAGAGCTTCGACAACAGGCCGGAGTTGATGCAGAGCTTCGAGCTCAACATTAACGCCGCCATGCACGAGCTTCACACCAGGAGCGAGCGTATCCAAGAACTCGAGGCGGATGTTGCGTCCGCTAAGAAGGAGATGGAGACCAAGATGACGATTATCTCGGGACTGACCCGAGAGCGTTCGAGTCTCAAGTCCAGCCCCATTGAGATGTCCATGGTTGCAAACCTGCGGGATCAGCTTGAGCAGAGTGAGAGGCAGCTTAATGACACGAGGAACGCTCACCTTGCCCGTGAGCAGACACTCACAACTGAACTCGAGTCTCTCCGCCAAGCTCTGGCGTCTAGACCTGATCCTAAGGACGTGGAGGAGTCTGAGCAGAAGCATGAGCAGCGCATTGCTGAGCTGCAATCGGAGCTGGAAACATGGGAGAACAAGCACAAGGAGGCGCTTGACACGATGGCGAAGACGGAGGCGGCGATGCGCGGCACGATCCAAGAGCTCGAGTCTCAAGTGGCATCCACTAGTGCCCAGCTCACTGATTCTCAATCTCACCAGACCGGCGAGAAGGATGACTCAGTCAGGGAGGCCGAGCAACGGCAACAGAACCTCATCAGTTTCCTCCGTAGCGAGATTGACGAGTACAAGGCCATCATCAACAGCAACGCCGCCAAGGTTGCTGAGCTGGAGCAGTCTCACTCTGCAGCTCGTTCTCAGTTGGATGAACTCAACAAGGCTCATGCCTCAGTCCAGGAGGATAACACCCACCAGCTGGAGCTTGTTGCCAAGCTTGAGGAGCAGATTGCTACCCATGATGAGGCCACCAAGAGCCACCAGGCAAGCCTCGAGGAGCTCAAGGCCAACCATGCTAAGGAGCTGGCCGATATCAAGACTCGCGAGCAGAAGGGCTATGAGGAGCAGGTTGAAGTGTTGCTGTCAGAGCATGCCGACAGCGTTCAGCGCCTGGAGAACGAACTGGGCGAAGCTCGTGATGATCTCATGAAGATTGCTTCTCAGGTCGCCTTTGCTCTGGGACTGGATGTCAGTGTTGAGAAGCTGACAGAGCGAATCAACGATCTCGCTGTTAGTCAGCAGGCTCTCGCCGAGGAGAAGAAGAAGCGTGGTGAGATGGAGTCACATGTCACTGAACTTACGACAATCAATGACAAGATCGTCCAAGATCTCGAAGCCGCTAGAGCCTCGTTGGCTGAGATGCTCGGTGCTGCCGACAAGCCTGGTCCTCTTGCAGAGCAACTTACAGCTGCCAAGAACAAGATGGTGGATCTGGACACTCGCAGCAAGAAGAACAGCCGACTGGTGGAGGAGCTGGAGGAGCAACTTCAGAATAACTTTGATGAGGTGCAGATGACCAATAACCGTCTGAGCACGTTGCAGACGGAGCGGAACGTGGCACTGGATGAAGCTAATGCGGCTACTGCACGCCTCCAAGCTGAACTGGAGGTGGCCCGTGAAGATTACGCAGCTCTCCAGGTAAGTTGACTCATGCATGACGTTGGTTGAATACACCACTAACAGCAGCAGGCCAAGTTTGATGAGTTGAGCGCTGGCGTCCAGCGATCGAACTCAAACTCGACCATCCGCAAGAGCGCGTCGCATGTGTCGCTGCCCTCACCACCACCAGCTATCCCACTTCCACCTCTGCCGAGTGGCGCGGGCTCTCCCGTCAATGGCGTTCCCAGCTCCCCGACCAACGCCCGTCCTGCCAGCAAGGACAACATCAACATTTCTCAAATCACCGAGGACCAAGAAGCACGTATCCGAACCATCGAGAAGCACCTCGATGCCGAGCGCCAGCTTACGCAGACACTCGAGGATGCCCTCACCGATTTGGAGAAGCAGACCAAGCAGGTCAAGTCCGACTGCGATGCTTGGAAGAAGCGTGCTCAAGAGCTCGAGTCGGAGGTGAAGGAGCTCAAGGACCGCCCCCCACCAGAGCCGGTTCAAGACAACCGCTGGAGCGTTCAGGCCGTCGAGGAAGAACGCAAGAAGCGACAAGCAGCCGAGGCGGCGCGTCGCCAGCTCGAAGAGCGGATGAATGCCATCAGCAAGAGCAAGAAGAAGAAGGGAAGCCTGAACTGCTTCTAGGGGGGGCTAAGCTGCGCCTAGAGGGCCTTTTGGCCTGGTTCGGAGCTCGATCGACCCTTGCAGTCGGCATGGGGTTGATTGAGCGAGGGAGGAGAGGTTTTGCAACGCTTTATGTCCCATGACGTTTTCTGCTTTTGTTGTTCACCATATTCCCCCCCTCGCGTTTACTATCCGGTCTGACGGCTTTTCACGTTGGGCATCCTGACCTAAGATGGCGAGACTTGATTTCCAGCACTGGCCAGGAGTTTGGAAGGGATTTTCTACTTTTTCTTCTCTTTTTTCTTTCTTTCTGATTCCTGGCGAGAGAATACCACCTACACGAGCAGCTCGAGGCATGATGTGATTCGAAATTTTGTTTTTCTCCCACCTGTCATTTGTATCTTTATTTACCCCCTTTGACAGATGGGACTGGGTGGCTTTCTTCTCTTTTTTTATTTTACTCTTTTATTCTCTTTCGTTTGAAGAATGAGCGGAAGATGGGATGATTGTATGATGACCCTCGTCTGGGTCGATTTACATATACGGGACGAATTCGTTCCCGCACGATAGTGGTAAATACTAGTTGTTCAAGACCTTCCATGCTACCTCACTCGCTGTGCTCATCGTCGTTTTCCTCGGATGGTAATGTTTCTGGGAACCATCCGTACTCGGAAAAGTCTACAGAGAGCTCTCCTAGTGCGCTTGTTGTTACTTGTACGCCTTCGGCTTCAAGAGCTGTGGCTTGTGTGCGAGCGCCTTGGGGTTGAGATCTAGACTGTTAGGGGTATTATTCTTGTATGTAAGAGGGTTGACTAACCTTGGAGAAATCATGCCCTTTGCGTTGATGACTCTTTGCCACGGAACGTTTTCGTGGTTGAATCGTTCATCTGTGTTGGAGGGGAGATGTTTTAGGCAGATGCCCACTTGACGAGGACGCTGAGCTGTAAACAGTTAGGTATTAGTGTGAATGTAGTTGACCGTAACTGATCCTTACGGGTGCCGACTAGCATCGCAATGTGGCCGTATGTTGTTACTCTGCCGTGAGGGATCTCTTGGACTGCCGAGTATACGGCGTGGAAGAAGGCCGCTGCTTCGTCTGAGCGGGTCATTATGGGCGGATTGACCCGTTGAACGGGTACAAGGACGGGTATAGTATAGCGAGGCCTCGATATAAGAGATGAATTGAATCTTGGTGGACTACTTGTGGTGTTAAACTCCTGTTGTGCGAGACAGGATTGAGCAATCATTCACAGGGCGTGTGATGCGATTTGCGGGGTATGGAGCTAGCGAGTTGCTTACTCTACCATGTAAGATTGTTCTCAATTCTTCATCATTCATCTCATCTCATCTCTAGTCTACATCTAATTCTACATCTTTCATCATCTGCCGCCTATTGCTCAGCATGCTTCTCGTTAACCAGGACATATCGATACCGAGCCTTGCCGGCCTCCATATCCTTGACCGCCTGGTTGGCGTCCTTTAGCGATCGCTTCTCCACCCAAGGCTTGATCTTCTTGTCGACAGCCAGTTGCAGCATCTCCTTAATGTCGCTAGGGGATCCGATAGCGCTACCGCCGACCTTGAAACCGCCTGCAATCAGGGTGAAGGCGTTGATGGGGGGGAGCTCACCGCCATCGGGAGCTCCGACCTGGATGAAGTTGCCGCCGTAGCGGAGGAGGCCAAGGTACTGGGTGAGGGGCATCTTGGGGCTGGAGACGGTGCTGATGATGAGATCGATGGATTGGGCGTGCTTTGTTGCCCAGTCCTCGTCGTCTTCGGTTGCGATATACTCGTCGGCTCCAAGGGCTAGGACCTCGTCTCTCTTGGATGCCCGGCGAGAGATACCGATGACCTTGTCTGCACCGAGGGCTTTGGCGAAGAGGACACCGAAATGCCCGAGACCACCGACACCGACGATTCCGACTGTCTTGCCGGGTCCGCAGCCGTTGTTGCGGAGAGGAGTGTAGACGGTGACACCGCCGCAGAGCATAGGAGCGGCGTCCTCTGATGCAAGACCATCGGGGATCTTTACGACAAAGCGCGAGTCTGTGCGGTTATAGTCGGCGTATCCACCATACGACTTGCCCACGTCACCGGGGTAGATGGAACCGTAGGTGTTGATACCGTTCTTGCAGTAGTTGTAAAGTCCAACGGAACACGCAGGGCAGTCATCTCGAAGACAGCTTCGTGCCTGAGCACCGACACCGACACGGTCTCCAACGCTGATATCCTTGACGTTGCTGCCGACGCGGACGGCCTTGCCGACAATCTCGTGGCCGACGCAGCAGGCTGGTCTGATGTTAGTGGGCTGTTTGGCAGGGGTTTGGCGATGGCTTCGCTTCACTTACGATAAGGTGTCTCTCCCCATCCGGATCTCAGCATATGGAGATCGGAACCGCAAATACCACAGTGGGTGATCTGGATGTCGACGTCGTCTTCCTCCCACTTCTTGGGCTCAAAGGGACCCCATTCCATCTTGCCGTTGACGGCATCGGGGGAGTGGCCAAGCCAGCCCTGGAACTCGTAATCGGTAGACATTTTTGGTGAGAAGTTTGTAAGATGAGGTGATTGATTGATTGTGTTTGTTTAAGAATTATGATTTCTTCTATGTCTTGGCCTGATCGCCTTTATATATCATCGGGGCAAGATTCTTTCAGTCTCCACAACGTCATGGAATTTCACACCGATGATGCCATCATCACTGGCTACTTGGATCTTGAACTCCCGTTTCGGACTTTATTATCGGACATAGCTGAGCTGGCACTGAGACGAATTGGGAAGATAACCCGTGCCGAGACCTTGGTTTATCGCCCCGAGCAAACCGCCGGACCATGACTGATTCATGATTCGTGAGTTTCCCAAGTCAAGCGGGTCACTAGAAGCTTTGACAACCTTAGACGGGACAAGATGGTAAACTCTGACATGGAGTGAAAACGGCGTTAAGAAGATGGAGTAAAGAATCCGATAGATTAAGTCATCATCTTCTAGAAAGTCGGTCTTCTTACGTGCCAAGTCCTTCAACTGCCGGGGTTCTGAAATAAACGTCTGACAGCTGCCTCGTCCCGACCAGGAACCCCAATCAAGCCCCAGCCTCTAGCTTCGGATGGTCGGTGTCAGCAGGTTGCATTAGCGTGAGCTTTTGTCACTCATGATAGGCTCGAGATGCAGTCGTTGACTCGTAAGTGGCCACTATTCCCAGATAAGAGGGGTGACGTCCACGGTGATAGAATCGAATCTCCGATGTATCGGTCAGCTACCTGCAGACCTTTAAATACGAGTATCACTCCTAGTTTTGGTTGTGCTACACGTGTGTTTCCACTCTGTCCGATTGATTAATTGATTACTATGGCGGAACATATAAATACCCCGAAGCGGCTCGGTCGGATGCCGCAACTCACCGAACTGCGAGCACCTGAGGACGACTGGACCGGAGTTACCAAATCGGCCGATAGGAGAAAGCGGCAGAATCGACTCAACCAGCGAGCTTACCGTTAGTATACCTCAAGGTATCTACTTCTTCCTTTGGCTAACGGTGGCCTAGGGAGGCGGAAGCTTGAGCAGAATGACGGCAAGAGTGTCGTCACTCAGTCATGGCCTTTGGATGGGTACCTCATGGTTGAGGATCCGCAGAGGAGGGCTGTTACGTATGCATTTATGCAGCTGGCTCAGATGCAGTATACGCTCAAGAACCATCGCTTGACATATCTCCCTTCGCTTATCCGACTCAACGCCGCCAACGCTCTGTCGCACAATGCGCGGACTCTGGGGATTCCGCTTGAAGGTCTCTGTAGCGATGAGATGATCTCCCAGTTTAATGCCTTTGGCCCAAAGACGTTGGACGGTGTTATTGTGAAGCAGAATTTTCCGGAGAACCTTCGGCCGACGCAGTTACAGTCGACTTTTGCGCATCATCCTTGGTCCGATTTGCTTCCTGCTCCTCGACTGCGGGATAATATCCTGCATGGAATCAAGAACGATGTTTTTGATGAGGACGAGTTGTGCTGCGATCTTCTTAGTGTCGTGAGCAGTCGAGAACTGGATGAAGCATTCCTCATTGTCTGGGGAGATCCAACCGATGTTTACGGCTGGGAAGTCAGCGTTGGGTTCTTTAAGAAATGGGGATGGTTGCTTCGTGGATGTCCGGAGATGATTGAGGCGACGAATCGATGGCGACAACAACGAGGAGAGTCAAAGATTGAGTTTCTAGTCTGATGATGGCTTCACGTTACTAGAATTCTTGGGTGTCATGGTTCTTTGGCATTAAGTACCCTCTGAAATACGAGGGCTTGGTCATCTAACTATGATAAAAGAGTGTGGTGAAGGAAAGGAAGATGCGAAAAGAATGACTGGACTAGGGCGCAACCAGGCGAACCCCTCGAGAAACGTCGACGGCAATACCCGCGATCCATCAACAAAGACCAGTCTGTCTGATGACATTGAGAGAAAGACTCAGTGTTCTCTGGGATCCCAGGAGGGACCGTTTGGACAGACACCGCGATATCCGCGTGCGCCGTTGCATGTCAAGTCACCGTCAAAGTTTTCGATGAAGGAGTCTATCGATGGTTAGCGAAGAAGAACGAGGGGGCGTTGAGAGGAAAACTTGCCTAGGTTGATGGTGGTTCCGCTCATGAGGAGATGGCCCTTCATGGCGCTCCAGCAATGGCACCAAAGGTCCTTTCCGTCTTCACTCATGATGCACTGAGTACAAGTCTCGTGCCAAAGTCCACTGCTACAGTCAGAAACACATCACACTTTGGAGGTGGGGGACTTACCCAGGTCCGGGGGCTAGGGCGCCATTGACGTTGACCATGCACTCTCCGAGCTCAAGAGAGCTGCACTTCATCTCACCCGTGAGATCAGGACATCGGGCAACAAGACGAGGAGACTCGTAGTAACCCGAGTGGATATACCCTGGGCTCACACGGTTCATGTCCTTGTCGCTGATATAAAACCGGACGTCCTTGCAGGAACCGAGGTAACCACCTGCACCGCGGATACGAAGGTTGTGAGTGAGGGTTTCATCGCGGACTTCAACCTTGGTGGTTTCGTTGACGGGAAAGTCGGGAGAAAGAGTGTTGGGGAGGTCTTTGAAGTAGGAAGGCTGAGGGTTTGCATCATGGGGTGTGATGGGGTTGGCGAGGGCGCCTAGAGCGGCGAGAAAGAGTGGAAGGAATGCGAAATACATTGTTTAATGATTGATGGGGTAATGATTGATTGTAGTTGGGGAATAAACTTGCTATGATCAAGACTTGAAACATTCGAGTTGGATATTCATTTATATACGTCTCGATAACTTGACTCTGAACATCCCTTGTCTTTGAGAACAAACCGAATGAAGCATTTACTCACACTGGAGCTGTTTGTAGTATCCTCCAAAGAAACTGTCTTGATGCAACGTCTGCATTGGCCATGGTTACTATTTTGGAGTCGAGAGACAAAGAAAGGTTGCCACTCCCGACCGGGTATCTTGGTCAGATGGATATATCCGGCAACTTGAATCTAGAGTTCTTTGTATTAGTAGAAAAAGGGTTGCAGTGCATGTTAAACTATTTCATGAAGAGATCTTTCTAAGTAGGGCAGCTTAAAGTAAGGCTACGTCCAAGTATGCTTACTACTGACTAGAGGATGGGTAATTAACTGACAGATTTGGCCTTCCAAATCCGGCCATGTGTCACGAGATAACCTACGAAAGGGGATATGGCGGTTGAAAGACTAGGGTTGCATTTGCAGGTGATGGGAATGCCCTTGCATGGTGGATCTACCAACTCTGAAGATGAAAGTAATGTCAAGAACTTTTTTGATGATGGCAAAAGGCTACGAGAAACAGCTTTGAGTACAGACATGCTTTCGGCAATGAAATGGGCCAAGGGATAGTGAGAAGAACTGCCATGGCTCAATGCTACCTGCTCCTATTCCGTCTCCTATTTGGCGCCTCTTTTGGGCCATCTAAAAGATTGCCGAGAACCGAGGGACCTTATTCATCAGTTGCGGTTGCACTTTCACGATGGGTTCAGAAATTACTGGTGGATTTTAATAATCACATGGCGCAAAGATGCTTAAATCTAGCCCCAAGTCTAGTTAATATCCCCGGAATGGCGGAGGAGGGAGGCCTCTGATTAAAACATCCTGGAAAGAATAACATCGGCTCAGGAGATGGGGGCGGTTATCTCGGACCACTTGAATCGATGTACGACAAGCGACTGCTGTAATGGAGTAAGGCTGTTGGTCCAAGAACGAGCTGATCAGCCTGGAACGAGATCTGCCCACACATAAAGCACGCGTCGTATAAATAAAAACTGCCAAGATATTCCTTCAAAAAAGGGTCCAACATCAAAAGTCTTGGTATGGGTCAACAAGCGACCGCCGAGACTTCCGCGTATACGAGATGCGACTCGGTAGTTCTTCCGCGGCATCTCTTGTCCGCTTCTTTTCTTTTACCCCTTAAAAAGAAGCATTACATGATCGGAAGACCCGGGATTTGTCTGGGATGGGCCCTGAATATCCAGGGTTGTGGGTGTCTGGGGAGGAGAAGGGTGCAGTGTGTTGCCAGATGGAGGTACTTGGACTGCTAACAACCAACAAGTCAACAAGTCAACTGCCTGCTTAGAAGAGCGCCTTCTCTTGCTTAGGTACATCAAACTATCAATAACTTGCAGTGACAAGTTACAAAGTAACTACCTGTAAAAGGACAACTGATACAACACCCCTTTCACCGGCCACGCACAGACACGCGTTGTCCATTGCGAATCTCAGGCCCTGGACCCGCAGTCGAAAGGTGATCCCCATATTATCAGCCATTACCGTTTCCACCACGACCCTTGCCATTCGCCCGCCGTTGGCTGTCGATATCGTATAAGTTCTGTGTCCTATTTTTGGCTTCGATCGGATGTGCTGTGCACTGTATATTTTTCCATGACCTGAAACGGGGCTGTCGGATGTTATATGGAGAACAAGGGGAAGAACAGAGAGAAGGGATCAAATTCTGGAAGGCATCTTTACGAGCTTTCTCTTTCTCTCTATTCTTCCCTTTATCCATTCTTTCGCTCATTTTACTTTGTTTGGGGGGTATTTTTACTAACTATAATGTTTCGACCATCAACACTACGAGCTATACCGTTGCGCGCTCTCTCCATAGCCGCCGTCGTAGGAATCTTCTTGTTCCTCCATCTCCTTTTGGCCTCGGGTCCTCAGCTCACCACCTTGAGCCCTCCTCCATCTCTTCCTCCTCGTCCCTCTCCGCCTCCCCTCCCCGTACAGACCCCGACCGAGTTCGTCGCCAGCACTGTTAGCTGGTCCTCGCTGCAGCTGCAGCATCCTCCCGTCGCTGTTAAGCCTCTTCCTCAGGGCGTCGCACAGAAGCTTCCACAAGTACAGGCTGGGAAACACAAGTTTAGTTACAATAAGAAGGCTGAGGAGAGGAGGGTTGCTGTTCGGGATGAGTTTTTGCGAGGCTGGTCCGCGTATAGACAACATGCGTGGATGAGAGACGAGCTCATGCCAGTGTCGGCGCAGTGGAGGGATAGCTTTGGTGGATGGGCTGCCACCTTGGTTGATTCGTTGGATACGCTTTGGATTATGGATCTTCGCGAGGAGTTTGAAGAGGCTGCCAATGCTGCTGCTACTCTCAACTGGGGCGAGAAGCGGGACGGAGCCATTGACGTTTTCAAGTTGACCACCCGTCATCTTGGTGGTTTGCTTGGAGCGTATGAGTTGAGCGGTCAGGAAGCCTTGTTGAAGAAGGCTACTGAGCTTGGAGAGATGCTTTACGTCGCTTTCGATACGCCGAATCGCATCCCTACTCTCTGGCTTGACTTTGACGAAGCTGAGAATGGTACCCAAATCGCCGGAAACCACGATCCTTCTGCCGCGGCGGCATCCTTGGCCATGGAGTTTACTCGCCTGTCGCAGCTCACTGGGGACTCCAAGTTTTACGACGCCACCGACCGAGTCACCCAGTTCCTCAGCAGGGTACAGAACTCAACCAAGCTGCCAGGCATGTGGCCCATCTACCTCGACTTTGAGCACCAGGTCGCCGAGGACAACACTTTTACGCTCGGAGCGCTGGCCGACTCCATGTACGAGTACCTCCCCAAGATGCATGCCCTGCTTGGTGGTCTTGATCGGAACTATGAGAGGATGTACCGCATGGCTACAAAAGTTGTGGCCGACCAGCTGCTATATCGACCAAAGGTTCCCAACCAGGACGATGTCCTGTTGGTGGGTGAAGTCCATGTCGAAGGAAAGATTGAGTTTATCCCCGAGACTCAACACCTCACCTGCTTCGCGGGAGGAATGTTTGCCTTAGGTGGTAAGCTTCTCGGTAACGAAGAGCACGTCAAGCTCGGCGAGAAACTCGCCCTTGGATGCCACTGGGCCTTTAAATCCTTTGCAACAGGAATAATGCCCGAGATCTTCCGTCTTGAATGTTGCCACACCCTCGAACCCTGCGACTACGACGAAGAGGCCTGGGCACCAGAGGGAGAGCCCATCCCTCCCGGTTTCCGCCACGTCCGCGATCCTCGGTACCTGCTGCGTCCCGAGGCCGTGGAGAGTATTTTCATAATGTACAGACTTACAGGAGACTCCAAGTGGCAGGATATGGCGTGGGAGATGTTTGAGGCTATCAAGCGGTTTACGACTACGGAGCATGGCAATGCTGCTGTTGAGGATATTATTTCTGTCGAGACGAAGCAGACAGACTCTATGGAGGTGAGTAAACTATTTCTTGAACGGTGAATGTGATACTGACAGACGTGCAGAGTTTCTGGCTTAGCGAGACGCTCAAGTACTTTTACCTCATCTTTTCACCTCCTGATTTGGTGAGCCTTGATGAGTATGTGTTGACCACAGGGGCTCATCCTTTCCGACGACCTACAAAATAAATGAGAAGAGTATAAAATAGGAAGGGGATAGTAGGACAAGGTTATTAAATATGGGGATAGAGGAAACGGAATGGAATGGAATCACAGAGGACACTGCTAGAACTAGCGTAATCTTTAATTAGAAGTTTTGAAATGCAGACTAGATGTGCAAATGAGTTCTGACTGAGATTGTCAATCGGGCTCTGTTGACTGACTGCTCATGACGGCGCTGAAGTGCTCGAGCGGCGCGGCGCTCTATCTGGATACAGCGAAATACCTTGTCATCAGTTCTTGTTAAAGATCCTCGGTCGAAAACAAATTGATAGGTTTTCTATGGAAGGAGTGGCTGGAATTTTATACGCTGCCTGTAATTCTTGGTCTTGTAGGATGCCTAAACGCTCACATATCTCTGTAATCATCCACCATTAACAACCGCATAATATCTAGAAATTCCTTCGCGCCGTTGTTGGAATCATCAATTGGGCAGCTCATTGGTTGCATGTGTCTCTTTTGCAAGCTCCAAGATCTTTTCAACCACAGCCTCCACATCATGCGTCTTGATGGGTATTCTATGTCCACCGTCCCACTCAACCAATCTTGTCGTACCAGTCTGGCAGTACTTGTTCATCAAGACCTGATGCTGTTCCGTTCCTGGGTCTCGTAGGCCATGGACATGCAAAGTTGGAATGCTCAGCACATGATCACCCTCGTTGGTCTCGGGCCAGTCAGTAAACTCGGAGCTTAGAAGGGCCGCGTCAACAATATGAGGCATTTCCTGAAGACGATGATCCAACATGATCAGAGGTGCCCTTCCAGCCATGAGCACTCCAAACTTGAAATGCGTCAGTGACTCTGCAGCTCCAAACTTTGCCGTCACTTGCTGCTGCGTCCACAATAAGCTGGCAGCAATCTTGGCGCCCTGAGAGAAGCCCAGCACACCGACCCACCCCCCCGTCCCCGGGTCATCCTCCATAGCCCGTCGGCATTGGTAGCGGATCTCCCCGGCTGCGGCCTCGGCTTCAATCTCGGGGTGGTCGGGCTGCCAGCGGAGCCAGCGCCGAAAAGGACCGTAGTCACCGTAGACGCTGACGATTTGAGGATGAGGTGCTGAGATGAATGGTGCTTGCATGAAGACGAGGCGGAGGGATGTGCTTAGCCGGGAAATTATGGCTCGGCATTGTAGCTCAAAGACTTCAGCGTTGACACCGCCGCCGTGGAGACAGAGGACGCGGGGGAGGTGGAGGGTATCTTCGGCGTTGAGCCTAGATTGTGTTTGCGTCATTGTTTAATCTCCCTGTTGGTTTGTAGAGGAGTATTGACATTTATGAGTGAAGCCGAGTTTGTAGGTTCCAAGTTTAATACTGTAGGCCGCTTCGGGTATTAAACCCTTCGGCTGACCATGTCTGACTTCGGGATCCGAGACATCGGGCATTGTATCGGGAATGATTATATCAGCATAGAAACGATGGAACATGGTAATAGTATAATACCTATACTCTCTATAAGCTAGTCAGTTCACCTCATTACTTGCGAGTATTATTCTCAATAATTCTTGAATAATGAGGCCAAGATTGGCTCACTCGTACAAAAACGCCAAGAATGTGGCTGTGCTGGACCCTGAGCTGCCATCGTCGCAATCATGCACGTCAGCCACACTGATGACATCAACAACCAAGCTGTCGCGACTGATCAACGAACCTGTTTCACTTTATCTTTCGCGCCACTTTGTTCTACAGATTACGAGGCCTCTTTGAGAATCGACAGCTATTAAAGGCTTCTAATCTGCATCTTTCTGGTGTTGGTTCTTTCAGACTTTAAGCATTGCCGACACAGCTCGTACGCTTGTAAGACAGAGCTACCCCGCCATCAGACCACGATCATAACCTCTCTCCTCCATCTCCAACAACAAGAACCCTCAAATACACTCAAATCTAATGTCGAACCCCGAAAAAGCCCCCTTGAATCAGCCTTCGGGCGAGCAGCATGGCTCTGGCCTGCTGCCTCTTGCGGACGAACAGCAGCAGTTTCCTCCTCCTCCGCCCGGTGGACCCCCACCTCATACCGAGTCTGGTGCTCCTCCAGCTTATGAGCAGGGAGGTGCTCAGCTTCCAAAGGATGAGAAGCCAAAGATTGTTCCAGAGGGACAAAAGACGGAGGGAAGTCGATCTGAACCTTCGCAGCAGCCATACTTTCCGCCTCCTCCTGTAGCGGCAGACCAGCAGCAGCAACAGCAATTCCCCCCTCCGCCTCAGGGTGCTGGAGGTGAACAGCAGCAATATTTCCCTCCTCCTCCTCCTGGACCTCCTCCAGCGCAGCAGCAACAGGGATCAGCACCTCACCCGAACTCCCTCGACGCGCACCCTACCAACCCTCAGCCAGCTCAACAGAACTACAACATCCCGCAGTACAACCCCGCCCAGCCCGCCTTTGCGCCTCCTCCCACCAACGAACCCGCGCATCAATATCAAGAGGCGCCAATTCCGGAGCACGATGCCGGAGCAGGCAACACATCGACCTTTGTGCCTCCCGAGGAGCATCATAAGAAGCATGGTTGGAGTGAGCGCTTTAGCCAGCTTGGGATCAAGGCCGCTGCTCCCATCAACAGCTTGGCGCATAAGCTCGGTAGCCAGAGCTTCCTCCCAGAGACACTTGACAAGGAGTGTGACAAGGCAGCTTCAATTTTGAAGTCTTTCTGCAGTAAGTCGTCTACACAAATTCGTAATGACACACGCTCACATCTTTAAGAAAATGGTGTCTACGCTGACCCCGGCGCAAGCCCGGTGCCTACTTCGACCGACCCGAAGGCCACTGAGACCAACGACTCCATCATCGATCCTACCAAGCAGAAGCCCAAGAGCCGTGTCATTGTCACTATCCCACCCAAGGTCATTGCCAAGGCTGTTGGTCTTGCCATCTTCACCACCCTCCGTGCTGGATTCAACTTTTCTGGCGCGACCGGCTCTGGTATTCTGATTGCCCGTCTTCCTGATGGATCCTGGGGTCCACCCTCGGGTATTCAGGTGCATTCCGTCGGAGCCGGCTTCTTGGTTGGCCTCGACATTTATGACTGTGTCTGTGTCATCAACAGCCGAGAGGCACTAGCTGCTTTTGCCAACACGCGTGTCGCCCTTGGTAGTGACTTGGCCGTCGTCGCGGGTCCTTACGGAGCTGGAGGCGCTGTTGAGTTTGGCACTGCCATGGAAGGTCGTGAAGGACGAAAGTCGAAGGAGAGCAAGGAAGGAGAGTCATCGGCTCAGCCTCCTCCCGAACCAGCCGAGAGCAACCAGAACTTGAAGCCCGAGAAGGACAAGAAGAGCCATCGCCGCAGTCTCAGCGCTAGCGCCTTCAAACCCGTCTTTTCATACGTCAAGTCGCGTGGATTCTACGCTGGTGTCCTGGTTGATGGTACTGTCGTGGTCGAGCGCAAGGATGCAAACGCTGCATTCTTTGGTGAGCGAGTATCTGTCGACAAGATCATCAAGGGTGAGGTGCCCCGTCAGGGACCCAACGGCATGTGGCCTGCGGGAGCACGAAACTTGCTCGAGACTTTGAAGGGAGCCGAGGTTGGTTCGCTCAAGGTCAAGCAGAGCAAGGATGGAGCATCTCCGACCAGCCCGACGTTCGGAGCCCCAGGCGCCGATCACTCGGCTCCAGTGGCGTCCGGAGCTCTGGGTACCGAGACGGCGAGTGGAAGCGGACATCCGCCGGCTTACAAGGATGATGGAACGCACCACCCTGGTGTTGGTGATGTGAAGTACCGCTAAAGTTATGACGAGTATGAGTTATGAGATACCACACTGAAGGAATTGGAGGATTTGATGCTTTCCTTGAGTACCTAATGAATTGATTCCGAATTCTACCTGCACAAGCTTCTAGATGTGATTGTAGACACGTGAATGTTTCAAGAGCCACTCAAGGCACAAATGATAAATCGCCAGTATTATTAAAAGTCAATCCAAGTCCTTTCTTTAGGGGTCAGTCTTTTATTTGAGGTTGACATCTATGGATGTTGATTGTGATCAAGTCTGTAGGGTACTTGGACGACCTTAAAGCTTAGTCATCACGAACGAGCCACACCCCACCTCGTCATTGCCCCTCCAACGTGGCGGTGGCCTCCATGTTTTTGGGCTGAATGAAGTCATCGCAACCTTTACAAGTTGGGTCTGACTTTGGTGAAGCTGTTTGAACCAAGTTACTGAGCTCCCAAATCTGCGAGCTCTGCTTTTCAAACACAGCCATGGCGTCGTGAGTAACTATATTTTCTATTAACCAGCTCTGCCTACTTACACCAGCTTAGCAACATCCTTGGGCTCCCCTTTCGCAAGTCGACACACCTTTCCCTCGCTTCGACGATACGACAGTACATCAACACCAAATATGATCAGCACCCGGACATGTTTAAGCATGACCTCGAGGTCATTGATACGCTTCGTCGAGATGCCGTCAACGTCCGGGAACCGCACCCCAGCGGGATCAAGAAGCTGCAGACGTATGCTGCCCAGCTCGTGTGGGTTGGCGGCAAGTTTCCGATAGACGTGAGTATGGCATGATGGAAGCTATGGACTGCAACTGATGAAAGTGTAGATTGGAGCGGAATTCTCGTGGTATCCTGCTCTGGGCTACAACACTGAACGTCCCATGGTCCGAAACAACCTCAAGTACGAACTCATGAACATCCTCTACAACCTCGCCTCCCTCTATTCCCAGCTTGCACTCAACACACCTCGCGGAAACACCGAAGGCCTCAAATCTGCGGCCAACTACTTCTCCATGGCTGCAGGCGTTCTTACCCACATGCAGACCGAGATTCTACCCGAGCTGCGAATGTCCGACCCTCCCGAGGACATGGATCACGACACCCTCGAGTCTTTGATCCAGCTGCTGCTCGCGCAGAGTCAGGAGTGTTTTTGGCAGAAGGCCGTTATGGACGGCTACAAGGATGCTTCGATTGCCAAGCTCGCTGCGCGTGTCTCGGATCTATACAACCTCTCTGGCGAGGCCGCTATGCAGAGCGAAGCTATTAGCAGTGCTTGGATACACCACATGAGCGCCAAACACCATCACTTTGCTGCTGCCGCACAGTACCGAGCCGCATGCGATTGTCTCGAGAAGAGAAAATACGGAGAGGAGGTTGCGAGACTGAGGGATGCCGTATCCTGCGTGACAGAAGGCATTAAGGAGGCCAAAAGCGGATTCCTCGGCAAGGTAGTTGTTGATGACCTTAGTGGGCTCAAGCGAAAGGTCGAGGAAGATCTGAAGAGAGCCGAGAAGGACAACGATGTCATCTACTTGAGTAAGTGACTTCTACTGGCTCGAGTGCCCAGCTAACATGGATAGTCGCCGTCCCTCCCAAGTCGGAGCTCAGGATCCTTGATCGCGCCAACATGGCCGTGGCTCGAGTGCCACCTCAAGTTGCGAACCCTTACGAATACTTTGGCGACCGCGCCGAGTTTGGACCGGCCCTGTTCTCTCGCCTTGTGCCGTTTTCCGTACACGTTGCCATTTCGATTTACGAGGAGCGACGAGACCGTATGGTCAGCCAGAATATCATCCAGGAGCTCGAGACTCTTACGGAAAAGCTACATGAGTTGCTGGCGTCTCTGGGTCTTCCTGGTTCTTTGCAAGCTCTTGAGAAACCACTGGGCTTGCCTCCCAGTTTGGTGCAACATGCAGAGGAGATTAGGCAAGCCGATGCGATTGGTAGAGTACACAAGAGCTTTGCCGACATTGACAAGCTGCGGTCAGGGGATCTCGCCATATTTGAAGAAGGCAAGAGGGCGCTGGCCTCGGAGGAAGAGGAGGATCAGCGGCTTCGAATGAGGTTTGGAACAGACCGTTGGATGCGGCCTGAGAGCAGGCAAGATCCCCAGGGCTCACAACTGTGGCAGCATGCTGCAGAGATTGAGGGCTACTTTGAGACCAGCGGTAGCAGTGACGCAATGGTTAGGGACAAGTTTGCGGCTATCCAGGACTTGTTGGCTATGCTCTCAGGATCTGATCGGGATCTGATGGACTCTGTGCCTTCAAGTCGTCGGGTGGACATTCCGGAGACGTTGAAGCCAGTTATCGGAAGACTCCGTGGAGCATACAACGATGTCCTTCGTCTTGAGAGCCGACGTCGCAAAAAGGTCGAGAATCTTCGGGAGAATGCTCGTCGCGACGATATCAAACCCGACATCCTCAAGGAGGCAGCCCGACTGGAGAGATCATATCCCACGACGGCACTTGTCCCAGCTCACTTTGAAGAGTTCTTTGACAAGAGACTGGACAAGCTCTACGAACCCGAGATAGAAGCCATCGACAAGGAAGCGCAGGATCAGGAGCGGATCCTCACTGACATCCAGCGCATCAACCGGGAGTTTGAGTCGCAAAAGAGACAGATGGGAGAGCGCGGCAACCGAGAGCGAGAGATGGCATTGCAGAAGTTGGACAATGCCTACTTTAAGTACAAGGAGATTGTCAACAACCTCGAGGTCGGGCGCAAGTTTTACAATGATCTTAACAAGATTGTTGGGCCTGGGTTCCGTGATGTTATCGTGGGGTGGGTTGCGCAGCGGAGGATGGAAGCGAGGGCTTTGGAAGAGTATGTTGCTAAAGAAAGGAATATGGGAGCTGTACTGACTGACGCTGACAGGGAAATCAACATGCCGCCGTTGTCGAGTTTGAACATTTCTCACAAGTCAACCCCGATTCAAAGCCCAATGCCTCCTCATCAAGAGCCCGCTCACTACGCTCCACCGCCTCACCGAGAGCCAGTGCACTCATATGCTCCTCCCGAACCTGCACGCTCATACGCTTCTCCTCCACCTCCCCAGCCTGTACAGAGCCCCGCCGAGGCAAGCATACAGTCATGGGCCGGAGAGACGATGCAGCAGCCCCGACCAGTTCAACCTCAACAAGCTCCGATGGGCGCCATGTGGAATCCAGGAATGGGCATCAAGTTTGGTGGACCTACTGGAGGCTCTGGTCAGCCTCCTGCTCCTGGGACTTGGAACCCCAACTCTGGTATCAAGTTTGGCTGAGGTAGATGGAAATTGTTATAGTAGATACCCCCCGTTAGATGGAGTAGGGTTGCTGCCGTCTTGTACTTGTAGTATATAACCGGATATTCGGAATTGTGTTGTTGAGGACAAAGAGTACATGTGTTTCGTCTCCTTATTTTATCATGCGATAGTGATGGAAGTGAGGTTCTGCAAACTAGTAATGTGTCTCTTTTCTATGTCGCTCTTGTCTAACCTCGTACTCCCACAGTACTTCTCATCGTATAGTATACACTCCGTGGCTCTCGGCGTGGTATCCCCTCTTTCCAACCTTGGCCGTCAACTCGCTCTTCCACTCCTTTCCCTCCCGGATCAGGTCGATTACCTTGCTGAAGGTGTACTCTGGTTCCCACCCAAGCTCTTCTACCGCCTTGCTCGAGTCGTACACCCTGTCGATGCGCTTCAGATAGCCCCAGCCTTTGTCCTTGAAGACTTGCTCGCAGCCGGGTGCGACGGCCTTGAACACCTCTTCTGGGTTGTTGTCGAGCTTTTGGAGAGTCAAGGGGTCGTTTGTGAAAGGTGGTGGTGCGCTGATGATGTACTTTTTGAATTGCAGTGACCTCGCCTTGGACATTCCGCACACAGCAGCTCGGACAATGTCTTCAATGTCGCATCTGCGGTAGGCGAGTTCTAGAACTTTGAGGTTGGCGTCGTCAAGTGCTGCTCTGCGATCTTCGTCGTCGTCCTGTTCCGGGAAGAACCGGCTTGTACGCAAGACAAGGACGGGCATGCCGGTTTGTTTCTGCACGAGGAAGCAGAGGTCTTCGGCGGCGACCTTTGTAGCGCCGTATATATTCTTGGGGATGGGAACCACAGCCTCATCGATCCATGCAGCTGCCATACCGGGCTTGGGACTCAGAGCTGCCCCGAACGTACTGGTGGTGCTGAAGAAGATGAAACTCTCAATCTGAGAACCAAGCTTGGCGGCCTCCTCAAGGAGCACCAGGGTTCCCGTAATGTTTGTGTCGACAAAGTCCTGCTTGGAGTGGCTCTCCACGTGAGGCTTGTGCAGCGTCGCGGCATGAAGAACATGACGGATCGGATTCTCTGCGAGGATGGACGACACGGCGGACCTGTCGGTGATGGAGACGACGTGGTTGGTGTTTTCTGACGGGAGGATGTCGATGCCGAGAGGTGCGAAGCCCATCGTGGGGAGGGAGAGCATGAGGGCTGTGCCCAGGTGGCCGGATGAGCCTGTTACGAGGACGTTGTAGGCCATGTTTGTGGATGAGTGAAAGTTTGAGGGGGACGGGTTTGTGAGGGGGGGCAGGGGATTGGTTATGTAGGTGGGGTTTTCGGCGTGTGAGTCAATCGAGGGTGAAGGTGAGTGTGTGACTAGAGAATGGCAATTGAGGTGATGTTTTGTGGTTGTGAATTTGTTGTGATAGTGAGACTGTGAGTAACGGACTTTGTTCCGAGGTGCGTTAAGGTTGGGGTACGGTCGGGTGAGGGGATTCACAACTGTGGTGTGACGTGTTGGATCACCGATGAGGAGAGGTTGATGGGCATTATCGAGGGCAGCTCACACATTAATGAACAGAGATAACTGATCCATTGTTCACTACTGTAGTTATATACTCCGAATAATCAAGACAAGATAGGTTCTTAAGGCAACTCGCCTACTGACACCCGTGCAAACTTGCCGATGTCGATGGCGTCGCCTATCCAACCTCTCGTATCACGCCGCAAGGTCCCGAGCAAAACCTCTGCCACACATGTAGTGACGACCTTCACAAGTCCTAATTCAGCGTTTCCGTCCAAGTCTACCTCTGTCCCGGAATCCACGCAGCATGCTGCCGAGGAGATGCTCACGACCTCCCGGCAGCCACCGAAAACTGTCCCCCGGCTCCCGCCCAGCTCAACTTCACCCCCTTTAGGTCTTTACTCCGCACCTCGCGTGCCACATCAACATCGTCGTCCGAACCAAGGCCGAGCTGTCCGGACGAGTTTATACCCGTCGCATATGCCCTCCCCACCTCGTTGACAAAGATTGTGTGGTCTGTACCACACGCTACGTGGATGGCCTTGCCGATGTTGGGGACTTGAGTCGGACGGAGACAGATGCGAGGCTTGTTTCGTTCATCGTGACGGATTAGCTCTGCGTCTTGGAGTTGCGTGGGTGTGAAGGATATGCCGAGTTGGCCGCCGTCTATTCGACCCCATACTAGACATTCGCCTGTTGCTGTTATTGCTGCCGAGTGATGGGCACCACCATCGATTAAAGTAACGCCTCTGCCGCAGAGATCTCGAATTTTCATGGGATACGGTAAAAGAGCCGAGTCACTCCCAGCACCATCCGCATAACCCGCCTCGCCGAAACTATTGAGTCCCCAAGCCCAGACGTCATCCTTGTGATCGATGGCAAAAGCGTGATACTCTCCCGAGGCGATGTACTTGGCTTTTCCGCGACATACCTCAACGAGACGCGGTTTTAGGTGTTCTGTGTGTCGGCCAAAGAGACGGCGGCCGAGCTGGTTTTGTTCGTGGGAGCCCCAGCCCCAGACTTTTCCTGAGGAGTCGAGAGCTAGGATGTGGTTTGCGCCGCAGGTTATTTGGGTGATGTTGGTGATGCCACGGATTTGGATGGGGGTTTTCTGGCATTTTATGAATTTGTTGTTTGTGTCATAACCGAATTGCTCGTGTCCTGAGCCATCCTTGAGCGAGTTAGTAAAGGGAACTGGTGATGACGGGGATACTCACGCGGAATGTGCCCCAACCCCAGACATGGCCGTCTTCTGTAAGTGCAAAGCTGCAGCTATCACCGGCGGCAACTTGTGTAAATCGTATCTCGGAAGGAAAAGACACTGCTGTAGGAGTCGACTCGTAAGGATTCAGCTCTGCCTCATCTTCGCTACCTGAGCTAGAGTCTACGTCCTTCATCACGCCATCCCAGTCAGTCTCTCTTCCAAGAGCGTAGTTGTCGTTTACGCCCCATGTGACGATTTTGCCATCTGATGTCAAGGCGACAGTGTGCATGCCACCACAAGATAGCTGGACAACCTCGAATTTGGAGGAAGAGCCATCAGGGTCGAGGAAGGGGTTTATCCGAGGACGATGAGTTTCTGTGATTTGAGGTCCTAGACCGAGCTCACCACACTCACCGCTGCCTACTACAAAGACTGAAAGAGGCTGAGAAGGAGGCTGGTTCAAGGCAGTCGATGGTGCTGCTGTTGTCCTGCGCTTTTTTGCAAGGCGTGCCGTGGCTCTGCTTTTCACAGGTTGTCGTACAGAGTCTTGGGATTGGCCTTTGCGTTTGGTAGAGGCTGCCTGAGCATGGCTGGTAGAATCCTTCTTTGTTGTAGGTTTTGAGGCTGAATGTCATTAGAGACAAAGGACTGGAAGTCTTGGTTGAGGTGTGCTTACATGGCGTTTGTGAGGTGTTTGATCGGGCAGCATGTGGCCGCCTTACCGAGGCCCTCGTAGACCGCATCCTGACGGAAAGGAGAATATAATATGCATGAAATATGACACGAGATGAAGTATGTGTTCTTTATAGCCTTGAATGTTTTTGAGATTCTAGGGTAGTTGTTTGGTGATGCTGCCTTGGTGCCTGTCACTCTCCATCTGATGATTGTGGTGGGGTTAGTCAGCTTTGTGCTGCGCCTACGATCGATGACCAGGATGTCCATGGACAATTATTTCTCCATTTATTCTTCAATAATTATATCCATTACTTTGATATCCCATTCTGTTATTACTGGGTGGGTATTGATGATCGTTTCTAGCTCGTAGATGGCGGAAGAGGTGATCTCCACTTCAAGGCTGAATAGCCTCAACCTCGTAGCTTGACACGCACAACTAATCCCCATCCTGTCTTGCCCTCCCATATTCCCATTTCGTTCTCTCGTCTAAAAGTAACTTCTTCAGCCTTGACTGTCATTGTGACTGGATCTTCGTCTTCCACTGGCCTTACGGGCGCTGGAGGCGGTTGTGGTGGTTCGGCCTTTTTGAACAGGCCCCATCTTGATGCCTTTTTGTCCTGCTTTATTTGCTGGACATTTGCCTTTACTACCTGGCGATCAACCCGTTCTGGTGATATGTACTTTGCCAAGCGGGAGGCCATGTCGCGGTCATCCCACCAGAGGATATTGCGGGGAGTCGTGTCTTCTGTCTCATCCTCCCATCGACCCCATTCATCAAAAGCCCTTTCCCCCAAGGGTTTCTGCTCTGGTTTGGGTGGTCTCTTTTCATCTCCTTGAAGTTTGCGGTCTTCCTGCACGCGAACTACGGTGCGGGATCGATCCTCGTCGCTAAACACCCATTCGTGGTTCACGGCTTCTTCTGGGACCATGGTCATCTCCACGACTCGTGGAGGTGGATCCATCGCCGCGATGGATGACAGCAGGTCTTCGACATGGGGGACCAAAAGTGTCAGAATCTCGCTGTCTCGCTGGTCGCGCGCAGAGGTACGGGCTGCTTGGTTTGAGAGGATACGTAGTGGGAGACTGTTGAGATGCGAAGAAAAGATGGATGTGATTGATTGCTGAGATGGTTGAGGTGCTTCTGTTGATGACCCCGCCTCGGTATACGGAGGGGGGAGGTCGTCGCCGAGGACGTTGGACATGATGGATTCGGGAATATGCCAAGGCGGAAGTAAAGGGAAGAATGCTGCGCTGCGTAGATGCCTGACGCCCGGTGATATAACATTCAGTTGGGTCGTGTTGTAACACTCCGAGTCAGCCCACCACTCGTGACCAGGCTACGAGCTCAGCCTTGCACATTTGGTGACAGGTCTAGAATCAGGCTGTGGGTGCCTGATGAGAACTAGACGACCCAATTGAACGGGAAAGGGTTCATGTGGTTCAATTGATTGATGATTGTTCCTGGTGCTTCTCAGGTCAAAGGATCAGAGTTGGGTGGCGCAGCAGCCGTGGATGTCATGCAATTTCCACTTGTTGGAGGCTTGGCGGGTTGGCGTTGTTGGCTGGGCGTTTTTACTCGGGCATTTTTTGACAGAGGACAGAGTGGTTTCTCCTTTTTCTTTTTAATTGAATATTTCCGTAAACGTACGGAGAGTGAGATTTGAAAACAACTATAATTATTCTACAGCGTTTGTTCGTTCAGCTGAATCAATAGCATATGTGGTCGAGGTTGACAGGTTCAAAAAGTGGCCTGTGAATTATATGTCTCACACAAACCGGGCGTCACGGCCCCCCACACCACATGACCTCTCTCTGTAACCTAACCTTGCATGTAATAGATGAACCTTGAAGTCTATGTCTTGAGAAATCGGATATCGGCAAGGACGATCCCCAAGGCATCATGATTCGCGATGCGGGATTCGTTCAAGTTGTCAGGTGTGGGGTCATTGGGGGATGGGATTGGACGGGAAGCGCAAGGCTGTGTTTGGGCCGCATTTCGAGACGATATGTGATTGATTAATGTTTCGGTGAATACGGAATTGGGACATGCGAGGGACATTGCATCGGCGTATGAACGAGGATGAATAAAGACATGCTTGGCTTGTACGCATTCGGTCACCGTCGTTAAGCTGGTGACTTGACTTACACGAATTGGATCCATTCATTGAGGCCCTGGGGATCTGCCGTCTCCGCTGGAGCATTTCCAGCCGCAGCGGAGTGTTACAGCGGGGACAAGCGCTAATGTCACTCCACTAAACACCCGGAATCCGCCCTGCCAATTCCAACCGACAATCCTTCCATCGTCATCAATTGCTTCGCCATCAACTAACATGTTGGGCAAATAGCTTCATACTCTGAGTGCCAACATCACAAGAGACGGCTAATCTCCGTGCTAATGCCACAATCTCTGGTCATGGGACCTCCACCGCCTTCCCAGGGGGGAAACCTTCCAGAAGCCCTACTCAGCCTCCACTCCCGTCCCTCTCAACAGACCACCAGGAGCTCCGCCACCTCAGGACGCCAAGCATCAAGGCACACAACGTGTAGCAGGGGAAAGCAAATAACCCCTGCAGGCAGTGCTCCATTAGCCTGGGGACAAAGCTCTAGGTTGACCTCGTCTGGAGCATGCAAGGCGTTTAGGCAATCATCTGACTCCCTTCTCGTTCCAGAGTCGAAACATATAAGGCGTCCGTTGTTCGCATTCCATCCAGTCGTTTGCTATACACATCAAAACTTGTCTAGGTCATTCACTTGTTCCTAGATATTTGCAAACAAACTCTCCTAATTGACTTGATACCCGTTGCCTCAAGGGACAACACCAACAACAACCACCTTCTTTCTTTACCACGCTCGCTCATCTACACTTACACCTTACCTTGACAAGCAGTCACACAACACCGTCAAGATGGCTTACAGAATTTCTGCCCCCGATGAGTACCTTGCCATCACTGGCATGGGCGTCAAGACGGTCAAGATCACAAAGGCGACTTGGGTCTGGCCCCTTCAGCGATGCACACGCTTCAGGTGAGTTTGCGCGAGCTTCCGACTAACTGTGCGGGTGACTAACAAGATGGCAGTGTTCAACCTCACGACTATGCCATGGATCTCCAGGCCATGACAAAGGAGAAGCTTCAGTTTTCGCTTCCCGTAGTCTTTACCGTTGGTCCCGATGTTAACCAGCGGGGTGCCAACACCCGTGAGGCCGGTGAAGATGACGAGCATGATTACAGACGCGAGGATCGTGGCGACTCGCTGATGAAGTATGCCATGCTCCTGGCCAGCTCCGACGCTGGCAACGGCACGCCCGTCCAGGAGAGCCAGCACGTCGCCAACATCGTCAAGGGCATCATCGAGGGTGAGACCCGTGTCCTCGTGTCCAGCATGACCATGGAGGAGATCTTTACCGAGCGAGAGGTCTTCAAGAAGCGCATCTTCCGCAACATCCAGAGCGAGCTCGACCAGTTTGGTCTCAAGATCTACAATGCCAACGTCAAGGAGCTCAAGGATGCCCCTGACTCTGTCTACTTCGCTTCGCTGTCCCGCAAGGCTCATGAGGGTGCTACCAACCAGGCCCGAATTGACGTTGCCGAGGCCCAGCTGCGTGGTAACGTCGGCGAGGCCAAGCGCAAGGGTGAGCAGGAGCGAGAGATTGCCAAGATCAACGCCGAGACGGCTGTTCAGAAGACGGAGCGTGACATTGAGCGCGCTCAGGCTGAGGCTCACCTCGACACCAAGCGAACCGGTCTCACCCGTGATGTCGACATTGCTCGGGTCACTGCTCAGCGTACTCTCGAGTCCAAGGATGAGGATCTCAAGAAGGAGGTCGAGATCAGGCGTGCTGCCGCTGAGATGGAGCGTCTGCGTGCCACTGATGTCGTCAAGGCTACCATCTCTCGTGAGAGTAAGCAGCAGGCTGCCGACGCCGCTGCATACGAGGTCGAGGCTGAGGCTCGCGCCAACCAGGAGGCCAGCCAGCGCAAGGCCGATGCCACTGCCTACCAGACCAAGATTGCTGCCGACGCTGAGGCCGAGGCCGACTTTGCCAAGGTTACCAAGAACACTGACGCCGCTGTCTACAAGACTCGCAACGACGCCGAGGCTTACAACTATGCTGCTCAGCAGCGTGCAGAGGCTGAGCTCTCTTTGAAGCTCCGTGAGGCAGAGGGTATCGCCGCCATGGCTGATGCCTACGGCAAGATGTCCCAGGCATTTGGTGGTCCCGCTGGTCTGCTGCAGTACATGATGATCGAGAAGGGCACTTATGTCGAGCTGGCCAAGGCCAACGCTACCGCTATCCGTGGTCTCGAGCCCAAGATCAGCGTGTGGAACACTGGCAGCAACGGTCAGGGAGGCGGCCAGGGCTCCGACGCCACCGAGACGATGCGCAATGTTTACCAGATGCTTCCCCCTCTCATGTCGACCATCAACGAGCAGACCGGTATTACTCTCCCCGAGTGGCAGTTTGGCCGTCTCAACGCTGGTGTCAATGCTGTCGACCAGGAGAAGGTGAACGGCAAGGGACGAATCAACCAGTAAGGGGCACGCTTTCGAAGGATGGAATTTGGCCGGAGGTTCTGCTTATTGATGACAAACTGATACCTGGGTTTCTACCCACGCGTGCTTTCGTTCTTCTCTTTTCTTTTGTAATGATAGAATGGGGAGTCTTATACCAATTTGCTAGTTTTTGAGATAATGATCCTTTTTTACTCAATTTTCCTTTTGCTCATCAGATTGTGGAGTGGGAGTCGTTCCTTTGGAGAGTTGGACATGGATGTTGAGATGGGCTCAAAACTGGTAATGGTACAAGTCTCGGTGTTGAAGAGTGCTAATGGGTTTATTATTAATACTCAGGTACCTTCCATAATGAAGTCAAAAACTCAACTCGTCTCTTTTTCAACAACGCGGTGCGTTTGGGGCAGCTGCACCTTCCCGTTTGCCAGTGCGCGACTGCACCGTGACTGCACCAAAATCACCGGCCCCCGCTCCTGCCTGCGAGAAACCTCACCTCAACAGCATCTTTGACCCGGCAACTTTTCCACCATCTTGACCGCTTCTTGATGGTCGTTTTATTTCGCAGCCGCAGAGCTTGATCGCCAAAATGCCCCCTCGAAAGCGCATCAAGCGCGATGCCGACCCGCCCATGGAAGCACCTGCGGAGGTACTGGTGGAGGAGCAGAAGCCCTTCCCTCTTCTCATGCTTCCCCAGCTGGTCCTTCACCTCGTATTCTCCTGCCTCCAGCCTTCTGAGATGAGTGGAATCTCTCGGTCTTCGACACTTCTCCGGTCGCTCCTCCTGCCGTACGTCTTTTACGCGGTCCGCTTCGTCGGCACAGTTAGGGACGTCTCTCTCATGCTCGAGGCTTTCCTCTACCACAGAAGACAAAGATTCATGAAACCGCTTTAGGAATCGGTTCGGTAAGTAGTCGTTCCTGATTAATGGGAAGAAGTTGGCCCTGACAAATCTTTGCAGATGCTTTACCGTCTCTCCTCGTCGTTCCGGACGCAAACCCTTGGGGGACGGAGTCATGGGTAAACTTCCAGGTCGTATTCTTGAGAGCCTATGGCGAACGATTCGGGTTAGAACCATTGATTTGGATTTTGCCGCCCTCCAATATGTTTTTCAATCGCGATTCATCAAGCTTCTAGAAACCTCTCCGCGCTGGCCCGATATAACCAACCTGAACATCACCGGGTACGGCAATGTCATGGCAGGCATCTTCAACTACTGGCTTCTAGAGGGCATCAAGAAAGATCGTGAGACAACTTGGTTCAGCACCTTGGAATGCAGAGCGATGAGCAACCGTGCTGGGCAGTTGGTCAAGCTATACCTCGGACATTACCAGTTCGTTATTCAGACAAGGAACAGCCTCCCCAACCTCCTGGCGCCCTGGATCGGGAAAAAGGCATTCGAGACCTTGGAGTGGTTTGTCGTGAGCGACCGTACCTTGTGGCACATACCAAGCTACAACCGTGGCTACTTCAACTCCATGTCGGATTCCGTACAGATGGTATGAATCCTGCCCTATCCTTGGTGCATTATAGACGGAAACTAATAATCAATTAGGCCGAGGGCACTCAAAGCCTAATAGAGACGCTGGCGAGGATGCCGCGGCTTCGGCGACTCACCTTCTGGGTTGAGCGGGGAGGATTAGGACCCTGCCTCGTGCGTCAGGACTGGACGCCAAACGACAATCCGCTCACATCGTGCGAGATGGATGATTGGTACACGAATCTGGTTCACAAGATTGCGAGATCACTGCCCAAGCTGGAGCAGCTTGGCATCATGGATAATCGTGATGTGGTTTACAAGGGCACTAGGACCTCGGAAGGGCACGACATGACAGTCTGCCAGGAGATGTTGGAGGCGGGCAGTCGGAGGTTCCCACAGGGAATTGATGACTAGCATCTCTCCACACTTGCGTTTGCAACGTCTTTGCCGCATTGCCTGCTCCAAGCAGGCAACATGACCTCGGTGCTGGTTAGCACTGGAAATACAAAGCGGACACGGTGATTGAGGAGGCCGGTGATACGTGAAAACCGGTGTCGATATGCTGAAGAAAATCGTGTTGGGGCTATTTTGACGCTGATATAAACCTGAGTTATCATCTTGAGGAGTGTATCACGAAAAGACTTCATTAAAAAGCTACTGTCCTTGTGCTCACTAAACCCCCCTGCATCTAGTTTATCGCCCTATATCCTCCATCTTCCGTAGTCTGCCATCTCTGAAGCTCCGCCAGATACTCACGTATAATAACTCCGGGAAACTCGAGCCACAACAGGTGTGGAGTGGCGTCTGCGATACGTTGGACTTGCGCCGTGTACCACCACAACATCTCGTGTCGTACTCAAGGATGCTCATCGTCACCCTCTAGGCCCCAGGGGAATGTGAAGTATTCGACCCCGGGCTGTACGGCGTCGAGAAGTACGTGCATGCTCGCGTGCAGATAGCTCACGGTAAAGAGGAAGGTTATGCGTGACAAAGCACGAATTTCTGAGATAATTGTCCTCGATTTATACTGAAACAAGCTAAACATGGCAGAGGCCAAAGAAAAAGAAGCATCTAAAGGAAAAAGGGACGGAAGAGGAGGAAGGGGCCAAAGAGAAACAGGGTAGGCTTTGCCTACGCTATGGGAGACGACGAAACCGTAGACATCACGGCCTTGTAGGTGATAGAAACTCCAAAACCCCCAAAGCCACTCACGGGTGCTCTTCCAAGCCCCATGGGAATCTGCAGCACTCAATTCCAGGTTGCACCGCGTCGAGGAGCACTGCATGCTCGCGCTATCTTTGACCTTTGTGCCATGATATATACGATCTCGAACAAACAGGCAGATCTCAAGAACTTGGGGGACAGCGTCGGCAACACACTGGATCTGGGCCGTGTACCAATCCAGCACCTGATCGTCTGTCAAGGGCTCATTGCCGTCCCCATCTACCCCCAGTCTATCTCGGATATCGGGGGCTGGAACTTGTATATATAGAATGTAACTGCTAACCAGTGGAGACTGGGCATGCCTTGTAGGGCCTCTATCATGTCTTAAAGAAAATTGACGATGAAGAATGTATATATATGGCTTCGTAATTGGATAAATCCACCTCTGAGAGGACACGTGGCTACGTGTTTGAGGGCAATTGTAGAGAGCTTGTGTCAATGGGAAAGAGTATACGCATTAACGCGCCGGGTTTCTGAACCAATTATCATCGATTCGATGCTGAAACCAGCTAATCATAGCAGAGGTTAAAGAGGAAGAAGAAACTCAAAGAAAAAGAGACGGAAGATGAAGGGACCAAGATAACTAAGGGGGGACGGCGAACTCGTCAAAATCATGGTCTTTCAAGTGCGAGAAAAATTTGAGAATTCGATGTTGCATTTATGGATATATATCGTTGTCCAAACCCCAGGGGAATGTCAAGCATTCCACCCCCGGCTGGACCGCGTCAACAAGGACGTGCATGCTTTTGCCATCTTCGATCTTAGTACCACGGTAGATTCCGGCGATGTCCACTCCCATGGAACTGCCAAAGTTCCCAAAAACGCAGACCTCTTCAAACTGCGGAACGGCGTCTGCTATGCGTTGGACTTGGGCGGTATACCACCACCACACCTCGTTGTCGGTCAGTGGCTCGTTGCCATTCTCGTCTAACCCCAACCTGTCGCGGATGGTATCAGGTTGAAAGCGATTTATATGAAGCGTAAAGGCAAACCGCACCAGACAGGGCATTTGCCGAAGGGCCTCTGTCATCTGCTCAAGGGATTGCTCCTGCACCTTTCTGTTAGCAACAGTCTTTGACTTTTTGTGGTGCTGTGTACTTACGAATGCGTCAATGTTGCCTTCTCGACCATGGTTCTTCTCAACAAGAGACAACCACTTGAGGTTCGGGAATTTGTTCCACATGCCGTACACATGTTGCATCGATGGGAAACAGGCCGTGGTGAGGGGGGGAAAGGGATGTTCGGCTCGCAGACGTTCGAGTTTCTTGCAGTGTCGCTGTGCATCTACCGACAAAAGAAAAGAGTGAATCCCGCTCAGGTCAACAGCCTTGAGCTTGTTGGGGGAGGAGTTGTGAATCAGGGCAGCCGCGAAACGGCGGTTTTCCCCGAGGCCAGTGAGTCGCAAGCTCTCCAAGTGCTCCCATCTCGGGGCACTGGGATGAGCGGCTCGGAACGTATCTATATGTCGGTCGCCGAAACGTTCCAAGTCGATGGTCAGATGCCTAACGTGGGATAGTAGTCTGACGGCTTGTAAAACCTGAAAGCGGAGCGCATCTTGGGACAACGGCAGCATCTCTTCCAAGTCGAAGTCGGATATCGAGTGTGGGAAGGGGAATAGGAAAGATGCACGGCTGTTCGATCAGATTAGTGGGGGTTGTTTTTGCTTGGGGGAAGAGAGGGATGGTACTTACCGCACAGCAGTCCATATTTCGGTCATCTTTTCAGGCGTCTGGTGATTGATGAAGCGACGTAGACGGTCCCTGACGGCTGGCTGGAGGTGGTCGAATCGAATAGTATGGAACAGTGACCGGAGGAATAAAGCCCGTAGGCGCTTAGAAGATCGTGTGACGCCATCTAGTTCCCTCCCTGTGAGGTTGGACCCGATCTCGTCGTAGATCTCAGGCGGGAACTGGTCTAATATACTCGTACCTGTCTGCGGTGCAGCCATGGTACTCTGAGTGCAGTTGAGACGAGGGGGGGGAGAGGTATGCTTTTGTAGACGGTGGAAAAACGGAATGAGGAAGAAGAAGAGGAAGAGAAATAAAGGCAGGGAGAAAAACTGTTTGGCGATGTTTGGTGGATGCGAGTTTTGGCGGGCACTGCTTGTCACTGGCAACCAGACAATGCAAACGAACGTTTGATTGTCGCCAAAAGTTTTTACTTGAAAAGAAATCTCCAAATTGGTATGTGTGGGTCAATAGCAAAGAGCTAATAAAAACACCAATTCAGAAATATGTGTGTGGGCAAGATGATGTACAATAGCCTCAACACCAATGCCCTCCTCGTCACTCAACTTGCATCCATAATCCTTCAATCCTCTCAGCCTCAGCCTGCAACATCTGCGTCCTTGGGTCAAATTGTAACATTTGAGAGGAAGAGCCAAAGCTTGGAGTCAACCCTGGGGCTAAGGCCTGCTCCCTCAGTCGGTCCGCCGCTTGAAGATCGAGAACGCCCTGCAACGACGTCTCGTTTCTGTACCATCCCATCTGAGAATTTCCCACCACGTAACCGTTGCAGCCTTGAACGTCTCCCCTGAACTTTGTCATGTTGGCAATCAGAGCGTCGGTGTGTGACTTGTTTAGCATGGCCATCCTGTTTGAGTGGTCTTGGTGCATCATCCGCTCCTTTTGCATGAGCATCTGCTTCTGCCTCATGTTGTCCTGGGCGTATGCTGATTTGAGCATTTCGAGTGTTTGATTCATTTGCCTGAATATTTGCTTGCGCTGTGCTGCTTGGTTGAGGAAGCTTTGGAGATCTCCTGATTGACAGGCGTCGCTGTACAAGTTTCGCATCCGGGAAGAGTAGAGATCGCAGATGCCTTGGGTGCTGCGTGCTTCGCGGATGGTATATCTGTTCTCGAACTTCATGTCCTTTGCAAAGGTCACGTAGCATTCTTCACAGATCTGGGCATTCTGCCATCCCCAGTATCGTCTGGGATATCCATTGGGCTCGCTCCTGGGACAGGGCTCAATGCTGGCAAACAAGGCGGCGAGATCCCCCAGAGCTTTCCAAGTTCCTCTGAGGATGCACTCACTAAATGCGTTCATGTTCTTGTTGAAGCGTGGATGGCCGACGTTGAAGCCGCACACGCGCTTGTCCGATTTGAAGAAGCTCGACGACTTGGGGATGAACCAATTTGCTCCGCCCCAGACGTTGACCATTGTAGAGTAGCATGCGCCGCAGATGATGATTTCCTTGGACTTGTTGGGGAGGGTGAACCATTTTGCGCCTGATGTTTCGTAGGGGTTGCAGAAGGGGTGCTTGCTGAATTCGTCCAGGGCTCTCCAGAAGATGCTGAGGTCTTTTGAGTCAAAGGCCCTGTTGGATACAGAGTACATGTTTATGTTTCCACAGAGGCACATTGTTTCTTTTCCTCTGGGTGTTACCTGTCTCCAGTATTGCTGGTCTGGCGTGTTGTGAAAGTTGTCACAGTAGCAAGCACCGCAGAGGACTGTGCCCTTGGGTCCTCGTGTGGTCTCGTACCAGGAGTGTTCATTTGTGGGCATGGGCAAACCCTTTTCGCACTTTGGTATTTGTATACGGGCTTGCACTCCTTGGCAAAATGCAGACCAGTTGTTGCTTGGTGCGTAAATGTCGAACACGCGTCGGACGTAGAAGGTGCTTGCGTCGCAGAAGGCCTCCAGGCCCGTAGAGAGGGTGAAGTTTGAGGCAAACGACGATGCCATGAGTATGTCTTCGTAGCAGGCCGCGCAAAAGGTTGCGTGTGGGATGCTGGGTGATGTGTACCATGATGCACCGGGCCTGATCTCGGAATCAGTACAGTGAGGAATCCTCTGTCGCTTCTGCATGAACTCGACAGCGTTGCTGAGACTGGACGAAGATACTGCCTCCGGCCAGAGCGTGTCCTTCATGCGCTTGGTGCCGAAAAAGCATTTCCGCTGCTGTCCGGTCCCGAGGTGTACCATTCTGAACGAGGACTGGAATTGAGTGTTGTAGATGTGGTCGACGTAGCATCTGGAGCAGATGAGAAATTCGGGTGCCGAGGGGTGGATGAACCAGTCGAGTTCCATGTCCATGAGACCGTCGTGGCACACTGAGATAGGGACGATGCCGCAGGGATGCATCTCTGGGGGATGGATAGGGTTCAGTGTTGGGGCGGCCTGGGGATTCCATTGTTGTTGGGTTTGGTATTGAGGTTGCGGCTGAGAAGGGGCTTGGTACTGCTGTTGGCCTCCATATGAGGTTGAAGGCGCGGCCGGTGATGGTTGAGGCTGTTGATACTGCTGCTGCTGCTGTGGTGGCGGAGCGGATGAGGGAGTGTTCAACAAACTAGCAGGCCTCGACGACCCAGACTGTATCCTCAAGCCTTCCAACTGCCTCTCTGCCTCCTTGAGTTTCTCCTCCTGCTCTTTCTTTAGACGTTCTAGTTCGCGTTCTGCTTCGACGATCTCGCGGTTGTACTCGTCCTGGAACTGGGCGGCGAGCTTCTCGGCAGCCTCACGGTCGCTGTCGACTTGGCTTTGGGGCTGTTGGGGAGGTGGGGGATATTGTTGCGGTTGAGGGGGTGAAGGATACTGCTGTTGCTGGGAGGGCGGAGGAGGATATCGTTGCTCTTGAAGAGGTGGTGGGTATTGTTGCTGTTGAGAGGGATGAGGAGCATATTGCTGATACTGTTTCGGAGTCCCTGGATGTTCTCGCTGTGATGTATCTGCTTGTTGTTGATATGCGCCGTATTGTTGTGCGTAGTATGCTTGCTGCTGCTGCTCCTGCTGCTGTAACTGCTGTGCCATCTGATAGTTGGCATTCTCCTTGGCTTTCAGATACTCTTCCCCCACCGCAGTCGCAAGATCAGTCGCCTTGGAGATTATTTTGAACAGTTTCCCCATGATGTCTTGCTAACGCCGTTGGGCTTCAGATATTCGGACAACCGCAGCTCCCCTCAGTAGGACAAGTGAGGAAGCATGCGGCTCTTGTCGAAAACAAGCCACCATCTTTAATAACCCCCTTCACCCGCATTCCTTTGGGCTTGGTTCTGTTGGCTGAAGGTCAGCTCAGGACGCCTTGCAAGGATGCCATGCAGTAGCTGCTGCAGGAGTGGGACTATGGTGATGGTGGCGCGCTTGAAGGAAGCCGCCAGAAGCCTCAGATCAGATGTTTCATGACTTTGGTAGTTAACAAGCCATGAGAATGCAATGTCTTGGGTTACTTCAATTCCTTCTCAATGGATTCCCAGCTGCCAGAGAGAGGTGACGGAGTGACGTCCTCAGCTGAGACACAAGGCGGACTCGCACGCACCAACATGTCAGGGGTGATGATCACCACGAAGGATCCATCTTTTGTTGCCCGACAATTCCGGGCCCAATAATAACTTCCTCACTGGGTAAAGTGTTTCGTCTCTGCTGAGGCTGACAGGTCCGTAACACGTTACGATCGACTGGGGAGAAAAGTAGCTGCCTAAGCGAGTGTTTCAGGGTTTTAGGATACGGCGGGAATAATCTGACGGGGAACCTTTGCTTTACGGTTATTTTAGTCTGGATGAATCCTTTATGTTTAGCTTCCTTTGACATGAGGGTCAAGCCCTTCCTGTTGGGTCACACCAGCTATCATGTTCATGATCAGGCCCGCACATTTGCGAGAGAGCTATGGCCCTCGGAGTTGAGTGACTGCAAAGGTCTCTCAAAAAAGGCTTTCCGACAAAAATTGCAGCACATCGAAGGACCCGGAGATGCCATGAGCAGATAGAGAGACATGGCCTTGACGTTTGGCCGGGTTCATTGTCCCTTAGCGGAGGCACCATGTGCGGATCTCCGAGATCTAATACCGTTAGGGGCTGTGAGGGAGAGGCCCCATTGACTGCTGGTTGATCTCGTACAATGTGTTCCCAGAGCTATAAGAGCTCCATGCCACTACTTGGGCTCTGTCCATTACTCCTCATTCTCCTCCATGTATCAGGGTGTGACAGAAGACGCACAATGGCCAAGGAAGCGAATCAACAGTCGTAGCCAGAAACACATTTGTTGGTCGAATTTTCGAGCCCTAGAAAGTCTCTGGATTGTTTCTCAATTACTCATACGGATACTAATGAGGGTAGTGACGGCAAGGATATCCTGAAGTCATCTTGCCGATCACCAGCACGGGTACTCAACAGCGGATCTAGGCCAACCATGATCAGTCTCTTCCTATACTCACTAAAATTAAGATGAAGAAGTAGTCTATTCTCATATTATTTTAATAGAGTCTTAGATATTACTTTGATAGTGGGGATGAGTATGCTCTGGCAGTCCCCGCGTAAGCAAGGAGATAGGAGATTAACTGCAGGTTCAAGGTGCGTTGGAGATTATACGGAAATGATGATATCGGATTACCTATGACGTGATTAAAATGCTCTTTTCATGTTGCTGGGGGTTGAGAGATAACAATGAAATGACTGTGTAGGTGGCTGCAGAAATTGAGACGGCGGCCGAACAAAAACATCATGGGATGACTTCACGTAAAGCACCAGGGGGCCCGGATAGAGCTACAGGAGGCTCTTTGAAGATACCGTGAAGTTGGGAGAAGCCTCGATTCGAAGTTATCGCGCGTGTGTCGTTGATGCCGCCTTCAGTGGCCCGCGTATTTTGAGCGCCTCCTCAGACAGTGTCGTGGCTACTTAGACTTTTGAGACTTGCATCCATGACTCTTGCAACCATTCCATTCCATGTTCAAAGTTCTTTCGTATCAAGACGAGGAAGCTGCTGCAATATCCAGAGGCCATATTGGACACATCGGGGATTCGAATCCAGGGACTGAATGCGCATGTCGACCCTTTTGTATTACGGAACAAGAAACAAGGGATATTGATCAGAAAAACGAAATCGAACATGCATCGTCCAAGGTAGATCGGTTGTTAGAGGCAAGTTTACAGATCAGCATGAACAAAGCGACATGCATGTGGGTTAAGACACTCCTCTTATTCCTCTCCCCTTTTGTGGTCATGTCGCATCCAGTCTCTTTTTCTACCCATAACCTCTATAGTTTTCACCTTGTGAATTTACTTCAAAAAATCATCCTTCCCTTGCTCCTTTAGCACCTCGTGCACAACCTCGAGAACCCGTCCGTGAAGGTCAGCCGGCGCCGCGACGAACCCGAAATTAGCGCTCATCTTTCTCCCGGCCGTCAAGTCAATTTTCTTTCCATGCACATCAGTGATCTTTCCACCGGCCTCCTCGAATAGTAACATAGCTCCTGCGTGATCCCATGCCTTGGCGTAGCGGTCTCGGCGCTTGTACACCCAGACTGTTGTGTTGCCAAGGCCCATTGCGAGAACCGCCCAGCGGAGGACCCAAGGTACGAGGTCACAGCCTGGGAAGGGAGCGTTGAGGCGAGAGGCGACGACTTCGTGCACGCCGTCGAGGGCAGAGTCGACGATATTGGCGCATGTGACGAAGCGGACATCTTGGTCTGCAGCGTGGGAAGCAAGTCTTTGGGGCGCATCTGTCGATAGGGGACGAACGAAGGCACCGTGCCCCTTGACAGCAAAGAATATGCAGCCTTGACCCGTGGGGTCGATGTTCTCATTTCGTAGAGGCGCCTTTGCATCGATGGATAGGTTGGGCGCTCCGACAATGCCGGCAACTTGCTCTCCATCCAACAGAAGGGCCATGTTGATGGCGTAGAGCTCTCCACGAAGATACGTCTTGGTCCCATCGATCGGGTCAAAGATCCAGGTTCGGCCGGACGCTGCCGGACTACTGGCACCGCATTCATCGATCAGATCGCACATCTGCTCTCGAGTTGTGGGAAGCTGGCAGAGCGACGGAGTGTCATGGTCACTTGCGATCCGGCTCAGCAGCTCCCACACCCGCTCCATCAGAACGGGGTTCTTGCGAAGATCAGAGGCATCTTCCTCCCCGACGACATGGTCCGCAGGAAAGGCATGCTTGATTGTCGCTGTGAGAAGGGCCTGAACAGCGAAGTCGGCGACTGTCACAGGGCTTAGATCTTCCTTTTCGATGGCGCCCTTGTCTTGGCTAGAGACGATGGACTGGCTGAGCTTTGCCGCCTTTTGCAAGGCGCCAATGGCGACTGTAAGCTCACGTGCATACGGACTGTCCATCTTTGAGGTGACACAAGCAGGAGATGTGAACGTCCAGTGTTGAGGCGTCTGTGGTACATGAGACCCCGCTTGAGGGAATTATGGATATATGCATATTTGCACCCGTTCATGATGCATCCAACGCCGTCTGATTCACGGCGTCATCTTAAACATGCACCAAATGGACCATCATCGCACATGCCTAACGAATCGGTGACGCTCGATCCCGCCGCCGTTACCTATTCGGCTGGTCTTTTCGAGTTTGTCCCCGTGATTCGAGACATTCTTCGCACGCGCTATTGTGTCCCTGGGTCCGTTTTCCTCGTTGAAGGTCTTGAACGGGTCTCGGTGTCCCGTTCTGGACGATGGCAGGCTGTACGACTGCTCCTTGGTGATGGAGCTATCTGCATTCAGGCCCTTTTAGGGGCAAATATGCATCGGTTTGTTCAGACGGGGGAGGTTGCTTTGGGAGCGTATATTCGATGCGAGGCTTTCCATGCCAAGTGGCAGAATATCGAAGATCGCACTATGGTGACGCTCGTTGTCGAGGATATTGTCACGGTCGGATGGAATGAATCGTATAGAGTTCTTGGACAGGATCAAGAGCCCGTAACACAGCCATACCCAGCGACATCCGAACAGCCTCAAGAGTCGAAGGACGTACAACCAGAGGAGTCAAAAGCTACGGCGAAGCCCAGTTCGCTACGCGCCGAGGACTCTGTATTTCACGACGACGATGAAGAAGCCACCGAGGAAGCCTTCGAGGCCTTTGAGACTCTTGCGTACCCGACCAAGCCAAAACCTCAGCAGAAGCCACAGCAGCCCATTGCTCTGCCCCGCGACTGGCATGACCCCCAGACACCGCTGAAGCTCACGACGCTACGATCCATCCCGCATCTCCCATACAAGCAGAATTGGTCTTGCAACGTGCTTGCCATAGTAGCCTCGCTGTCGGAGGTGGAGCCATCCAACCTGCCTCCACACAGGCAGAGGACTGCGCGACTCGTCGACCCCTCCACGTCTAAACAAGTACATCTAACGATATTCCTCGACCCGGAAGAGTTTAACCCTCGCGTCGGAAGTGCTGTTCTACTTGTTGGAGTTAAGAATCACCGGTTTGACGGGGGAAGTCTGAAGAAGTACGAGAGCGATCGCAAGAATGGGCGGTGGTGGTTTGAGGACCCGTCGGAGCTGGGATGGTGCGATGTGGAGGGAATCAAGGCATGGTGGTCTAGAACAACTAAAGCTAAATAGATGAAGGATGCAATAAATAATAATCAATTCTCTCATGATTTCTGGTATCTTTAAGACTTCAACTTTGGTCCTACTTCTGGTCACATGACCGTTCCTGCACATATGCTGTAGGCATCCAAGCGTGAAACCACTTGCGATGCTCTTCAACTCTACCCAGCCACGCCATCAGTACGATGCAGATCACTACCGACCAACCTGACCAAAGGCCGCCAACTTCGCCAACTCATGATCGCACGAAGAAGCAGGCCATCGACGACTTCCTAGCGGATCTGTCGCCTTGGGATATCCTGTACCTGCGGGGCCGAATCCGTGACGCAACCATTGTGCTCTCAGGTCTTCAAGATCTACCCCCGGAGCTCATATGTCTGATTCTTTCGTATCTAAGTGTTCAAGACTTTTGGGCGTGCAGATTAGTCTGTAAAGCATGGGCGATGGCGTGGGCGCAGGATTCGGTCTTGGCGCGAGCATGCCGCAACTTCTTCCCCGGTCTCTTAGAGACGTACCCGACAACGCCTGGCAGGCAGCTCTTTTCTATGGCAGTTAAGAAGCGCAAGAAGTGGCAGCGGCCCTTTTCCAAGTATACTTGGATGCGGTGGAACCAAGGAGTCAGCGGCATCTTTCGCGAGTCGACTCCGCCGCCACAGCTTGGCCCGGTACCTGTCGACTCGTGGTACCCTTCCCTTTACGCGAAAGAGAAGCTGGCATGGCAGCCTAGGCTGGATAGAGTTATTGTCGATGATCTGCGGACGAGAGAAAGGCATAGGTTTCTTCCTCCTGGGGGTGCCCTGGCGGGCATTCAATTCCGACTTGTGTGCATCAGTGATCAACTTCTTGTGATGAGAGAAGCCAACCAGCCCAACCGAAAGATGTCAGTGTACTGCCAACTAGAATATCCCTGGGTCTGCTAACATTAATAGTTTTATCGCCAACCTAGCTACGAAAGAGTGGAAGACCATCTCACTGCCAGGTCCATTTGCTACAGCGCATACAGAAGGGAAGACTGTCGGCTTTGGGACATCAACTGGACAGATCGTGGCCTTTACTTGGGGCGAAAAGACAACACAGCTCGATCTCACAAAGGTTCAGACTTGCCCGCCAGGGTCGGAGCGCTTATTTGGAGGCGTAGCCAATGTCTTGCCGCATCCAACACAAGACAATGTGGTGTTTGGGGTTTGGGCATGCTCCCGCAAGATCGCAAGTGAGTATATACACCAGCTCCCTCTGCAAGCTGACACTAAATAAAGCAGGCTTCAAACAGATTAGCTTTGTTGTGGTCAAATTCGAGGACGGGCAGCCTGTATGGTGGGCGACAGAAGACATTCCAAACCCCAGACGACACGCCAACAAAGACTGCAACCAAGAGAGCTATCTCGGACTTTCGTTTGCGTGCAGAAAGTCGGACAACTGCGGATCTTTTGCTTTGGGCATCTATAGAAGCCAGAACCAGGTTCAAACCTTGCCTAGCATCTGCTATAGATGCTTGCCGGCGACAAGAGTTGGTGACTGGGGAGCCGTCTGTTTCAACGTCTTGACGCAGACGTTTAAACACTACGAATACAGGTCCTCACGGCCGGACCTTCTCTGGATTGGAAGCCCTCAGCCTCATTTAACTACAGGCAGAGAATTGTTATTTGTGGATGCACACCTCTGGAATGAAGATTTGTTGCTGGCAGCATCCACCGCCGACGGAAACATGCGCATCGACCTCCACCTACAAACGATACATGCTGTCGGAAGCGGCTTTTCGGGTGAACCACGCTGGGCGCCGATTCGACTTCGAGACTCGGTGCATGCCGCGAGGACGAGGATATTTCAGGATGATGACTTTGTGGTTGTACCCACCATCGGAGGCGTTGTCATGTTTGAACCGTCTGACTCGCCGTCGGAGGGGAGGCCAGTAGACAATTTTGTTGACTCATTGGATACACCTCAGCCGCTGGACCGTTGGAAGTCGGAAATATTGATCTTGATAAAGGATGATCCTGCGCCTGAGAGTCCATCCGCGAGGGCTTCTTTGTTGCGACTTGCCAACAATCAATAGCACGTCAACACAAGCCGATAAAGTTCGGAACATTAATGGAAGAATTCTTTTTTGGGTGACACCTGACACTCTGATGAATGATTCATACCTGTAGAACCCTTGGTGATAGAGTTTAAACGGCCCGCCCGGCATCGGAGGTCAAACCCAAGTGGGGGCTCCATCAAAGACCCCCATGACGTTGGATCGCGATGGAGCACCTCCAACTGACGTGATTCATCAATCACGGGCAGTGAAACGTCTCACGGGGTTCTTGAGCCTGTCACCTGCTCTCTCTTTCTTCTCCGACATGATCATCGCCAACTGATAGCATCCTCCTACACTCCAAGATGCCTCCTCCAGCTTCGGAAGACGTCGCGCGCCCCCGCGATAGCGACCAGATATCGACGCGCAGCTCTAGTTATGCCTCTGATACGGAATCGGATGATGGGCGCGGTCATCGAACACGGATGCGCAAGGCGAAGCAGGCTATTCGTTTGATTTCCTTCATCTCGGCCAATATTTGCGCTCTCTGTAGCGGTTCCATCGTCGTATTTTCGCTGTATGCGCCGCTCTTGCAGTCGCGACTGCACTACACCCAGTTCCAGGTCAATGCTGTCGCCATCGCCGGTTCCCTCGCCCTTTACCTCCCCATCTCGATCGTCGGATACATATGCGACCGCGTCGGTCTCGCTCCTTTAGCCCTCACGGGAGGCATCCTCTTTGGCGGAGGATACGGCATCGCTGCAGGCGTGTACAGGAAGCTGGATCTTCAGTACCACGGCCATGGTGGGCCTCGGCCGGATGGGGACTGGTCGCTTCCCCTCATGATGTTTGCATTTGTCTGCATCGGCATCGCGACATGCGCGCTGTACATGGCTGCTGTATCGTCTTGCGCAAAAAACTTTGGAAAGGGTCGATATAGAGGTTTGGCGCTCGCCACGCCCATTACTTGCTTTGGGTTGAGTCCCATGTGGCTGAGTCAAGCGGGGAGTCGTCTGTTCACTGAAACGCGACCAGATGGCTCCAAGGGAGACTTGGATGTTTTCCGATTCTTCCTTTTCCTCGCGGTTCTGTTGTTTGTTATGGGTATCATGGCGACGTTTACGCTGCGGGTGGTGGACGAGGATGATCTGATTGATGAGGCTATCGAGGAGCTGGAGCAGAGCGGTCTACTTGACGGGAGCTCGCTGCTAGGCAGGACCAGCAGCTATGGCGGCGTGAGTGTGCAGGGCGATGATCTGGAGAATTCGTCGCTGCTAGATCCGACCAAGGACGACAAGAAGTGGAAGAAGAACTGGGTTCTCAACGCTGAGACGCGACAGTTCCTAGCTGACAGGACGATGTGGCCCTTTGCTTTGGCGTTCCTGTTGATGGTAGGTCCGGGCGAGGCCTTCATCAACAATCTGGGTACCATCATTGGTACTCTGACGCCACCAATGTCGGAAGGGTTTGGACATCACACGTCGGCAGCCACGCATGTGTCCATCTTTGGTGTTACAAACACTCTTTCGAGAATTTTCATCGGTACTCTGACGGATCTATTGGCACCCTCGCCTCAGACTCAGCATGTTCAGGTCAGCCACGCTCGGTCGGCTGTCAGTGATCGCTTCGCCATCTCTCGCGTTGCATTCATGGCATTCTTCGCCACTCTCCTGTCGCTTGGCCTGCTCGTCCTGGCGTCGGGTTTCGTTCAGAACCACTCTGAACGTTTCTGGCTCGTCTCTGGCATGGTTGGTGCTGGCTACGGTGCCATCTTCAGTCTCACGCCCTTGATCGTCACCATCATCTGGGGCGTTGAGAACTTTGCCACCAATTTTGGCATCATCGGCATGCTGCCTGCCCTTGGCTCGACTTTCTGGGGCCTCGTGTACTCGGCGGTTTACCAGAATGGTGCCAACCACCCTGGGGATGAGCCCGGGGATGGAGATGACCTCTTTTGCTACGGACAGCGATGTTATGCTGGGACGTACTGGGCAGAGACTGTCACAGTCTGGGTTGGTATTGGACTACTTCTTTGGGCGTGGAAGGGAAGGCAGGGCTGGGTACAGCGCGGTATTGTGATTTGAGCATTCTCACGGCGTTTCTGGATAGAAGAGCATACGAGTCGTTGCATCACCAACTGGGTAGGGGTTTTGCTAGCACAGCATTCGCTTTCATCGGCATCTCATCATGGGCATATTTAGTTTTTGGTTTTTATACAATGTCATGTCACACTCCGAAATTCGGTCTTGAAGCTTGCATGAACGGTAGGGGCTTGCATGTTGACCACGAGCTTTACCCCGGATTCTCAACGTTTGCCGTGGAAGCTGCTGTGCGACCCATCTACCGTGATGCTCATTCGCCAAAACCGTTCTATTTCCCAGCCACCTCTCAAGAAAATTGTTAACGAGGTACATGTCGGTCCTTAATCTTGACTCCGGGCGGTGTTCTCTCCACCGCCCGGGCACAGATCAACCCCCGGGAGTTGAGACTCTTCCCCTGTTCACGGTCCACTTGAATCATACGAATGGCCACGGGGAAACGATAGGAAGCTCCCGGGCATCATGCCAAACAAACGGGAACCCGCTTTGTCGGGGCTCACGATGGCGCCTGGAGGCTCTTATCTTGGGTTGATGGGTCTGGGGATTAGTGAGCGGAGGTTGAAGCGGGTTAATGATCGTCATGGCCGGTGGTGGCTGGGTCTGTGTTAGAGTATGCCTTGAATGAAGAGTAAACTTGGATCTATGACTGGAAAGTTGGTTGATGATGGGTAAGCCTCTGAGGTCTTTGTGGATGTTGCCGATACGAAACTTTCAACGGTGAACGGGTTCAGCCATTGAGTTTGTATCTGTATCTGCGAGTCATGAAGCCATTGACGCGTTTCTGCATGACTGAGACCGAGTTATGACCTATCTGCCATGTGCCAACTAATTACGCTATCTGTATCATTTGGAAGATCACTTTCCCTTCCATGATGGCCGTCCTTTGGGCAGATTTGAAGGGGAACCGCTATAGCTCGTAGATAGTCTCATCCAGCAGAAGACCAAATTTTGGATAAGAAAGTGGATGAACGTGCCATTGTGGCAACGCTTTTGGAGCTGTCAAACGATGATAGGAGCTTAAGAGCGGTGATATTGGACTTGCAGTTACATTCAGCTCCAGGAGCTATGGTCTCCTGAGGACTAGACCCGAATTTACCACGACACAAGATGTCATCTTACCAGATCAACCATCTGTCAAAGTCAAGGTTGGCCCCAGCATCCGCTCCGCTGAGCCGGTAGTTTGTATCGTCTGTTGGTCCCATCCATCCTTGCGATGTGGATTTGCTTACCCCGGACTCAGCTAACCGTGTTTAACAAGATGATTATTTCTTTTACGTAATGTTTCGCTAGGAGAGGATTTCCCCAGGTTTGTTCGCTAAATGTTGCCCGCGGAGTAACCAACAAGTCGGCATGGGTTACTAATGGGAGGAGCATCACGAGGGGAAACGAAATGATGTGACATGTGGTCAATTGGTATCTAGTAGTTAACAAGTGTCTCTAGTCTTCTAATGGGATGCTTCTAATAGGCATATCGGAAGTTGGGGTTCTCAAAGTCTGTGAGATCCTGGAGAGCAGCGTTCTCATCCTCAATGACTGGGCCCTGGGCATCTCGGAGCTTGTTCCTTCGGATGAGCACGTAGCGGAGGATGAGGGCGATGAGGACTTGGCCAGCGACGCAGCCGATGATGAGCTTGCAGCCTGTCTGGTAGATGGGGGCTTCGGAACCGAGGAAGCCGTGAGGGCCGATGATGTTGCCGATACAGTAGGCCTTGGATTGTTAGCTTTTGAAGAATGCGATGTTGGGAGTTTAAGGACTTACAAGGAAGACAAAGGCTGTGGCGGTGGTTCGCTTGGTGTAACCACCGACGTTGGAGGCGGGCATTTGAAGGGCAACGACAAGTGCACCAACGAAAGAAGCGCACTAATCACGGTTAGAGAGTGTGTGGTACAAGATCAATCAGGTAACTCACAATGTAGTAGCCAGCAAGAAGACCTCCCTTGTTGGTTCGGGGAAGCTGCCAGAACAGAGTCACGGCAACAAGAGTAGGCATCAACCACACAATCATGACAATAGTTCGGACATTCTTGAAGCGCGAGGCAAGGTAAGGACCAGTAAAGTCAAAGACAACCATGCAGGCGCCGTAAGGAATACCGTACGCAGTAGTCAGAAGAGGGTCCTTGGTGAAACCCTTGACGATGAGCTTGGAAAAGTTGGCGATTCCACCGTTGATGACCTCGTTGAGGAGAGTAAAGAAGAAGAGCAGCCAGATCTGAGAGTCGCAGAAAACTTCCTTGATCTGGTTCCACTTGATCTTGCGGTTAAAGACACCGGTGCGGTTACGAGCGCTTTGGGCGATGAGCATGGCTCGCTCCTCGACTGTGAACCTCTTGGCTGTGAGGATGTTGTTGGGGAGGTAGAAGAAGAGAAGGATACCCCAGCAGATGGTAAGACCGCCGCAGAGAACGTAGATGATGCGCCAGACGTCCCAGCCCTTTGCTTGGCCGACTCCGTAGAAGAGGATACCGCCAAACATGCTGCCTACGCCGTTGAAGCAGTAGAAGAGACCTGCTCGCGAAGGCTGGGATTCACCGCGGAACCATTGGGAGACGATGAGCATGAAAGCAGGGGTGATGACGGCTTCAAAGGTACCGAGGAGGAAACGGCAGACTGCGAGGCCGGCAAAGTTCTGACAGGCTGCTGTGAGGCAGAGGATGGTGCCCCAGGTGATGACGAAGGAGCTGACCACCGTGCCGGTGGGGAGACGCTGAGCAAGGTATGAAGCAGGCCATTCTGCGACGAGGTAGGCAAAGTAAAAGATCGAAGCCATCCAGCTGTACTGGTCGCTGGTCATGCCGGTAGACGTGAAAAGGTCAAAGACGGCAGAGTAGCCGAGTGCCTGCTTGTCGATGTACTGGAGGAGGTAGGTGCCGCAGAGCAGAGGCATCAGGGTCCAGTCGACCTTTCGACGGAGTTTCTTGAGGGCGGTCTCATCCGACATGAGCTCGTGGAGGCGTGAGTGGGCGATTCCATGGTCTCGGAGGAAGATTTCTGCTTCGTCGAGATCTGAAATGGTGCCGGCTTTGAGATCTGCCTCGACGTCATCGTTGTCGATGATGGCGGGCTTCTTGTCGACCTCGATGTCTTGCATCTTTGTGTCGGCCATGGCTAAAGTTGTCTGGTCAAGGTGTTGAGTTGAGGAGTTGGATGAGAGTTGCCTGTCTTCTCAATGGCAAGAGATGGCGAGGAGCCGCCCTTTTTGTGCTCGACGGGACCCATGATGAGGGGACGTGTTCAAACCCCAGAAACGAGGCTTAATCCGGGGAAAGGCATGGATGAGAGAGGTCCCACTGATAGCAGCCGGGTAGTGGAGTTTGAAGAGATACCGCCAAGTTGGGATAAGACGAGGGGGTGAGAGATAGCGGGGGGGCAAGTACTGTCGTATCTTGGGAGTTTGTAGAGAAGCAGGGGTGCGGGCTTGGCCACGGTAGAGTGCTAAGTCCCGGACTCCAGATCAAGGTGCGAAGATGAGATATGGAGATGGGAATAAGACGTATCTAGAACGGTGATAAAGGTCGAACTAGGAGATGTTCTGGCAAATGATGCTCGTGAATAGGCTATCTCTGTATCAGATGATGTTGAGTATGGCGTTTCTTGGCAGCTGATCGGATGTTGAGGTAGATTCCGAAGTTGATGATGAGGCTGATGATGATTGATGAGGATGGATTAACACGGCTTGAGATGGATATACTCGGGAATCACTTGGGATACAGACGGGCATCGTTTGGGATAGTTTTGTATTCCCCCTTGAATTTAGGGATATTGCTAATCTTCACCAACCAACCCCAACCAAACACCTCGCTTCAACTCAACTCTATGCTCACAAACTCCTCTATACTTTCGAACTCCAGACCTTCTTTCCTCCGAACCAAGTCTCCTTGATCTCAGCCTTGAGCAACTGAGTTGCTTCCCACTGCATGTCCACCACGATAATGTCGGCGATCTTGCCAACCTCGAGACTTCCTACACGATCATCCTGGAATACACTCTTTGCCGCTCCCGCTGAACCAGCCACCACCGCTTCACAGACTCCTAGACGAAAGTTCTCGTTGACTACCTCCTCACACTCGGGCTCCCTCGCCGATCGACGGGTTGTGGCGACGTAGATGTTGTGAAGGGGGTTCCAAGGTGCTGTTGGGCTGTCGCTGCCCAGTGCTAGGAGAGCTCCAGAGTCTGCGAATTCGCGGTATGCAAAGGCTCGCTTGCAACGGTCTCCGATAAGACGGGGCCAGGCGCGGAGAATGGCTGGATCAGCGTGGACAGGTTGGATGGATGCTGTGAGGCCGAGCTTGCCGAGACGCTTTGCATCTTCAGGGGATGCCACCTCGAGGTGCTCAATCCTATGTCTACCGCCTGACTTGCCGTACTTTTCGAGCATGTCTACTGCCATGGTGATGGCAGCGTCTCCGATGGCGTGCAGGGCGATCTGAAGACCTGCCTCTGAAGCCTTCTTCACCACAGGCTCAAGGTCCTCACGGGTCCAGATGGGAGGTGGTGATGGAGCTGTGGCATATGGCTCTGAGAGGAAGGATGTACAGGCGTCGATGATGCCGTCGCAGATGACCTTGATACCCGCGATGCGCAGGTCAGGAGACTTCTCCTTGTTGTACTTGGCCGCTAGCTCGATGGCTCGGTCGACTTGACGGGATCGCTCTTCTGCTGTGTCGGCTGGCTTGATGATCCAGTACGCCGTGATGCGCATCGAGATTTCTGGGTGACGCTTCTTGAGGTCGGTGAGAGATTCCCAAGCTGCCTCGTCCATGGCCATCTCGATGAGGCCTGTGTATCCAGAGGAGTTGTAGGCTTCAAAGGCTGCGAGCATGCACTCAATGCGGTCCTCATTTGTGGCTACTGAAGCCTGGTGAGGCCATACGATGGATAGCACTGAGCCTTCGCTAAGGACTCCTGATGGTCTGCCCTGCTCGTCTCTCTCGATGATGCCACCTGGGGGATCCGCCATGTCGGCCACCTTCATCTCTTCCAAACCCGCCGAGTTGCACCACGTCGAGTGCATGTCCTTTGTGTCGACATAAATAGGCCGCGAGTCAATCTCATCAAGCAGCTTGGCCGTGACGCCGTCTGGAGTCATGGAGTGCATCCACCCCTTGGCCATGATCCTTGGCACATCCGGGTTTGACTTGGCATAGTCTCGCAGAGTGTTGAGGATGTCGTCGAGGTTCTTGCAGTGCTCGAGTCCAACCTTGCGTAGAGACTGGCCCAGAAGCAGCAGGTGCATGTGGCCGTCGATGAAGCCTGGGAGGATGGTCTTCCCCGCGAGGTCCTGGACTGCCACGTCGGGGCCGGTAAACTTGGCTGACAGCTCCTCTTTTGTGCCGATGGCTTGGATGATGCCGTCTTTTACAAACATGCTCTCGGCAAACGTCGGCTGGTCGGCGAGGCCGGCCTCGGACCTGGTGAGGATGTTACCATTGATGAAGAGGGACGCCATGGTGAAGTATAGTGAGGCAAGGTGAGATTACGATAGCTCAAGTGAGCAGCAGAGCTTCAGCTACTTGTACTCGGGATCGTATGTTTGCTGTTTGGCCTCTCCGGCAGCGGCCCGGGTTGGTTTGCGCCATGCAGGAGAGCCCCTCAAGGGTGGGTAGAGCCATCACACGTGCCTATCATTGCTGTGACGGCCGTGGTGGTGTGGAGGCTTCGCGCGGGGAGCTACCGAGGGAGAAGGTCGAAAAGGGCAGTGAGGTGCGGCGCCGAGGGACGACGTGGTTTGAGGCCTGACAAAGAGGAGGTGGTGAGATAACCTGGGTGGTGTTTACAGGCTGGCATGCATCAAGAGTATATCTCGAGACCCAACTTCAAAATCACCTTTGATAATCACCTCTATTCCCGTGTCTTGTCCTCATCTCCGACTGCCAAGCCAACAAAAAAAGCAAGCCGTGACCGACTCCACACAACCAAGATCCAAGTTCACCGGGTGTGGGGGTCTAACGGAGGATTTTGTGGAATTGGTAAATGCCGGAACCGGACTCGAACTCGTGGGACCCCTTGAACTTTGTTACACAGACGCTGTTTGAGAGAGTCGATTGGATGGTTGTTAGTAAAAAGATGGGGGCTGGGAAAATTCGCTCACGAGAGATGATCTTATCAGATGCAAATCAAAACGTCATCATGCGAGCCGTGAGGATCCAGTCTTCCAAGGGTCAAGAGCCCTACTCTGCGAGTAATCCGGCGCCTTCATCTGCGCTGGTGCTTGAACGAGATGTTCCTGTTCCTGATCTGAAGCATGGGCAGGTTCTCGTTCGCGTCCATGCTACGACCGTGACTCGCGACGAGTTGACCTGGCCTGAGTCATACCATCATGAGCTTCGAATTCCCGGATATGATTTCTCCGGTGTTGTTGAAAAGGTTTGTGAGGAGGGGATGTTTAAGCCTGGGGATGAGGTGTATGCTATGGTTAGCACCAAGAGAGGCTCGACATGGGCAGAGTATGCGATGGCGGAGGAGGATGAGTTGGCTCCGAAGCCGAAGAACTTGTCCTGGGCTGAGAGCGTCACGGTTCCTCTTAGTGCGTTGACGGCGTGGCAGGCTTTGTTTGTCCAAGCAGGCGTGCCGGAGCCGGACTTTGACGCGTCTGCAAAGATATCGACTGGACGGACTCTACTCGTGACGGGATCGTCGGGCGCAGTTGGCTCATACATTGTCCAGCTTGCCGTCTATGCTGGCCTACAAGTCGTCGCCGCGTCGAGTTCAACGGAGCGAAACGACGAGTTTCTTCGGTCACTGGGAGCACACGAAGTTGTCGAGTACAACGAATTGAGCATCGTCAAACGCTCTTTCGACATTGTCATCGACACCGTCGGAGGGAAACCACTAGCTCAAGCTTGGGATCTCGTGACGGACGCAGGGAGTCTCATTTCTGTGGACTCGAGCAGCTTCAATTTTGCGAAAACGCCGCCGGCTGGAAAGGAGCACGTCAAGGCTGTGTTTTTCATTGTTGAGCCTTCTGGAGAGCAATTGGGCAAACTTGCAAAGGCGTTGGAGATGGGGTATGTTCGACCTTTTTTGGCAGAGACTTTTCCTCTTGCTGAAGCAAGGGAGGCTTATGAGAGGGCTAGTGGGAGGATGGATAAGAGAGGAAAGGTGGTGTTGAAGTTGTGAGCGTGGTGGGCTATCGTGACGTGATAACAAAAGTTTGGTTGGAGTTTTACTCAAATTGCATAATATTTCAATGATAATAATACATGCTTTATGAATCAATGCTTTATTGGACGTTTCATGTCATCGAGAAATGGTCCAGATGCTATGTTGCTTTGGAAGCCGAGGCTACCCTATAGTATCACATTGAGTCCACGGCGAAGATGGTACATACGTGAATGACAGCCATAAGCCACTGCAATATGCCGGAACAGTATATGATTTCAAGGGCTCTTTGCATGATTCTTAATCCTTGTTTGTACTGCAACGATATTGCAACCTGCCATGCATACCGAGCACACCGAGCACCGAGTACTCTGAGCCTCATGATTTCTTGCCCGAGCCAGTGATGTACCGTCCAACCCAGTATCGGCATGATACTAAGCAAAGCGAAGGAATATTTGGTATCAGTCTATCTTTCGTAAGAGCTAAACTAGCATTGAACTTGAGGTGAATGTGTTGCAATGCGAGAGGGGCTGAGGATCTGCCTAGGCAAAGCTCAATGGTGCAGCCCTCGACACACCAATTCACGGTGTGAGTGAATACCCGCTTACAACGTCTTGACCGACGAGTAAAGAGCCTCTTGATGATCCATGGCAGGCTCGTAAGGCTGACGTCCACCTCGTCGTAAGCATCCGTTCACAAGGACCATGCATTGCCAATCAAGTTCAAACTTATAAGTTCAATTACTAGGGGTATTTGCTCCGAGACTCGGTATAAACGCGTAAGCCAACAAAAAATGTCCAACCATTCCTAAAAATTCACGCTTCCACCATCACACTTTTGATCCTTCATAGGAGTGCTACTGGATAGAATTAGCTTTCTGGTCCACATGAGTTTATTAGTGATTACTGACCTGCTCGAGCTTCCCATGACTTGTAAGGATCGGCGGGCTTCTTTGTGGGATCTACGGATCCTTCAAGCTTCATCTTGAGCTTTTCCTTGAGACTTCGCTTTGGGGTTGGCTTCTCAAGGTCTTTTGAGTGTTAGATGGTGATGGACATGAGGATATGACGGGGACTGACTTGGCTTGGAACTTGTTGTGGGCTTGGATGTGTCAACGAGTGTTGTCTCGGAGACGTTGCCCGTGGTGTAAGACTCGGAGGAGAGTTGATGCGACATGGTGGATGTGTATGTAGGTTGTTTGTACTCTGTAGAGTGTACTGAACTGTATTGTATTGATGTCTTGGACTCAAATCTCTTCCATCTGGCGAGGCATCCACGTCTATTTGTACTTTCAGCCCTACCTCACATTTGTAATCCTGCAGAGCCCCATTGACTCACTCGACGACGTGTGCGCCCTTCTCATGATCCCATCCCCCATCACATCTTGTCAGCTCGGCTTCGACTGCAGAAGCTAACGCTGCCCGGTGTGACGCACCCTGGCCTTTGGCGAGGCTCACAGAGGTTAATTGCTGCGAACCCCCCTGTAAGCCGAGCTACCAAGTGGGGTTATAGGGTGCGCTCTGAGTGCTTGACCGAAGCCGAGATGGATCCAAGCCGAAGCCGAAGCCGATTTTACTCAAGCCGAGTTTGTTCCATACCGAGAGAAAGTCAAGCCGAGACCGAGATTTATCATCAACACTTCGGCTTGAAATGGAGGATACGCCATTGCTTCGTCGTCTTAATGGACGCCCTCAAGCCTGCGACCCTTGTCGCGCACGCAAAGTTGCGTGCGATCACGATCAGCCCACCTGCTCGCGGTGCAGGAAGAGGAAAGAAACATGCGTCTACACTGTTACCGAGCCAAGGGCAGCAAAGAGGCAGCGACTCCGACCTCCCTCGAGCTCCTCTACAACACCATCGCCGTCTGCGCCTGGGTATCTCGGCTTCACCAGTCACAATGCCGTTTTTGAAGAGACGCGTAATAGCCTGAGTCTTGTCCATGGACCGCCTGTTGAGGTTGAGGCTGGGGTTAGGAGGGCACCGAGGGTTAGGGCTTGTTTGATTGAGATGCCGTTTCCTTTGAAGGAGATGTGTCTCAATGTTCTCAGGAATCTTCCGAAGCCGAGTGATGATGTCTTGGCTCATCGACTGCATTGTCGGGCTGATGACTGGATAATCACTTGTGTCAAGAGGACGATTGAGGCGATTCACGCGTGCTGGGGCGATCATCTCGAAAGTCGAGATGACTTGCGACTCGAAGAGATGGGTCTCGCCATTTGCAACAACACTGCTCGACCTGTCCACGATGAACACATTGGTAGTGTAGAATGGATGGATCAGTTCTCGGGTTCGAATGTTCGCTGGGAATCACTCGGTTTGATCTGGACGTACTGGGATGGGTCTCCTGGGTCGAATCCGCAAAATATCGTGTCGTGTTTGGGGTATTGTATTGAACTGACGAGGCATTTTACTACGGGGAATGATGTGTTGCTTTATCTTTGCTACCGGAGAGCAACGATTGAGTCTTTGATCACAGGAGATGCAGGCATGTTTACCCGACGCTGAGTAGGGTGATGCTAACCTCGACAGGCCTATTGTGTTGGCGATATCACGCAGATACCGTCTCCTTGATGACATTCCTAGGACTGCACGCAGGATTTGACAACCCGAATTACGTCCCGACGCTAAATACAGAGAATAAACGCCGAATAGCTGCCCGCGTCTTTACAATCGACAAGGTCATGGTTTCGTTTACCGGACGCCCGCCTCTCGTCGGCCGTCGCTACTTTTCGACTCCTCTCCCCCTGGATATAAGCGATGGCGAGTTACTAGGTGATCAAGAAACTTTGGCGCGCGCGGTGCAGGCGTTGGATGAGCATGGATGGAATAGGAATGGCGAGTTGCACTCTGCTACCCTTACACGGGCTCGTCTGCAAATTGCCGTTATTAAGGATGAGATGCTGGAGATTGCGCTTGAGAATAGCTCCAAGGTGTCTATCAACAGTCTCCTGTAAGCTTATTAACCTTGGAGACTATGGACTTGCTGACCCAGATAGTGAGGTGAAAGCCCGAGCTGAGAGAACTGTAGACCAGTTCCCCCAATCCCTCATCTACCGCACCGAGGACTTGAGTGATCCTGATGCCGATATAGAGATCATTTACGCGAGGATTCTTGTTCGGTTGGAGCATCTTCAGAATCTCTTCTTTGCGGAACGATTACTGCTACGTCTTGGACGTGTGGATGAGGGAAGGTTGCTTGTCATCAGCTTCGAGATGGTGACGCTTACGCTTGTGTTTTGGACGCATCAAGATCGGTTTGCTGGAGTGAGACGGGACTTTGAGTGGTTGGTAAGTCTTGTACTTGCTTTATTGGAATAAGCTGACTGTATAGTTAATGGCTTACGCTGCCCCCGGAGGAGGCATCCTCTGCCTCGAACTGCTCCGTCCGACATTCCACGGCACACATCCGGATTGTCCCAAGCTGAGTCGGTCAGCTATAATACAGAAACTCAGCCTTCTCATTGGATTCCTCGATTGGGTCCGACCTCCAGCTCCCAACGCTGATCTCTGCGCCGACTGCAAGGCTGTCATCCAGGGTGTTCTGGATCACAATCTCAATGCGCCCATTGCGGGCGGAGGTGCTCTGGAGACGCTTGATTGGGAGTTCCCGATGCAGCTTGACTTCAACTTTGATCTTCTGGATACTTTCGATTGGCTACGAGCTGAGTAGTCTATTCTGCCTCCAGGAATTGCTGGATGGCTGTGTTGGTTTCTTCTGGTCGCTCTAGGTGTATCCAGTGGCCAGCATCCAACTTGACAGTCTGTAGCTTGGGAGCCCATGATGCGAGCATTTGCTGCTGCTGAAGCATGGATTGCTCAGGCTCTTGAGGAACTACAAAGAGCACAGGCTGGGAAATTTGGAAGTTTTCAAAGCCTTTCTCGTCTGGTGCAAAGAGATTGTCCATCCACATGCGATACCACCTCGATGCGCCCTTGTATCCATCCGACACTCCAAAGGCTTTGAGGTGCTCTTTTTGGAGGTCGTCTGTGTACCATGGACCGATTGGGAGCCTTCGGTCTTCTGTGACGAATTGTTTCATCTTGCCAAGAGGATGGAACCACTCGTCCCATGCCTGTCGGTCGCGACAGAAGATGAGGCTCATTGCTGCTTCAGCATGCTTTTCCAAGCTTGAAGGTGTAGCTGGGTCGGCTATCCATGGGATGTATCCAAGCATCTCAAACCCCAAGAACTCCTTGGTCATCTTGTTGATCATGTTGACGTCAAATGGCGTACCTAATCTAGGAGGTCCGACTGCGAGAAAGACGAGGCATGTCCAGCGGTCCGGATGATACACTGCCAAGCGTGATAGGAGCGTGGCGCCAAAGTCATGGCCGATGCCGACGACCTTTTGCAGGTTCAGGTGGTCGAGCAGTTCAATCAACTCATCTCCCATCGCTTTCAGACGGTATTGATGGACATCACTGGGCTTGCTGCTGGAGCCGTATCCAAGCAAGTCGGGAGCCAAGATTCCGTATCCTTCTGATGAGAAATAGCGAATCTGATGAATCCAGTCGCTGAGAGTGGATGGGAAGCCATGGAGTAAGAGGAGCGTGGTGTCTCGAGATGTCGGCTGGATATGGATGTAAGAGTACGAGTTGCCGCTACGGGCTGCGAATGATTCGCGTCGAGGTAATTCGAGAGCCATTTTGGATTATGAGGTTCAAGATGATGCTTGGGCGAACTTGAACGCGTGGTCTTGTTTCGGAGCATTTATACTTGGGCGGACAGTTTTCGGGCACATTTTGTTGTCTACGGAGGCTTATATGGACGCTCCCACTGGATGGATGACGACAGTGATCATCTCAGACATTTGAGGCGATTGTTGGATCATGCCGAGGGTTAAGCTGAGATAAACTTATTCAACCAACGTGTGGAATGCGAATAACTCGACAGCAATGCATATTGAAGATACCACTACGAGTCAGTAACATACTTGTCGTAAACCTCGGCATAGAACTTGCGCCCGTTCTCGCGATGACTTCGTATCTTGGTCCTCAGCTGCGTCTCACCCCAAGTATCGTACTTGCCCGTGACAAACGGCGCGTCAATCGATCGGCCCTCTCCCGACTCATCACCGGCTCCAAACCTCGAGAAATGCTCCGCCAGCGAGTTCAACGCCTCGTCTCTTGTCAGACTGCGACGCACGCCTTGGAAAAAAGGTACGCTGAAGCGCTCGCTGGAACTTGAGAGGACGCGGTGCGTTGTCGCTTTGCAGACGCCGTTTGTTACGACTTCGAATGCTTGACCGATGTTTACTACGAATGTTCCTGGAATTGCGGGTGCTTCGATCCAGTCGCCGGCTTTGTTGAGGACTTGGAGGCCTTTGACTTCTGGTGATGCTTGCAGGAGGAATGTCCACCATCCAGATGAGTCCTTGTGGGGGCCGACACCTTGAGTGTTTTGTCCGTCGGAGGCTGGATAGTGGACGAGTTTGAGACGGTGTTGATCTGAGAGATAGGAGAAGAATATCTCATCTGGGAGATCAAGGGCTCTTGCGACTAGCCGCAAGAACCTCTCGCCTAGCTTGGTTAATTCCTCAATGTAGCGCTCTACCACTGGTCGTAGCTCTGGCAAATCGGACGGCCACTATCTAATCAGTGCTTGAATCATTGGATACGATTGACGCGACCAACTTGGTTCGGACCACGCAATCCGTCGTACAAAGGTGAACCCTCTGGAGCTTTTGTGAGCTCAGTAGCCAGCTCAACCTGCTCTCGCTGATCGCATCTGCCGGCCGTCGTCTCGGTGCCGGCCGCGCTGTAACCGAGGAAATGAGGCGACTTCTCAAGTGCGATTTCTCGTTTAGCGTGCTCCGGGAGGGCAAACAGTTTGGGGAGGACGTGTACGAGATTGTCAATGACGGATTGGGGCACTCCGTGGTTGGACACGTAGAGGAAGCCGACGTCGGTCAGAGCGACGCGGAGGCTTGTCAGGAGGGCATCTTCGTTTTCGCTTATGGAGAGGTCGAGGATTGGGAGCGAGGTGAAGTCGCGATGAGGCATTTCACGGGAGGTTTGTAGAGATGAGTTTATTGATTTCACTCAAGCGGGGTTGATGGTATTCAGAGCACGCAATAATTGGACGCCATGTTGCATTCGATAATGACTTTGTCAGTGAATAGCTTCATTCGTGATACAATTGAGATAAATTGAATAATAAATTGAGACACGCTTCACCAAATGACACAAGACAAACACGGAATATCCCATGCCACTAACCGACCCGATATTGAGCGAGCCTCGGTCTACAGTCGCAATCTTGACTCGCCGACAAGGGTTGACACAAGGTAATTGGGCGTGGGGGGATGATGGACGCCATGACGCAGGGCACTACTCTGTACACCCTCCAAAAACAAGGAAATCTTCAAGGGAAAAAGGCAATCTCTGGTGGCGCCCATCCATTTCCTGTTTGCTCTCGAAGAAGAAATGATGACGAGGGAATGCGCAGTAAACGCCATGAGAATGACACCACTCAGATGGGTTGAAATGCGCGCATGTCACCTTGGAGCATGCGCCAGGAAGCTTAGCTTTTGTGCTAGACACGGACGGCCAAGACCAACGAGAGGCACGGCGCAGGTACCAAGAGATTTGATGGAATGGCGCGGCAGCATGGTTCGACTGGCGGCCAGACCAGTCAGCTGGAGACAGCGCAGAGTATCATATCTAGATTTAGAATAGAACCCCTATGTACGTAACCTGCTAGACATTTCGGCTCTGCGCAAGTCATGTAACCGCCGAGATTCAGTTGAGATCTGTTGGGACTTGGGTCACACCCCCTATTCTGGAAAATCTGGAACACGCGTACAACACTTGCTCTGACAAGGCCAATCCAGCAAGCTCGGTGACCGCTGGGGTACGCGCACCGAGCTAATAGGCTCCTCCCCCCCGGGGCACCAGACTTGAAGCTCCGAGCAAGGGGGTTGGCTCCGCTCCGTTGGTGGATGCGTCGTCCCCAGGGGGCGCAGTCTTTAGTTCTAGTCCGACGGATTTTCGTACTCTTCTCGCAAATCTCGCATTTCGCATTCAACACACCAAATTTGCTTTGCTTTGGCCTACGGGGGAAGCTTATTATACACGGATAATGCACGTACGCGTATGCAGGGTCGCCAGTCGTCAGCTTTCGGCTCGGGCGAGTGAGCTTCGCCGCTTAGTGAGACTAGACTTCTTGATCCACAGCTAAAACGCCCACGACGCTGAGAAAAAAAAAGACACAGTGACAGACAGAGGACACACACAAACAGAGTCATGTCGCTTTAAGCTCTTCTTCTAGAAACCCCCCTTCCAATGCGCCGTCTGGGGACAGTCTTGGCTGCTACCGTCAGCCAACGATGCCCGTCGGATGGGTAGCCCTAGCTCGCCGTCTTGTCGATAGACTCGCAGCCCGCCCACAAGCCACTGCCGGTCTAGACCTGCTGGAGGCAATCCACCCGCAGTCTCGTTTCAGGGTCCTGTCTGCCCTTCTCCACGTGGAGCCAATTCTCTTCTGTCCCTCTGCCAATTGAGTGTGGTCTGGGCGTAGCCTGGTCTGCCTGCCCGGCTTGTCTCTAAACGAGGGTCCGTCGGTCTTTTCTTTGCTAGCTGTACGCCCTCATGCTCCTTCTCCTTCGGGAAAGGGGCAAGAAGGCGGGAGGGACACGACGATGCTCATCTCCCTGAAAGAGATTTACACCCCGGTGGGCAAAGGCGAGACGTGACGCGCCATCGTTCGAGGCGTAGAGTCGATTGGCTTGCGGATTCGACTTGGTTGCGAGCTGCGCCGTTCTTGAGCCATGGCACACTAACCCACCCCTGGACGGGGGGCAAATGGCTCAGAGAAGGAGGAGTACATATCGTGGGACGGCCAGCTACTTTGGTGGCCATGTTCTGGTGAGCTCTGTCCCAATCTGTGCTCAGCTTTGTACGACCAAGACAAGACACTCCTTTTGTCCCCTTCTTTTCGACATCGACCTTTTTTCCGAACTATTTCACAATCGAATTCATTCCTTCGGTCGAATATTACCTGCGAAACACGAGTCGAACTGCGATACTGTCTGCGAAAATGAGTCGCGACCAGATCTTGACCGCCCGCAAGGTCGAGGGCATGATCGCCGACGGACACACTATTGTCATATACGAGGATATGGTCTTGAAGCTTGATGGCTGGATGGACAAGCACCCTGGAGGAAGACTGGCTATTCTTCACATGGTGGGAAGAGATGCCACGGACGAGATCAAAGCGTACGTTGCATAAACCTGGTGTGGTGTTGTGAGGCTCAAGTTAAGGTCGAAACGTACAACACCTGATTGGACTGTTGCAATCGTTTCCGAAAACCTGGGACAAAAACACGTTATTTTTTATTTCCCTATGCGGGGAGCTTCTATTCTAAGATTCCTAACGATTTCCGGAATAGTTATCACTCGGAAGCGACTCTAAGGTCCATGAGACCCTATCGGATCGGCCGGAAGCAAGGGTCTTGGGTCAACCGCACACCACCAATAAGAGGCGGCATCTTTCGCAAAGAGGCAGACCTGCTGCTGTCAGACTCGAGCGTTGCGTCATGCAGCGGTCTCTCGGACACAGACGAGAGCGTGGATGATAGTGTCAGCTCGGCCTCGTCGATTTGCAGCTGTGGTGATGATGCCGTGCACAAGGACTGTGGGCTTCACCACCGGATGGCCCGGAAGCCCTCGGCCAAGGCTATTAAGCACTCTGCTACGCTGAGGGTGGCCAATGCTGCTATTTCCCGCGAGATTGAGCGGGATTCTGCTACGTATCCTTCTGTCAACCCCGAGGTTCAGAGGGATATCGCTCGCAAGTATCAGCGCCTTCACCAGAGGATCCACGATGAGGGGCTCTACAACTGCCCGTACACTGAGTACGGCAAGGAGATGCTTCGGTACACGACCTTGTTTACCCTGTTTGCTGTGACGTTTTATCACCAGTGGTACATCACATCGGCCGTGTTTCTTGGTTTGTTCTGGGTATGTGGTCGTCGTCTCAACCTTTATGGTCTACTTACTAACTGTTGCAGCATCAAATCATGTTTACTGCCCACGACGCTGGCCATCTGGCTATTACTTCCAACTTTGTGACGGACACCTTGATTGGCATGTTTATTGCCGACTTTTGCTGTGGTCTTTCCATCGGATGGTGGAAGAGCAGCCACAATGTTCACCACCTTGTCACCAACCAGCCTGTAAGTCAACATCATCATTGAAGCTCGACTTGTACTGACATGGACAGGAACACGATCCTGATATCCAAAACGTCCCTCTCTTTGCTACTTGCCCATCCTTCTTCAAGTCTCTTCGTTCGACTTACTACAACTTTACCTTTGTCTGGGATGCCGCCGCCGATTTCCTTGTTCCCTACCAACGTTTCACTTACTACCCCGTCATGGGCATCGCTCGCTTCAACCTGTACCTCCTCTCTTGGCTGCACGTCCTGTCGGAAAAGTCGTCTTCCCTCGGAAAGAGCAGGGCCTGGTGGATTCGACCTACCGAGATCACTTTCATGGCTTGCTACTGGTTCTTGTTCGGATACTGTCTTCTCTGGCGTGCACTTCCCGACTGGACTACCCGCGTCATCTTTGTTCTCGTCTCGCACATTGTCACCATGCCGCTACATGTGCAAATCACTCTTTCACACTGGGGAATGTCGACAATCGACCTCGGCGAGAGCGAGTCATTCGCCCAGCGCCAACTCCGAACAACCATGGACGTCGACTGCCCAGCCTGGCTCGACTTTATCCACGGCGGTCTCCAGTTCCAAGCCGTGCACCACCTCTTCCCCCGCGTGCCTCGACACAACCTCCGCAAGGTGCAGTTCATGATCCGAGAGTTCTGCGACGACACGGGTGTCCCGTACTCGATCCTCAACTTCACCGATGGCAACCAAAAGGTCCTGGGCCGGCTCCAGGACGTGAGTGATCAGCTCAACATTATGCTCAAGTGTCAGAAGCACATGGCTGAGACTGGAGAGAGCGGGTTGCATTGAGAGTTTTGAGGGTATAGACTACTGGACTTAGATGCATAGATTTGTTTTGTTAGAATTGAAGCGTGTTTTCCTTTCGAAGTCTTTGGTGTATCACTTGTAATGGGGCATTGTGATGTTTAGGTAGACTACTTGTTTCAGCCACCTTGACTAGACGTATAAGAAGTGTGTTCACGGTTCCTCACGTTGCCCCGCATCATGCCTCCTTCACAAACATCACCAACGTGAATCACCGTGAATCGCTCACAAGCAAACATCAACATCACCATGAACCTCGACCAACAATTGACAGCCGTCTCGAGAACCGTCGAAAGGACCACTCTCGAATCTGGAGATGAAGGACGCATCATCACCATCAGCCAGACTTTCGACATTGATGCGCCGACTCTGTGGGAAACCTGCACGAAGCCAGACAAGATCAAGCAGTTCTTCTCTCCAGTCTCAGGCAATCTCTCCGTCAACGGTCGCTTCCAGGTCGAGAACAACGCCAGCGGTATCATCGAGAAGTGTGTTCCACCTTCCAACTTCCGTATGTCTTGGGAGTTTGGCGGCAGCACCAGCTGGGTCGAGGTCTGCATCCGCAAAGTCAGCGAGACTCAGTCTCGCCTCGAGCTATCGCACACGGCACCCGTCGACAAGCATTGGGAAGAGTATGGTGCTGGAGCAGGTGGCGTTGGTTGGGAAATGTCGTTTGCTGGACTGGCGTATCATCTCAAGGGCGTCAAGGTCAGACCGGAGTGGTTCGGCCAGGACGAGACAAAGACATACTTGGCCAAGTGTAGCGAGGCTTGGGGAGGGGCTGCCGTGCTCGGAGGCGAGGATCCAGAGGTTGTAAAGGAGAGGGTTGAGCGGACTACTGGTTTTTATGTGCCTGGTTGAGTTGGGGTGACTCAATTTTTTATTATAAAATACTCTTAATTTAGCTATAAAATTAGCTTACTTTATAGGCTAAGCTAAGGATAATTGCTATAATCTCTTAAGTTTTTTTATAACCCTATGTGTAGATGGTTGCTAATGGCCCAAAGCAGGAATGTTTTTCTTGAGAGACTCTTGGACAGAGTGATTCAGCATTGTTGCAGAAGCTTATCTAGAGCACGGTACTTGGTTGTTTCTGGGGAGAAATGAGACTCGTGGATGGACTATGCCCCATTGGAATTATTGATACTCAAAGGAATCACCGTCTTTCACAGGAACCTTCTATGTGATCCGGTAACGACTCTCCAGTCTAGCCCATGCTCTCAGCTCCAGTTCTTCCCTAACATCAACCCCTAACATCAACATCTCCTTCGGTTTCAGTTTCGCCTGTAAGCCAGGCTCGTCGTCAGCTTCCCCGCACGGACTGATGTCGAGCATGTTCCTCCCAGTTTGGAGCTCTCGAAACAGATCACGAACTTCTCTCGACCGCGACACACGCACACCATTGCTTTTCTGCCACTGAGCAACATCTGTGGTCTCCGTAAGAGCGAGTCCCGAGCTGTCCAGCTCCTCATATCGAGCCAATGCCTCCCTCAACATGGTTGTGTGGGGTGTTCTCTCCAGCATCTCGCAAAGGTCGTCGCGAAGTTGATGGATCTCCTGAATCTCTTGGCAGATATTTGCCTCACTTTCCCGTCTCCTGAAGAGCATCTCTGCGACCTCCGTTCCACTAAGCATTGCGGCTTCGAAGATGACTCTGGTGACCTGAAAGTTTGTTCCAGGCTTGTCGAGACAACGCCGCAAGGTCTCTGGACCACCCTTGATTGCCTGGATGGCTTCCTCTTCAGATACGTTGACCTCCTCGCTGCGTCTTTCGAGGAGGCGGAGATAAACATCTGGCATAAAACTTGCTTGTCTCAAGACGGCTTCGGTGATCTGTAGTTTGCTTGTTTCGCTCCGGAGAAACACATCCACGAGGGGGGTTCCACCTCTGAATATCTTCATGGTCATTGACTCGGAAATCTCGTATTCATGTTTCCATCTCCCGAGGTAGAGGCGCTCCGCAACTTGAACTGGGAAAAGAAACATGAGCTCGATCATGCCGTTGGCAAGCCTGGGTGGAATCTTGCATTTCTCGAAGAGCACGTCTTGGGCGTCCTCCCCTATTTCGACTGCAAGTACAATCTTCTTCAGGTCGGCATCTTCAACCATACACTTAGTAAAGAGAAGATCTAAGGCATCGGGCCCTATCTTGAGAGCTTCTCTAAACAGCTTGACGGTGATAGGCAGCGGAGTCTCAAATTTCGTCAAGAGCAAAGTCAAAGTCGAGTGACCCAGGTCAAAACTGGCAAGCTGGACAATCTTCTCAGTCCATTCAACTCGCCCTTGACGTTCCAAGAAGTGCTCAAGGTCTTCAGGCTTCACCCTCCGCATCATCTTTTGTTCCAAGAATGCCCCTGCCCACGTAGAAAGCTCTCTCTGTAGCTGCTCGGTGCGTTGAAGTCCAGATAACTCGGCAAACTGTTCCTCACCGAAGAGGTAGTTACACGTGTCTCTTAGCACTTGGTGTTCGCTTTTGCTGTAGTCGGGATCGATTGCATCATTTGCCATGTCCGACGTGATTCCAAGAAGTGCATACACCCGATCCCGAGGGTCTGTGGCCTGACATTTCCGAAACCTCGATAGCAAGGCCCAAAGAGTCCGTTCCTCCGCCCACCAAGACCATTTTCTTGGTAGGCCAGGAAAGATGTCGAAGACGGCTTGAGGCTGCTCGCCAATGCTCTGCCCCAGAAGCCACGGGGCGAGGGCGAGGAACATGGCCTCGATGCTTCCAGCGCTGCATTGTATCTGGGCACTTTTTGCATTCGCCACCTCTTGGATGATCCACACTCTTGTGAACCAAGGCTTTCTCGTCAACATGTCGAGTCCATTGCTAAGTTGGAGATGAAACGACCCTCCAGAGATGTCTCCGCCATGGAGTTCCTCCCATGCATCTCTCCAACGGTCGTCTCTGAGCTGCCATTGCTTGAATGGCTGCGGAGAAACTTTCAGTTGAAGGCTTCTGAGAGCTGATATCAACAGACCAACGTCCTTGTCGACTGAACCCAGCCAGACAATGACGTTGCTAGCCTTTTTGTAGATACTACCCATCTGTGCGACCTGATGACCCCGCTCCATGATATTGTTCTGGTCGATGCAAACAGCATCTGCCCAGAGTATCCTGTCATTCTTTCTGTGACGAAGGTGCTGGAGTGCGCCATGGAGGCTTCGCGTGATGTGCAGGACTCGACCGTTCACATTGATCATGTCGCATTTGTCGTCACTTTCCCATGCGTAAGAAAGTGCCTCGTAGTCCATGGGGCAACCTTGATCTTTCAGGCAGGCCTCGAACATGCTACATTGGATAGGATACTCAGTTCCGCCGTGAAGCCGTAGCAGACGAATGGTAGAACCCCCCAAGCTGAAAGGTTGGTGGATGAAGAGATGGCCGAGTCTAACCCCCTTGGCTAGTTCAGAGCGGTTGAGATGACGAGCTAGAAACATTGCGTAGGTGGTAGCAAGTTTGCTGGCATTCTCTTGTTGTGGAAGAGAGGGGTCTCCTTGGCTTATACCGCACACGACAACCAAAGGTAGTCGCGTTTGTAGGTTGGCGGCCGCTGTCTCAAAACACAGGATGCCGCTATCGCTCGCCAGTCTCTGGAGGAGCTCTGGGTCGCCCAGTGCTGTGCTCGAGGACCCGACCCTCCCTTTGAGTACTTTGGGCGCTCCTTGTATCATGTTGAATCGTGACGGAGAACCCTGGGTGCCGGCGGTCTCATTTGAGGGGCCCACGTTCCTGGCTGGATGGAGATCCGTGGGCTTGTTCGAGTGCGCCATTGTAGACAGATATTTGTCAACATACATGTGCCACTCATCGCGACCTTGAGTAGACAACGTTTCATCAACGGCTGGGTTCACGAAGGACGGTGGCTTTCGCCAGTGACCTGTGACATGAAGACGTTTGTCATGTCGAGACTTGTCGGCGTCAAACTGCACAAGCCCAGATTCATACCCCTGAGGCATTCCCACCACGATGTCACCGGCTTGTGCCAGTCCACCGCTCGGTGCTATGGCGCCGACCCCAGCCAAGAAGCAAGCCCGAATGAAGGAATACTCCTTGATCAAGTCTGGAACCACTCTTGCCACAGACTCTGCAGCACTGATATTGCTGAGCCCAGTAACTAGCACGAGGTGGTGAGATCCAGCTTTGCCAAGAGAATACTCGGCACCGGAGGAATCAAGAGAACGTTGTGTGAAGCACACATCGAGAAGTTTGACAGCTGTCTCGTAGTCGCCTTTCACAGGTAAGACCAAGGCGACTTGGTAGTGCTCAGGGTCTGTGGACTCCATGGCACCAGTGGCCATTGGGGATGGGGAGCAAAAGACAATTGGGAGTTGGTGGCCAAGGAACAATCAACAAAACTAGGGGGATATTGAGGAAGGCAAGAAGTGAAGGTGGCGACTGCTGGCTGCTGAGGAGAGGAGACATGCTGGTATTTAACCCCCTTGGAGTATACGACCATTCAAACACCAAATTGTGACCGAGGGTGAGAAAGCCCGCATTGAGCTACCAGCAAACAACATAATCTAGAGTGTTCTGGTCTCCGTTAGTTTCAAAAACCAGAGCCATGCGCTAGGCAACTCAGCAAGAGAACAAAGGCAGACACAGGTCCCATCCCTGGTAAGGCGAAATTTTCTGCCCGTCGGTGAGAGCTGACAATCTGAGAGATGATAGAATCTAATGCGTTTGGCAGGAAAAAAAGGGCACAGTGGCCTAAGGTATTAAGTTCTGAAACTGTCATATATCGATAACTGCGTTCCTGGTTAAGTGGCTGATGGAGACGCCATCCACAACGAGAACAAAGAACGAAGGGAGTAAGTAATTTGCCGTGCCTCTTGGTTCAAGTTGGCCAGCGGTGAGACCATGAGGATGGGGGCGATGTATTGGACTCTAGACCGATAAAACGAAGTTCATGGTATAGTATCTGACTGGGTAGGACCCTCAAAACAAGGTAACGGATCCCAGTTTGGTGGTGGGTTCATGCACAACGTCGCCTCATCAATGATGACACTCAATACCGGGCGGAGGCTGCAGGGATTGCGTTAATTAATTTTAAAAGCTACCTAGTGTGTGAGTTATGACAGGCGTTTGTCACTGGCGATTTGGCTGACGCAGCTACGGAGGAAGAGGACCGGATGCCTCCTGCTGGACAAGACGCACGGTTAGGTGGCTTGGCTTAGGCGTTTTGACAATAAGAAAGTGAACAAGGTATGATGGAGTAAAAATAAAGCACAACTAATTCAATCTCTTGAACTGGTACCTAGGTCTGTCGGAATGAGCCCAGGGGGGTCGTTCTAAAACTTTGGATTAGGCACTCAGGCTGGTGACAAGGTCTTTGAGGAAGGGCCAGGTGAAAAGTTCCTCCGGGTCGCGTCGGAGTAGCTCCTCAGCAAGAGGCGAAAAAGCAAAGGCCTTGTCTGCAGGGGATGCGCCACAGTCGCCCATATCGTCCAGCACCTTGGACACGGCATCCACAAACAAACAGGTAGAAACTACGAATAGTGGTGACAAAGCTTCGTAGCAGAAAGTCTCAATCTTGTCCGTATCGGTCCCCGAGTCGATCAGTGCGCGAAGAATCAATGGATAAAACCTAAAGGTTGAAACATAGTCTTTCGCATTTCGCTGATTAGAGACCAGATTCTCGAATATGCTGATGTATGCTGACGCAATTAGGAATATATCAACCCTAGAGTCGAGGAGAAGACGAAAGATTCTGGGAGAGAAGTGGCGGGCGAATTCAGGACTGGAGACGTTGTGCACCATATTGCCGATCAATGATGCCTTTCCGAACATGTCATCATACCCCATGTGGGCATGAAACTTGCCGTCTCTCCGTCTAGTGCTCTTGAAGAAGCCCGATTCAAAGACGGAGACAGGGCTCGTGCTGGAGAGAAGCATGTCAAGCCAGAAGCGGGATATCCAGATGGCCAGACAATCGCTAACCTGGTGGAAAGGGAGGCTAGATTCACAGTGGCCCTTGAGAATGTCCAACAGCCGGGGAAAGACGAGGCAAGGCTCTATCTTGGGCCCGTACCAGACGAGATGGGCAGACCGCCGGTACGGTTCGTAAGGATATACATCGGGCTGGTGGACCTCTCGTTGATATAGGACGGGCCTCCAGTCACCTTTTGCACCTGGTGTTCTGACGTCGAAGACAAGCGAGCGAGCTGCTAGCATGCTAATCTCATATTCAAATCCTTGCAGTTCGGGAAGTCGCTTCTTTTTATCGACGACTTTATTCTCGATGAGCCATTTCCGGGCTTCTTCTTGCCCAGACCAAATGGCCCAGTCGAGGGCTTGGCAGAATTTGAAGCGGCCGCCAGGATCTCCCCTGCCTCGGCAGTGGCCTATATATGCCCAACGGTGACCAAGGGGCGCCCCGGCCTGGTCACACCTTTCGAGGGTATTGATATTACCTTCGCTGGCGCCGAAGAGTAGAGGGAGCCAATCGAGCTGCCTGCCAGCCTCCTTATAAAGCTGCACGATGAGTTTCTTGTAGAGCCCCTTGGACGTGGAAATGAGCGCTAGGCCGTCTCCAACCGGGCAGAGATATGAAAGGATCTCAAAAAGAGTTTCGCAAGGCAAAGTAGAGAGAATATCTTCCTTTGAGAGACTTTCGGTCGACATGGCGATTTTGAGCTCGTACTGATTTCGTGTTATAACCCTTGGCTGTAGTGGTTGTCTTGAGTTATTGATAGATGGCGATTGAATAGCAGTGTTCGGGCATATGTCTCTTTTCTATCTTATTTGAACCTCTCCAAAATCGATCAGGCTGATTGAAGAAAGCACACCTCGGAGTATTGGTTGCTTTGTTCTTGGTTCTTTTGCAATAAGCAGGGCTACCACTACGGAGAAGTCCACGAGGCTCTTTGTTGTCGGGGGAAGGATGTGCTCGTATAAGTGCCTCCAACAAAACATGAAACAGAGACTGATGAACGTACTCTTTCTCCTCGCTCAAAGGTCTTTGTCTTGGGTGGGGGGACGTGTAGCTACACCGATATTTCGAACACAATCTTGTTTATTCTGGGCTTGTCCGAGGCTTTGATCAAGAGAACATTGCACAGCAAAGGTCGTTTGTCCTATTTTTAGGCTCTAGCGCTCGAGTATTCAGACGCACCGTGCTTTGCAGGACTCTGGCTTAATTCTTGATGTTAAAAAACGGATATTGATTGAATAATAGTGAAGGAACAGGCGTAGGGAACATTTGCTTTGTCAAGTCCGTAATAGAAGAGTGTTGCAAGAAGGGAGGGGGGCTCCAGAGGATAAGAGAATGGGTGCTATGTATCTCTTCAGTATATAGCCAGTCAGATGTAAAAAGTAGACGGAGTAATCCCGTATTACTCTGGGACGAAACTCAAGCGTACGAAAATTCATTTTCGTATCTAGACTCGAGATCCTACTGCTTTAGGCTGACCTGCCGCCGAGCTTATGCTGAAGACGACAGAGGTTGGGCTGAGCTCGGGCTGAGGATCGGAGGTGGTCCACATCTTGGATCACATCACGGCCCTCGTAGAGACCTGGAACGAGATCAATAGCCCAGATTTTGGGCCCCGGCTAGGCTTTCCGGCATCGATGATCCAGGCTGCGGTTTGGCCCGTTAGGGTCTCCATGCCTGACGCCATCACCAACTCTACAATCTCTTTTCACTTGCCTTTGCTTGCTTAATACTATTTGCCTGACCATATGGAGATGTAAATTACAAGGTCGAACTCTGCTGCACATTTTGTTCAACCATATGTCCACTATCAAGTCATGAGCATCAAGTAAGTGGCAGGGACTGATCAGGTGTGATGGAAGCTCTTTTTTCTTTTCACTAACGTCTGAGTCGTCCACTAGATCAAATAAAACACTTGGAAACACATAGCTGCTTTAAAGAACAATACTGTAAAACACCGTAACTACCCATGGGTCGATCTTGACACCCACAAGCCAGCCCTTATCTAGAGTTATCGCGAAGTACCTTCGAAGCCTTTAACGTGCAACTCAACCATAACAAAAAGCCTACACACAACAGCTGAGCCAAAGAATCGAACTGAGATAAGTACTGCATCACGCGGGCTGATGAAGAGAGCACTAGACAGTAGCACCATTCCTGAAATAATATGCAACATTGTTGCGAATGATGCTAGCCAAGATAGGATGAGATATCCTTTACTCTCGTCTGTGTAACCCAGCTCGGCCTTTGCGTGTTGATTGAACCTCCATTCACTTATTAAGCTATGTTTGAACGATTGAAGCGGCTTAACATGCACTCTTGATTTGACCGCCATGGCCCCAAACAAAGGCGGTACACACGCTAAGCCATACCAACTGTTTTAGACGGCACGTTAGCCACAGACCAGGCAAATAGTGGCACAGTACGTAGCCTTTCCTTGTGATGGGGGCGGACAACATACATTCCTAGAAGGTATTCGGTGCTCGCCGAGAAGGCGCAGACTGAATACCAGCAAAGTTGATAAATGACGTGAAACACGTTTCCCATAGCCATCAACGTAAACAGGTACTCCAGAAGCAAGATTCGTCGCCGCCGGACTACATCTATCGGTATGGTCCCTTCTTTTGGCTGCAATACTTCAATAGGGTCTCGGTACTCAAAAGATCGGATGTGTGAGACGACAGGCGATCCAAAGGACAGGAGGAAAGCGAGAAGCGGCCTTCTCAGTGCCAAAAGACCAATCTCACTTGTGCTGGATCCGACCATGCCGAGGATGGTAGGGAGCAAACCTAACAAAACCGATGATACGGCCAGCTGGGCTTTCCCACTCTCATCAAAATGGTCCAGTAGACACGACACAACATTGTTGGCGTGGTAATTTGCCCAAGGATCAGGCTGCGTCAGGTGAGCTTGGTACTCGGCTGTGCAGTTGTCGCGTAGTATTCGAGAGAAGTACGGGGCGAACTGTGGGAAAAAGGGCCCAAAGTTCCGGGGCATTGTAGTGAACAGATTCTGAAGAGCGTGCGAGAGCCTTGTGATGTTTAGGGAGTAGAATTTTCAGCGCAGCAGGCACATTGAGAGAATTTAATTTATATCAACTTCAACGCGCAGCCTGACACGTGACTTTGGTTACGTCTCACGAAACAGGCTGTGAAAAAATGTTAATAGAGGCCACAGGGCGAGTGTTGCGTGCGTAGCCGGCTATGCTCTGATCACGTAGTCTTATTTATATAGCTGGTTGTGCACGTATTAGTTGCTAGGGCGTAGTCCACAATAACTAAGCTCAGGATTTTAGCAGTTTTAAACTCACAGCTAAGGTTTAAGAAATAAAGGACCAGAGTCTGTGGCCTTAGCACACGCAAGAGGCTTGCCTTGTGCGCTAGTTTTTCCAATGAAAGAACAATGATAGACGCTGATACCATGAGAGATGACAGGCTGATCTGTTGGACAACATAAATAAAGGCCGCAAAGAAAGCTTTTTATTATCCCTCTGTGGGCCAGGTAACCAGCTATATTAACGATCTCCTGGTTATCACATCAAAGGATGGACTTTAACTATCACAAAGAATACATTAGGGTAACTAAGACTTGAATCAAGGACCAACTTTGAACGAATTCGTGAAGTGGCTGGCTGCCGACATGTTCCGAGATTGCATAAAGGGTTACTTATGCTAGCTTCGTACATGGAGCGTCCCGTCAAGGGGGCGATGGCAAATGCTAGGTGCAGGTTGTAAACTACGTTGGCAGTTAGTAGATTCAAATGGTAAGAGGGGCGAGTGACAACGTTTGAAGGATGATAGAGGTAGAAGTTATTTAGTCAGGTATTTTTTGTTATAGTTAAAGCCCGGCCCTTGATGGGCTAACTGAAGGCCAGTTAGTGTATGGCTCGTAAAGGTTAAGTGCACAAATATATTAATTATTTCTTTTCTATTCTTTGAAGCTCTCTAGACTTGTTATACTTCTCTCAGCGTCTCCTTTACCTCGCACCGCCCCTGTTTCTCTCGGCTGTGCCATGGATGTCTCGCATCGTATGCTCATCATAGCCCTGCTAATGACAAGCAGATAATTTGCCGTCCGTTTGAGGGCACAAACCAGCTGTGCCCTTACATCTCTCACGGCAGACTCAGTCCTAGAAAGTCGAGAGGCATTCCACCAGGAATAATTTAAAGCTTTCCATCCCGGATCGCCTGAAGTATTGGCAGAACGGCTTGAGAAACTGGAAGCAGACTTTCTATATCGATTTCTTCCCTGGAGGAAAAATGAAATTCATCACGGATGCCAAAGGCGTTTGCCACATCAGACAGGCTGACCCCGGAGTCGTGCGCCTTAAGCACCATCTTGGTCAAGTTGGTCTTCCAATCATTCCGATTTTGGAGAGTTCCATGGATGTTTTCAAGAACATAAAAGCGATCTTCGTATGTACTTGCATCACGTTTGATCAAGGCGTCAGTGAGTATTGGATAGAGCTCAAAGGTCGGGAAGATGTCCAGGCGGCTTGATTCAAAACGCATGAGGTAGATTAGGACGAGGAAGTAGACCTGAGATACGAAGTCACCTTCAGCACCTAAGTCAAGGAGATGACCGAAGGCTTCTGGGGCCCTGAGTGAGAGGTGTTTGGGGAAAGGATGAACGCTCAGTGGTGTGACAGAGGTGAGCAATGACTTTGGCTCAAACATATCAGCAGAAAACTCGAGACGGAAAAGATCCGCTACTGAGTCCGCTTTCTCTATCCTTAGACAGCCAATGTAGAATTCCTCGGCAAAGGCTGACTCTAGGATGGTAGTCGGGTCTGAGGCGCAGAGGAGCATGTCTAGCCCGATCCAAATTATCCAGGTGCACAAGAGGATTGCACTTTCGGCATCAATTAAATCGATGTATTCGTCAAATTTGTCACATTCGACGCAATTCCCGTAATGGATGCTGTAGAGGCGCAGTAGCCTAGGGAGGATGTCCGTGTGCTTTAACTCATGACTATACCAGACAAAATGAGGATGCGGAATGTAGGGATATGTCTCCTGTGACACAGCCTCTTGTTGATACATGACAGGTTTCCATCTCCCTTCAGCGGTCGCGGCATCGGAAACGAAATGGTTGGTCGTTTTCCCCTCAATGAATTGAGGTCTGTCTACATCTGTAGCGACAGCTCGCTTTTCAGTAAGCCATTTCAGGGCATTGTCCTGGCCATACCATGTCGCCAGATCAAGGGGCTGGCAACATAGGAAAAGGTTAGGATCACTTGCCCTTCCAAATTCGCCCAGATACGGCCAGCGGTGGTTGAGCGACGCCCCAGCCTGTCGGCACTTATCGAGGATGTCGATGTTGCCCTGGCTAATTCCGACGAGAAGAGGAAGCCAGTTGAGCTGCGGGCCAGATTCCTTGTAGAATTCGATGATCAAGTTGTTGTAGAGACTTTTGCAGGTGGTGACGAGGCCACGAGTTCCTCCCATCGGGCAGAGGTATGAGAATATCTCTAGGTGAATCTGACAGGGAAGGTTGGCGAGCCCAGCCGGCTCTGAGTGCTGAGTTGACATGGTGGTATAGTCCTGGAAAATGTCGTATTGTTGTTATTTTGCTGTAATTCTTGTGGTTGTCTCGAGTTGTTTGTTCAATGGCGATGTTTTTATCCAGAAACTGGGAAACGCGGTACTCTTTTTATCTACACAAGATATACCCAACTCAATGAACTGGCAGCACTAGCTAGGTCGCTGGAGGTGGCCTTTGTCAAAAATTCCTCGATGCAGGGGTCCTTTCTTTGTCGTTCGTCGGAAAAGTAAACCCACTAACAGAGCTCGTATGAGGGGTGAACACCGACATCTTCCCTTTCGGTCCAAAGTTCTTATCTCGAGTTAAGTGTGTGCCTCCTCAATTCTTTGAGCACGACATTGTCCTGAGGATCAAAGAAGTATTCTATTATTATTCCCATCAATGGCGACGCCAAAGAGGCCACTAGCCACAACAGCAACAGACACATTTATCAGTCCTTGACAGCATTAAAATCCAACACCGCAAAAGCACTATTATTTAGACAAAGAAGCATCGTTAGAGTGAATTCTGCTTTCCACAGATTCTTCTGTGGGGCCTTTATCGGCGTTTGAATCTTGTCGGCAGTGACGAGTCCTCATTTCTCATGGGATCGTCTCCCCTGCCCACAAATCGGTCTTATCTCCTTGCTTGCGCGGGGACTGCCATCGCATACCAAGCTAGGATCTAGACCAATTATGATTAGACCCTTCTTAGGCTTACTAAAATATAGATAAAAGATTAATAAATTATCATATAAATTCTATAGAGGCTTAGATGGTGCTTTAATAGTGGAGGTTAATACGCTCTGGTAGCCCTCGCGTAAGCAAGGAGATAATGAATCGATGGGGCCAGATACAACCTACTTAGTAAAGAGGGCTCCATGCGGCCAGGGGCCTACCATTTTTCTCATGGACCACGAGACAACCTACAAGTCCCAACTCATGCCATGAAATGCTTGAAAGTTTGGGAAAATCTTAATCCGGTTTGAGATTGAAACAACTAGTCCCATCAACGAGGGTCTCAATCCTTGTAGCATGGCTCTAGCGCGCTCCTTTCAACTCGATACGAACAGTTGCAACCGGAAAATACTAGGACATAGCTTCTGTGGATTAACCCACTAATCAGACGCGTCCCTAATCACCAGAGATTAATGACAATGGCCAATCACTTTTGGATCCTGGTTACTTCAACTTGCCCCTGAACCGCATAGCCGGGTTATTTCTGAAACATCTGGTAAATAAAACTGAGGGATCCCAAGCTGAATTGCCGAGCCAAGACCTTTCTTTGTTCACTATCTTTCATTTCTCACTAAATACATTCGCTTCATTCTCTGTACATTGTTCCCTTGATACCCAGGTGGAAAAAGGAAATACTCAACATGCGCTCTTCAGTCACTTCCGCTCTTCTACTCTCTGCCGCCACTGGCGGTGCCCATGCCGCTGGTTGGCAGGGCCAGTACAAGTTTGGAAACATGTTCTACACTGGACCTACCAAGAACGGTGTCACCATCACCAAGGCGACATACTCGCTGGTTCCACCCTCCGTTCCTTGCGGCTACGCTACCACTGGCGGCAACGAGGAACTCGCCTTTTGGATCGGCATTCAGGATGACCCAACTGGAAAGGACGTCGCTCAGGAGAGCTTTGTCCAGCCACTGTTGAACTGGGCGCCGGATCAGCGAGCGACTGGCTGCGAGACAGATAACAACCAGTGGTGCGTTGCTGCGAGCACCTACACGCCATCTGGTCAGATCGGACAGCCTTACCTGCCCATTGAGAATGGCATCCAGCTCGACTTTGAGCTTGTGGCTGGCTCCGAGGTCAAGCAGACCATCTCCTCTGGCGGCAAGCTCATCTCAACACAGACCAACGCCGCTGGCATGAAGCCGGCCGTCTTTTACGGAGCCAACGAATGCTACCTGCAGTCTTGCGGCACCCTTGGAGGGTACACTTGGGAGAACATCACCGTGCACCTGTCTGCCGCTGACCCCAACTACGGCAACACCCTCTCGCTCACTGGTGCCACTAGTGACGGCTTTGAGACTGCTGATGGTGGAAAGACTTGGACCAATGCTGGAATCACGATCCAGAAGGACTATTTGTACTCAGATGATCAGAACCACGAGTGCAACTAGGTGTCTCAGGAACCTTGAGAGAGCGGTGGAGTTGAGGAAATGGCAGCAAATAGACGACTGGAGAGTTCCACGCAATACCATCTCGTGCTAAGTGATAACGATTTAGTTCCAGTTAATCTCTTTGGACTTAAGCGCCTTGGATTAGATTACACACAATCAACATTATGCTCTACAGAGGCGCCGGATTGAGATGGGGGAGGAAGTAGGCCTAGACAAGAGACCGAAGGCCCTGGAAGTATTGTTAGTCGCAGAAAATCGCAGCCACCTGGGTGTTTACTAACCTCGAGGCAACTAAGGCTGTCATCTAGTCCTCGTTCGCCTTTTGGGACTAACAAAACCTCCTCTAACTTCTTCTTTGACTTTTGAACATCCAAAACTCGCTGGTGATTGAGTTAATAGTTGGAAATTCCAGCAATTCCACAAAGAGAGCTGACGGGGGAGTCACTGCGGACTTACCTCTTCAAATGTGTCCTTCACGAAAAATCGAACCGTGGTAACTTCCCTCTGTTGGCCGAGTCTGTGAACTCTGGCTAAGGCCTGTTCCTCAAGAGTTGGGTTCCTAATCATGATAATGGTTATTAAAGAGCCACAGAAAGGAAATTTAGAAGCAAAAGAAACATCTGAGTAGGGACTCGGCGTGCTTAGAAAGGGTAGAGATACCAGTGTGGTTCGATGAGAAAGGCTCGAGATGCTTCGGTGAGTGTTAATCTGTGAGGACAGACGTTAGTTGGATGACGCTTGATACAAGGGACAAAAGCCCACCCAACTGCACCACAGGAAAGGGTCAGGAGAAACACCGTGACCGACGGGTCTTTCTTGAATGTTTCGATCACAGAAGACCTCTGCTTCTGAGGAACGTTTCCATCAAACCGCACGTAGCGTATGCGCGCTTGATCTAATCCAATGGCGACAAGATCCAGAGTCATTCTCCAGCTTGTGAAGACCACGCTATATGTGGTTAGCCATTATTCTGTGCGTAACTCTTCTTTCTCCTTTGCCAACCTTTTAACTCCTGCGGGGAGGCTTCCAAGTTGCGAAACTAAAGCCGTGACTTTGCTTGAAAGTTGTGTTGGGGTAGTTGAGGTCACACCACTATTGCCACTCGACCGGAGGCTCTCTTCCAAAGCTGTCCAATTCAAGTTGACGGGTGCAATGGGATGAGATGAGCCGTGTGGGCATGTGATAGGTTTGTTCAGTCTCTTCCACCTCTGGACGCAATCACTGCATAGAAATGACAGGCAGCTTGCGAAGTATGGCTGGACCAGTGACTCCGTGTCGAGGGTCGTAGCCATCATGTCACACGAAGCGTGGCAGTTTGAGCATTGAACCGAGTCCATCTCCCTCTGAAAGTCAAAAGTTTGTTGTACGTTAGTAGACCAATCCTTGGAGTGGTTGGCGGACTCTTCCTTGGCTGCTAGGTCGTGTCTGGCGTCATAGTGTAGACCCAAGTTGCATACCATGCGCAGGGCATTGATCTTCTGGATGACTGTGATGTATGAGTCTGATGCTGATCCACCGTCCCCGTCGCTGAAGGCTTCCTCCATTCTGGTAATGGCTTGATGCCTCAACTTGTCGTAGAACTTCCTTTCATCAGGACTGAAATCCACTCGAAATTTCAGATCCTTCCTTGGGGGAAGATCAATGACTGTCTTTGGACGTCGGAGAATCAAGCCGCTGGAAAGATCCTTGAGTCTTCTGGCCGCCTCCTGGATATCCCCGGTCTTCCACATCTGTCCAATATCCGACTCAAAGCGCTTGGCTTCGTCGTAGGGATGCGCTCGGATAAATTTTAAGAGAGCTGCGAGGTCCCCGATGCGATTTTGGACTGGCGTGCCGGTGACCGCCCATCTCGCCGCGGCATCGAGGGCACATACAGCCTTGGACATTTGGGATTGTGTGTTTCGGATCACATGGGCTAGCCTAGTCAGTTCATATACGGCGCATCATTACCAAGCACTGTGGCACTTGCTGGGACGAAGAAGGATTGAAAGGAATTGCCACCACATACCTTCATCTAGGATAATCCGCTTCCACATAGTAGAGAAGACAGTGCTGCTCCCGGCTCTTTGTCCGCCACCCCAGTCTGCAGTTACAGTATGATACGTTGATAAGATAATATCCCACTGAGTCAAGTGGTCTGTTTCGCTGAGCCTCTCCTTTCCATAGTGGCGTCGCCAGGTAATTTCGCCTCGTTTAACGTGCCTTGAGTTTAGGTTAATAACTAAGACAAAGGCTAACATGTCCGGTATGAAGCTTACTGGGATAACTGTTCCTCCCAAGTGTCGAGAACTATGAAAGAGTTGGTTAATTTTCAAGCATCCTCCTGCTGCTGAGAAAGGTACTACTACTCACGGGGTGGCGGGACGAGAATCAGTGATGGCATGGATCTCAAAGTAGAAATAGGCGAGATTTGGTTGTGGACAACTTGGCCTTTGTCCGTTGCTATCAGGGAAATCATGGTCAATGTTTTACCCAGACCCATGGGATCAGCAACGATGCCGCCGCGAAACTCGGGAGGTTCATTAGAATGGCATGATTTAGAAATCCTGTTGATGAAGCTGGGATATGGGTGAGATTAATAAGTCAAGTTCAAGCTTTGGACTTATTTCATACCATATTGCTTGACTTGTTTGTCTTAGGTCCCAGAAGTCGGCTGAGCGAGGGTCCAAGTTCCAGCCAGCTTCTCGTTGCAGCAGAAACGTCAATGCCTGTTTTTGGTGCCTAGCAATATCGTCAGTAGCTCGAAGGTTTGACTAGGTGTGGGGAGAATACTTCTTAAGGCAAGAGAGGATTGCTTGTGGTTGAGGGGTTTCAGGCAAGTTTTGGCTTGAGTCAAAGATGTCCAGGAGGCCAGTCTCACGAGATACGTCCTCAAAGAGAGCGGTATCAAGGTGCATAACACTTGCAGCTAGGTCAGACGTCATCGGACACTCATCGATATTGAGCGATGAGAGACGATGGGGATTGCAGTACTTGACGTCCAAGTCACAGCGTTTGGGGTCTTGCAAGTACATGTCGATATCTTGAAAGAAGTCTCCTACATTCTCGCACATGTCTCTTGGCCCATAAACAATGACTGAAAGTGCACACGGCACCGATACTGGCCCAAGTCGTGACGTCTTCATGGCAGACTGAGAAGGAATATCGTCGACGGTGCAGGTGGCCTGGAATTTCAGGCTAGGTACATCTAGCAGCGCTTCCATGATGTCAACGAATTCTGAAGAGAATGTGCCATGAAGGTCGGTGTTTGAAGCAGCGGTGAATTTGTGACTCGACTCGATGGTCACAGGAAATTCACCCTGGTCTTGCTGCCAACTAGGCTTGGTATAATTTCCATGGAACCCGACCACCTATGCAACCAGTCGTTAGCGCTTGACCTAGACGACGCACATCCGTTACACCTACCATGCCATAGCACACGAGATCCTCTGCAGCCCCGACCTCGATCTTACTTGCTGAGGAGGACCTTGTCGACCTCTGTGTGTTGTCAATCTCGGCGCTGGAGTTGACGGGGGATCCTTCCACATAGTAGCTTTCACTGGATACGCCTTCCATTGTCTCGAAAGTCGGTCCCCTGGTCTGTTGCCGATCGAATAACATCGGAGTGTATTGAGGAGTATCCTCTGGTAAAGTAAGCTCGCCCTGTTGTCTAAATAGGTTCGTGGTCTCGTTTATGGTTGTTGGAGCACCTGAAGACGAAGCTTGTAGAGTTGTATTGTTGATCTGAACTGCACTGTGTAGAGCATACGAGTTTTCCAACGGGTTAAACAAGGGAAAGTCTGTCCCGACCCAGTATTGGGGATCCGTGACGATTGGTGACAACATCTCCGTTGACGAATGGTTGATCCATGGCGAGAGAATTGGGGGTAATGTCAAGCCCTCAGTGGGCGTAATTGAACTTCGCTGGATGGGATGCAATGCCCGCGACTCAAGAAACACAACCTCTGGTTTGCTTTCATCGTCTGACCGACGTCGCTTCCTCCTCCGAGGATCCATGATTGTAGGCAGAGTTTGATCAACAACTCCAGAATCATGTCCCGAAAGCGCAACTATTTGTAGTAGATGTGTCGCCTTATTATTGGATGGAACCAGTGCATCAGGCAGCGAGGCAGAATTCTGCTCAGGCCGTGATCATGGGTCACTCATAATCCGGCTGCAGGACACAGCCCCCGTGGAGGGAGACAAGAGACAAGATGGCTTGAAAGGTGCAAAACGATAGGTGGGTTGAAGAAATCACCGCCACCCTCCCCCTGTAATTTTGGTATCAGTACTGGCAGTTTTTTTTCAACACACCTGACCGGGCTCTCTAGGACCTGGGCACCATTAATACCGCAAAACTTTCAAGGCTGTTCTCAATTTCCTCTACTCTTCCCACCATCCATCTCGCATAATGTCGCTGAAGGCCCCACCAGCTGCCCAATCAGCAGGCAGGGATACGATCAAGAAAGCCTTCAAAGACTTGGAACGCGCGATTTGTCCAGCTGACTCTCGAGACTTTGCATCGACAACAATCGGAGATGTCAGGAGGGCAGCTATCGAGATCGAGAGGCAGCTGGCAGCACGACAATCCCTGCGTAATATGCGGAGACTGGAGCCACTTTTCCTAGGTTTGGAACACTACTCCAAGGTCATCGAAGTGTTGTGTAATGGGACCGAGTATCTGGCGTGGATCTGGGCTCCTATTAAACTTATTCTCAAAGTAAGTACTCGTCTTTTCCCCCTGGCAGGGCGGTAGAAGATAAAGTCCCTAACCATGTGTTCGACCAAGATCTCGAGTGATTACGTCCAAGCGTTTGAGCGGCTCATCAAGGCGTACTCCCAGATTGCCGACTCGCTTCGGAGATTCCAACTCTTGGAACAATCTTTTAAGGATAAGCCGCAGCTCTATCCTACCTTTGCCATCTTTTACGCGGACATTCTACAATTTCATAAAGCTGCCTACAAATTTGTCACCCGTCGTTGTAAGCAGTCTTGCGTGAAACCTTTACTATCCCTAGCTTAACTTATATCTAGGCTGGAAAACCCTCTTCGCGACGTCATGGGGCCGATTTGAACGCACGTTTGAGAACATTCTCGACGACCTCAAGAGGCACGCAGCGCTCATCGACCAAGAGGTGAACGCCCACAACATCCTCGAGGCTCGGGAAATGAGGAAGGAATTGGAGTCCTGGAAAACTGAAAGCTTAGAGAGACTCGCCCGGGAAGAGAGAGAACAAACATCACGGCAGGTTCAAGGTTTAATCACCTGGCTTAGGCTGGACGACTCAGACCAGATTATTCTTCAGGATTCGCTCGCAAGTGTTAGCGTCAATTCTCCAGGGACCATCGACTGGGTGCTGAAGAAATCAGAAGTGTCTGCATGGCTCCGGCCAACCCCCGAAACTCCTTTCCTATGGCTCCAGGGAGGCCCCGGGACTGGAAAGAGCGTTATCAGTGCTGGACTGCTGAGGTTCCTTGACAGCCAGAACAACTCATTGGTGGTCAGACACTTCTGCTCATATTCTCAGAGTTCCTCGACGCTCTACGACCAAATCATAAAGGCTTTACTTCTTCAGTCCGTTCGAGGCGATGGCGACCTTGTGGCCCATATCTATGAAGAATATGTCGGCAGCAGACAGGCTACCCTCCCTATCCTTGAGAAACTTCTCGAAACTTCTGTTGAGGTACTTTCCGGGGGGAACAAGGATCAAAAGCCTGTATACGTTGTGCTGGACGGATTGGACGAATGCCCCCATGACAAGCAGCGTCGCCTCGTCCGAATGATGGATCGCCTGGTGTCCAACGGGAACACATGCAAGGTCCTGATATCCAGCAGGGACACAGTGCCACTTCATGAAAAGTTGAAGAAAAAGCCATCCGTTTCTCTTTCGGAGGAGAAGGCTAGTCTGACAGTGGCTATTGCAAAATTTGCGGACATGAGGCTTCGCATCATGCGCAACAAGTTGATGGAGCTTGGCATCTCAGAAGAAGGCCTTCGAGGTATAGCAACCCAGATCGGTGTCAAGTCTAATGGTAAGTCTACCTTCCCTCTTCAGGTAATAGATTCAACTAGCTGAGTTATTAGGGATGTTTCTCTGGGCATGCTTAGTACTAAATTACCTTGCTGCGAACTTCTTTTACAGCGAGGACGAGTTCAAGACCGCGGTCGACAGCCTTCCACGGGAACTCTCAGAATTGTGAGTACCCTCCTATCTGGTCAAGGCCTTGCTTCTTGGGAGTGGGTTACTGATGTAGGAGTAAAAAAATAGCTATGACAAAATCTTGTCTCGCATTCTGTCCGATCTCGACTCCCGCTCCGCCCTCCGAATGAGAACAATGTTCGGCTGGATCGCGTTTGCTAAACGACCACTTCGAAAAGCAGAGCTGCAATCCGCCTTGCTATTTCACTCTGACGACCCGGTCGGTCCACGGCCTATCCCGTCGTATATCCTCGAAGCTTGCAAGCCACTTGTTGAAGAAAGGAGAAATTCGACTCTTTCATTCATCCATGGCTCGGTCAAAGAGTAGGTGCTATGATTTAAACACGATCTCTATAGCCAGAATCCTAACCCCTGAATTAGTTATCTTCAAGGCGAGACCTGCAAAAGATCCGTCAGAATTTCGGAACAAACGATTCTCTGGGAAAACGGTCTTGCCTCATTACGATGTCTCCGCGCCGCATTCAACGTTTTTGGAAGGCATTTCTGTGAGAATAGTCGGAATTTGCAACTTCTTCGAGGAGTATGGGGCTTTATTCCTTATGCTAGTAGATTCTGGTGCGTCGGGTTGCGAGAGATGGTCTCGCTCCCAATAGAAGATTGGGATCCTCGATTTGGGGAAATAGCCGCACAAATATCGGCTGCATTGGCAACATCGCGACCTGATCATGACGACCACGTTTCGGGACCGACCTTCGAGGAACTTGAGAAGATTAGATGTCTTTCGAGTCTGTGGTATGATGCTACTATTGGCTTGAGAGCTCATACCGAGCGGCGGCTGTTGCTTGGCGACTCAGAACTAGGCGGTTAGTAAACCTGACTGCAACAGATAGGGCGAAGCTAACATGATGAGCTAGGCATGTTGAAGAATCTCACCCACATTCACAACATTTCCGAAAACTATGAGACAGCGATCCAACGGCTGATGAGTATCCGGGAGCACTCCGACCTGACACCATCGGAGCTTGAACAATTCCGTGGCAATTTCGGCGGTCACGCCTACCCATGCCGCTTCCCTTCCTGTACCTACACCACAAAAGGCTTTGGAGATGATGACGAACGCGTCGCCCACGAGATCGAACACACGCCGAGATTCCCTTGTGTCGAGCTGGGTTGTCAATACCCGCCATTCGGTTCTAGCAGGGCCCTAAAAACGCACCAGTCAGACTGCCATGGCAAAGGCAAGAGGAAATTGAGGGTCAAAACTGCCTTGCCTAACATAGGAGCACGACGTGAAATGGACTCTACGCTTGCCAGATCTGGCATACGTAGGCTCGGGCATGCTATGCGTTGGCATTGTGACTTCTACGAGTGCGATCAGAAGGACGGATTCGACACCCTGTACCACCTGGAAAGACACAAGGATATCGTTCACGGGGTCCCGCTAAGTTTTGTAAAGAAGCCTCCTGTTATTGAAGGGCCTACCAAACAAGCGGAATCTCTTGGCCTTAGCCCTGATACCTTCTTAGCTCTCTACTCTGAGAAGACAGAGAACCGGGAGTTTGCCGATGAGCAGTCGGTGCCTTCCAACAACCCGTTCATTGACTCGTCTCATGTATCTCCTTCGCAAGTAGCGTTTCAACCTGGCAACAACCCAGATGCTCCTACTTTGCGACAGCTCGCAACAACACCGCTTGAGCACGAGCAACAACTAGTGATGCAGCCGTTGCAGCGCTGTACGTATTCTCTCGATATCTTTATTATTATGAATTTGCACCTCCTAACTGTCGTCATCAACAGTCGGTAGCCCTAACTCACAACCGATCGCTCCGATACACCAGCAGCAGCAACCCCTTCAACAGCAACTCGACGCCCGAGGCTCCAAAACTCAGAATGTGGCCAGCATGGACCAGATGAATCTTAGCCCCCAGCGGCTAAGAGATGCTATGGAGAGTCTGGTACGTGGGAGTGATTCGTGAATGCGCAGCTCATTACAGGCTAATACGCCTAGGAACAACTCTCACAGGTTCAGGAGCGGGTTATCAGGGGTGAACAACTTGCCCCGGAGAAGCAGAAACTGCAATACCAGCAGCAGAAACAGCAACAGCAGGGGCCAATGGAGTATCTGGATGAATGGCCATTGATATCAGATTAGTTATGCCTTTAATTATCCAAAAGCAACATTACAGCCATGGAGACGATTTAGTTAAGCGCAATTAATACTTCGTCTGGTCATATTAGTAGAGTCTGGTCTATGACAAGGAGTCTGACATACTGTATTCTCTCAATAAGCCGCGAAGTCTTCAGATCCAATCACGTGTAACCGTTTCATCGACAGGGGGGACACGAGACAGTGTTGCCATCCATGGTAATGATGTATACGAAACTGTCTAGGCCGCGAAGGGCAGTCGCAGAGCATATTCAAGAGACAGTGCGCGCTGTACCTATGCGAATCATCTGATCCGATGACCGCTGCTAAAATTGTAAAGTACGTTACAGTGGGTTGGCTGGTTGCCTGGTGGGCGCCTCGCAGCGGCTCCCTTGAGAGTTTGTGGCAGTGAAGGCTTGGTGATGTGCTTTCTACCCATTGCGTCCAACACTCCCTCTCTACGAGGCAAGAAGGATATGCTTTTTCTTGTTGTCTCCGATAACTAGCCCATAAGAAACCTACGAAGTACCTACGAGAATGCAAGTGGAATAACTATGCATCAAGGTTCGTCCGGCAATTCACTTATGTACGATCTTCTGGCTCAGGTAACCCATCAGGGGCCGGGCTGTATCATTTATGTACGGTAAAGCCACAGTACGCGTCCTGGAGAATGCGAGGTTAAAATCACAGGGCAAAGAGATCAGTGTAGGTAGGCGAGTGGGTGATCCCTCTTGTCTCTCAAGATGGGCGGCCTCAAAGAAGATGCCCCGAGTGCTGAGCACTGCGGCTGGGCTACTTGACGGCTCCGCTTCCTCCCCCTTAGTCGGTGGCTGCATAGAGCTGAGCGTGAAAAGCAACACAAGAGGACTCAGTCGCTAACAGAACCCATCTCATTCGCTAAAACCATTATGGCTCATCTGAAAGTGCAATCAGCTGGGCGGGGCGCAGCATCAATGCCTCGACAAGCTCCCAGTGAAAAGCACCGAAACCACAGCCTGGTGGAAATGTGACACATTGCCAGGAAGCAAAGTAGAGAGCGAAGAGGGGCTTCGTCTGTCCTGTTTTTTTCTTCTTCAACAAGGGCTGCACTCATTACTTTGACTTTACTTGTTCAACTTCTTGTCATAAGAGTTCTGTAGTTTTCATCCACGGCTTGGAGTACATTACAGCAAGCATGTCCAATTCTGAGCCCGACGACAAGCCCAGCTTTCCTCCAGAACAATACACTATCGGCTGGATTTCGGCACTTTCAGAGGAACTCGGCGCTGCCCGTGCCATGCTCGACCAAGAACACGAGCGCCTCTCTCATCAACACCGCAATGACGAAGACAGCTACATCCTGGGCAATGTTAAGCAGCACAATATTGTTATGCCGGTCTTGCCCGAGTATGGCATCAGCTCTGCCACCAGCGCTGTCAAGTCAATGATATCCACGTTTCCTAAGCTAAGATTCATTCTCATGGCGGGAATTGGAGGCGGCGTACCAAGCAAGAAGAACGATGTTCGGCTTGGCGATGTTGTTGTCTCCGAACCAGACGGTCAAGGAGGTGGTGTCATCCAGTACGACATGGGAAGAATGGAAATCGATACCTTTGTTCGCCTGGGTGTTATGAACAAGCCTCCAAAGCTCCTCTTATCCACGTTGCGCACGCTGAGGTCAGATCCTAAACAGGGCAAGAATCTCTCAAAAATCCTCAAGAAGGCCCTGGAAAAGTGCGATGACCTAGAAGATTGTGCTTATCCCGGCCCCGAAAAGGACATACTCTTCAGGCCCGGTTATCGTCACCTCGGAGGCGACGACTGCGACGCGTGCAACGAGGACCAGAACGTCAAGAACATCGTCGAGCGCAAGTCTCGGAAGGCTAATGACCCCAAGATTCACTACGGTAATATTGGGTCAGGTAACATGGTCATGAAAGACGCGTTGGTGCGTGACAGCATCGCAGAGAAGGAAAATGTGTTATGCTTTGAGATGGAGGCGGCGGGCCTTATGAACGAGTGGCCTTGTCTGGTCATCCGAGGAATCAGTGACTATGCTGATTCACACAAGAATGGGGCTTGGAAGCAGTACGCAGCCATGACTGCTGCTGCGTACGCGAAAATGCTGTTGTTGGAGGTCCCGCTTGAGAAGGTTGAGGAGCTGGAGCAAGTGAGGGAGGTTATTCAAGGTTAGTCACGGCCAGTCTAGCCTTTGTGCATAGTTCTTAACTCCAACGAAGATATCAGAGTGGGTGTCAACGCCCTGGTCGATGCGAAACACGACGGTGATGCTACCGAGATTCTGGAGTGGCTCACTCCGGTTGACTACGCCCCTCAGCACAACGACTTGTTCAGAAAACGGCTCCCCGGAACGGGCAAATGGTTCCTAGGCTTGGAAGAGTTTTATACCTGGGCGACGTCGAAACGGCAGACTTTGTTTTGTCATGGGATTCCCGGTGCGGGCAAGACGCTCCTCACATCAATTGTCATCGACCACCTATGCCAACAATTTGGCAGCGACCCGGGTGTGGGGATTGCTTACATTTACTTCAATTACCGAATGCAAAACACCCAACCGCCCGAAGAGCTTCTTTTGAGCTTATTGAAGCAGCTGGCCCAAACACGTTCCCCTCTTCCCGAACCGGTCATAGAGCTCTTTCGAAAACACAGAGCCTTTCATACAAGGCCAACACTCGAGGCCACTATTCACACTACCTGCGATGCATGTTCGAAATACTCGGAGACCTTCATTGTCGTTGACGCACTGGACGAGTGTCACCCTTCCAACTTATCCTGGTTCCTCGACGCGCTGCTTAAGCTCCAGGAAGCTGGCGGAGTCAACATCTTGGCCACTTCCCGGTTTAAGCCAGAAAATGCACCCCTCTTTCGAGAATGTCTCTTGCTGGAGATCAAGGCAACTGACGAAGATATCCTCAAGTATTTGCAGGACAGAATGAAACATGACAGCCCTGGCTAGTTGAATGATGACGATATGCGCCAGATGGTCAAGAGAGGAGTCTTAGAAGCTGCTGGTGGAATGTATGTTATCGTAGACTCATCTAAATGCGTAAATCGTTTAGGCTAACGGCGTGTTAGGTTCCTTCTTGCAAAGTTCAAAACTGACTCGCTGCTCTCTCAGTCAGCAAAGGGACACCTCTTGGACACTTTGAAAGCCCTAGGAAAGGGGGAGCCGGCGCTGGATGATGCATACGACGAGATCATGGATAGAATCACAAGCCAACGCCAAGCACAGAAAGAAATGGCCATAGAGGCCTTGCAGTGGATCGTCCACTCGAAAAGGCCACTGGCTACTTTGGAACTCCTGCATGCTCTTGCCGTTGGAAAGGGCAACAAGTCTTTCAACCTGGACTACATTCCTAAATTACCCGATCTAGTGCCACTATTTGCTGGACTAGTCGAAGTCGATGAAGAAAGCGACATCATCCGACTGGCCCATCAGACCGCCCAGGAGTACTTTCAGCGAAAGAAGCGTTATTTCCCGGGGGCGTCATCCGTCATCGCGAAAGCATGTGCCCAATATCTCTCATCTGGTGTCGATCTTCAAGAGCCATTTCACAGGCCACTCGACATAATAGAGCTCCTAAAATCAAACTCCTTCTACGGCTATGCGGCACAGAATTGGGGACACCACGCGCGTGAAAGCTTCGAAGAGAAGGGAACCACGGAGAAAGCTCTACACAAGCGAATCATGTGCTTCCTCAACTCAGGGGTCAAAGTCAAATCATCGTTCCAGTTCCTGCGGTGGACCAAGGTTGGAAGTGTAGAAGGTTGCCTTGGGGTTACGGGGCTCCATTTAGCGACATCTTTTGGACTGGTCGACCAACTGCGCGCTCTCTTACACTATGGCTACAATGCGGACCAGATCGATGATACCGGAATGACGCCATTGCTCTATGCAATTGAAGAAGGACAAACCACCGTGGTAAAGCTCTTTCTGGAAACTGCCAGAGTTGACGTCAACCAGAGATATCTTTTCATGCAGGATCTCCTTGGCTTCATAGACATAAAATCTCCGAGACTCCAAGAAATCGCCCAAGCTTGTTGTTCTATGAATGACCTAAGCTTTCGAACGTTACTCGCACATGCAATAGACTCAGGGTCTCTAGACACTGTGAAGATTCTCCTTGATAGTCACGTCGAGACTGGGTATGTTTATTGCCTCCCGATCTATTTCACGGCGTTTGATCCAAGGCTTTCAAGAAACCTAGCCTTCAGGTCGGACCTAATGCGCCAACTAGGGAAATCCATTCGTGGATTCTATGATGGGCCGACATACGCCTCTACAGATATTGAACATGCTACGAGAGCCATCCGCGACCTCCGCTCGGGATCTCCGACTTGGTGGAGTTTGAAAGGCAACAGAGATATTCAAGATGCTTTGGTAGAGTTCTACGACCTTGGGAATGACTTGGAGAACAAAATGTATCACAAGCCCGCCGGCATCAGGACACCTCTCTCACGAGCTGCTGAGCTTGGGAATCGAGACATCGTCAAGCTCCTGCTCAATCATGGCGCCCGAGTGGAATTGAAGGAGACAGGAGGAAAAGATGCGATGACGCGAGCGAAAGAGAAAGGACATTGGGATATTCTTAGGCTACTGGTTGAGAGCCGGAACCGTTGATTGATGGACGTCAAGGACATTTGCGGTTAATCACAGTTGTATTATTTCTTGTTGCACTTTGATGTGTTTGTTGCCTTTGATAGTCCATTGGTCGCTTATACGATCATAGGTCCTCTGAATGATTCCCTGACCTAACGGCTGCAGTGGTCATGTAATCAGCTACAGGCATGGCCGACTGCTGGGTAGTAGCGCGAGCTCTCGGCATGGAGTTACCTCTCTAGTTCGGCCGTGTGAGAGTTTTGGTCCTCTCGGTTTGGGCGAGTGATCGAGTATCTGGCTACAAATAGCTGGGGGCGGAAATGAAAAGCAGTCTGGTGTGAAACGATAGATGAGGTAGTTCGGATGCAGAACGTCGATGTAGCGGGAGCCGCTTCTGGGGCCGACCAAGCCTGCAGCCAATTTCCCTGGCTCAACAAGAATTGAAATCTTTCGCTATTACTTAGATCTTCAAGTCTTCACTGTCTCGTAGTGCCTCGTGTAGAAGGTTGTTTGCCATGCTTGGATCCCAGTCTACCAAGGCACGTTCTTTCGCCTCTTCCATCTTTCTTTGCACGACCATGTCCATCTTTCTTCTTTGTTCTTCCCCTAGAAGATGTATTCTTGTCTTCCATAACTGAACCCCTGAGATATTTGTTTCCCGGGGACCAAAGAACCTTTCGTCCAAGTACTTCCAATAGATTGCGTCAAAGGCCCAACTCTTTCTTGAAGCGTAATTGAGCCAGAAGCGACCGCTCAACCAGCTTTCACGCATATAGGAGGATAATTTGAACGGAAACTGGTCAACCGAGGCACATTCGATGTCTTCCATCGCAAGGAGCCAGGCTTTGAGTCGGGTATCATAAGTACTAGCCCAGTCATCCATTCCGGAAGACCACATCTCAGGAACTTCCAACAAGAGCCACCAAGGAGGATCGAGGATGAATTGTGTAGGTGAAACATACGTGAATTCCCAGTCAATCGCCGCAATGACGTCGTCCTCTTGGCTCAGGAGAAGGTTGGCTGGCCTCAAGTCATCGCACCAAAGACGGAAAGAGTCCGACCCGTTGGGTCTTGAGCAGGTAAATTTCGAAGACGTAGACTGGGACGACCAGTTGTCCTCGACAAATCCGAAGGAAGATAATCGCCCTTGTTTTGCAAGCAAGTGAAATAGATAGCGGGCCACGTATTTATTTCGGCAGTCATCTTCTGAGCGGACAAGATCGTTGTGTTGGAAGAGTAGCTGTGCCATGTGCATTTCCGCCAGAGCAATATACCAGTCATTGGCGCTCCCATAGGTTTTATCTGCTGGCGGAAGCACTGCTTTGGGAATGTTGGCAAGTTGGATCATATTGTTCATGTTCTGGGTGATGGGTCGTCCAGCAACCGAATAGTGGCATTTTGCAACCTCGACTAATGATCCAATCCGGGGAAAGCTGGGTTTTGAGAGCTGCATTAACACAACAGCAATGTTCTTGTACAGCCGTCTAAGCGTTTCTTCGTCAATGCTTGGGTTTAGAACCGGTGTCTCATCTGGATCCTGACTAGGGATCGCAAGGGCGTCTGACATGTCCCGTGTAGTCTCGACGTGTTGCAGGATTATGACTGGTCCAACGTCCGAGGAAGAGGTGTAGTGAAAGACAGCTGGGACCGGGATAGGTGTATTTTGGGCAAGGCATGCCATAGTCGCGGCCTCGTAGAGTGTCTTTTCTTCCGGGAACTGGACCAAATCGGGGCATGGTAGTCGAACAATAACATCGGGATCATGCCCTTCAAGGTGAATTCGATAAAGCACATTGAACCCCCCAAAGAATATCGGAGAAACCAGCGATGCCCGCTTCCCCAAGACCTTCGCGGCTAGAGACTCGACTAGTCGGCAGGTAGATTTGAGCCGGAGCTGCTTCTGGGACTTCTCCCAAGCTTCGTCATTTCTGTCCCACGCAACTTCGTCGAAATTTTGTCGAGCTTTGTTCATATTCTTAACAGTCGTAACAAAGCCGCCGCGTGTTTAAGCATTAACAAAAAGGAGGTATGGTACACTGGTGGGAGGGAGAATTGTAAAACGCCAGACAAGTGGGGTCACGTCACAGAAGATGCCTATCCTTGGTGCCTGAGGCAGAAGATAGATACGTCCTGGGTACCAGAAGTGTTTTCCAGGGCCCAATAAATCGGATCTTGCATTGGGGCGATGTGTTGTGGCTGAAAAGAAAGAAAAAGAAAAGAAAAGGGGGAAGATGTGGTAGAAGAGGGCCTCCAAGAACACGATTCGTTCGCCAAAATTGACGCGACCATCGGTAGCGTTGTCTTTAACTGATAATGCTATTCCTGGTGCCTGAGGCTAGCCATAGCGGCGAGGTAGGTGGTTGTGAACCGGCCGGGAGGGAGTATGGGGATTCCACCCCCCTCCCAAGTTAACTACCCCAGAATCGCGGAATATCCATCATGATACGAAAGACCTCTCGCCCAAAGGCTGGTAAGCGGCTCTCCGGCGACTTGTCAATCTCAGCCCCCGGATATATCTTGCCGTGGCAGGAGTGTCAAAGGGAGAAAGCAAGTGGTGTAAGCCCGCGGACATATCCGCGGATACATGATAAAAAGAATCAACTTGAAGAGTAGGTATTGGAGCTGAGATCAAATGGGGCTGTGCAGAAGTCTAGGCGTAATCCTTGGCTCTTTTTCTCGGGGATAGGCTAACGTTATAAATGTCGGCCGCGGACATGTCCGCGGGTGACACCACTTGCTTTTGCCCTTTGATACTGACTGTGTTCATAGTTAGCTCAGTAAAATTGTATATAATGTGTGTTCTGTAACGTATGTCTTTCTGCATCGCATACAGTATCCCAAGCCTTAACAGAACTCAACCAACTTCTTTAACCAACGCAAGCAATTCTTACAATTTACAATGCTCCCAAAACTTATTTCCGCTATCGTGTTGACGGTCTTGCCACTGGCGCATGGTTAGTCTTTCGTCCATCTTGGTTCTATTGAGTATTAATGCTGATGGGTTGAAGCTCAAGCTGCCACGTCTCAGAACCAGACCCTAAGCGAGGCTCAAATCCAAGAAGCTTTAGAGGGCATCGCCAACACTTTCCGACAGTGGCCCGAGGCGCCACTATACCACTGGCCAGAAGAAGAAGGCCTCGAGTATGAAAGCGTCACGTTCCCCTCTGAGGACGGCGTCCCACTTGAGGGCTGGTTCTTTCCATGCAAAGGATCTAACAAGGTTCTCATCATGAACCACCCTCGTCTTTTCAACCGAGCCGGCCTTCCTTCGCACATCGAGCCCTGGAACACACTCACAGCACCTTCTGGCAATAACATTGACGTCAACTTTATTCCAGACTACAAGATCCTGCACGATGCCGGATACAACATCCTAACTCATGACTTCCGCAACTATGGTCTCAGTGGCAGAGCAAACGGCGTCCTCTACTCTGGCGGACGATATGAGTCACGAGATGTAATTGGCTCCATCCGCTATATTCGTAGCCGACTGGACACGCGCAACATGACCCTTGGCCTGTTTCCCCGCTGTATGGGTGGCAACGCAGCCTTTCATGCCATATCGAGGCTGCCCGAAGAGTTCGAGGGCATCCGCGTCATCGTCACACCACAACCCATCTCAGCCAACATGTCTACGCGGGTAGATCTGGAGCGTCGCGGCATTCCACTGAGCTATATAGACGAGCTGGATAAGATGGTCTTCTGGCGGACGAGTCTTCATCTTGAACAATACTCGCCTATCCCCGCGGCCAGAAGCGTGAGAATCCCGACATATATCTATCAAGTGCACGACGACATCAACACTCGACCAGAAGATGTGCAGGCTATCTTTGATGCTATTCCGATTACCGAGAAGAAGCTTTTCTGGATCGAAAACACCACTCGGCGCTGGGACGCATACCTCCACTTCCAGCAACAACCAGAGGAGATCTTGGCCTGGCTGAAGAAGTACATGAACTGAGTCAAGTGGGGAGAGTCAGGGAGCTATGAGGCGGTAGTTGTTATCTAGAAGGGTTTATGGTTTTCTAGATTTTTGCTATGGTAGCCTACTATCAATTCGTCTTGATGGCCTTTTGGCCGATTTCCTTGTTTCGAAACAGTAGCCGACCCCATTTGGAAGAGAGATCGGGAAGATACCAGTAGGCTTGAAGCGGGTACTTGGATGTCGCCTCAGTGATTAAGTTATATAGGTACTTCTCAAATTTCTCTGTGCAAGGGACATAATGCACAATCCTAAGTAGCCACTCCGTTTGCCTAAGCCCGGCGGTTGTAAGTTGGACAACCGTTCCACTGAAGGAGAGGCAACACGAGGGTAATGATGGGAGGGCGGAGAATTACCGACTTGCTAGGCGTTCCCAGAAAAAGGTTCTTAAATAAAATAAATGAAATACTCAAAGATTTATGATACTGTTCTTTATTTATTTTTCTCTTATTTAGCGTGTAATTGGATCATTATGTGAGTACTATTTGCTAAGTGCAATCGTTCTGGTGTCTTCAGTTTGGCCCCTTTCTGGAACCCCAAACGCCGCATGCGCCCTGCCATAGAAACACAAGACATTTTGTGTGAACTTCAACTGCCAAAATTCCCGCCCGGGTGCAAACTTGATCGAGATGAATCCTCCCTTAAAGGTGGCGGAGCTGCTGGCCAATGACTCAAGTCTTGAGATCGTGGACGTGATCCTCTGTCTCCTCCACATTGACATTTGAGTCAACACCTTTACACAAATGGATTATTTTCCTTCAGTTTTGGGTGTTTTCATTCCAACTCAGGGTTTAAACAACCACCAATTCCTCCGGGGGCACAGTGGAAAATCCCTCATCGGTTTCAACGGTACCCGCCAAGGAGAAGCACCAAAGGAGACAAACTCCCAAGTACTCCCATCGGAAATCAGATGCAGCAACTCTCTCTTGGTCATGAAACGCATCCACGGGCCTCACAAGAATTGGAAACCGGGATCCCTTGACTATGAAGACAGGATCCCCTACACAAGCCGCAGAAGGGACGAGCGCAATACGTCCAGGGTCGAGAAGACAACAACGCCAAGTATCCGTTGGAGACCAATCTCGAAAGCTCATTTCCTGGAAAACCTGGTGAATCTCCTCAAGGTCAAATTCGTGAGGCATCTCTCTTTCTATTCTGTTCATTTCTTCGAAGGACGCAGTGTAGTTAGTCAGCAACATGACGCTTGTAACATGCCAACCAAAAACGCGGAGGATGTCTTCTTCTTCGTAGGACTGCTGTGGCGCGAGAAAGTTTGCCGGCAGACGCTGGGGAATGAGAACCAATGGATCTCGAATGCTGACTATGCTGTTTGGCGTGCAAGACTGCCAGTCGGGGACCCAGGATGCGAACTGATACGGGCGTGGTTGCTCGGAAGGCCTCCTGATCAGAGCGAGAATGTCCAAGTTTCCCGTACCGTTGATGATGAACTTTGTGAGATACTGATAGACCGTAGTAAGGCTCTTGGAGTAGTCGACCTCGAACGACAGTAGATCCAGCGTTGGCGTTGTGTTGGATCCCGACGAGCCTGCTGAACCATGCAATATCCCTTCTGCTCGTCTTAGTGGGCGTGCCAACCCAAGAAGCGAGTAAACCTTGTCTCTGGGATCGGTCGCCTCTGAAAATTTGCTCACGACAAGCAACTCGAGTATCCCACCGGCTATGCTGCTGTAGATGCTGTCTGATGGAACCATTGTATGCATCATGGGCTCGCCAGCTGACCAGCTCCGCTTCAGCCCCCGTAAGATCTCGAGTCGGTGTTGCAGCATCGTAGGCTTTTCAAACTCAGTCCCAAGGCGGCTCTCTAGGATTGTCTCGAGTGACCGTAGTCTTCTGCATCCTCGCTTGAAGGCCGTCCATTTGATGATTTTAGAGCCACAGCAGACAATGGAGCCTCTAGTGCCGATGATCTCTTGTCTTATCCAAGATCTCTCGAACCAAGGCCGACAAAGAAGTTCATGGAGACCTGCGTATATGGCTCGCAGTGTTTCGATACACTCTGGGTCATGGGCCCGATGGAGTGTCGACTCACGGATTTCCTCGTTGTTCACATAATCTAGAAAAACCATTGCCATATGTGTGCCTTTCGTGGCCGTGCCCAAATGGACGAGAACTCTTCGAGACAATCTGTATATCTCAAACATTTGCTTGACTTGGCGATTCTTCTCTGCGGTGTCGTATTGGTTGATGCACAGACCGTCGATCCATAGTAGACGGGGTCTATCCTTTAACCTCAGGCATCGTAGCGCCTCGTATAAGCTGGCTGTGACGGGCATGGCGACCTCGGGCGTCTCGTAAACCTCGCCCGTTTCCGAAAGTCTAGCCCCGCGACAGAGAACCTTGCGCGAGAGGATGGGCGATCCCCAGTGGTACGAGACGGCTTCGTAGTGAGTCCATTTGATCAACCGCGCATTTCTCACATCACCAGGCCTTCTTTTTCCCCGAGATGGATCGAATAGTAATTCGGGCAAAAGAGTGCATTGCAGTGGTGTGTCTCCCTCTCCTGGATCGAGGACGACAACCCGAAGCCACCCAGGACGCAGTGGCGTGTACAGCTTCGCAGCTGCTTCCGCTGCAGATGCAGCTTCATGCGAAGGTTCCCGAAGGGGCCTTTCAGGCGAGTCTCGGGCAAGGAAGGCTTTGACTTGTTTGGCCTTGAGCCAACAATCTGCTTCACAGTTTGTGTCCCTGTCCCGCTCTCCTTGAAGAGATATTTCGGATGAGGAAGAGAAGGTGCTGGAAGCGTCCCCATCGATGACTGGTCGGAAGAAGGCGTACAAGTCCTTGTATTTGACGGCGCGGGGTCGCTCATAACCATCCATGCCTAGAGTCAAGTTTTGTCCCTCTAGCTTGTCCAGCAGCTCCCTCTCTTGTGGTGAGGACCGATCCATGGTAGTGTGACGGATTGTGATAGCTTCTATCTCGGACAAGACCCTTTGTTCAAGTGATGGTGAGGGGTTATTGAAGGTTGTCCTCTTGCCCGAGTGCGATGGTGCTGCCTAAGCTCAGCCACTGGCGTTGAGATGCTCAGCCCCGGCTTGGCGATAAACTGAGTGTTGGAGTGTTGCCTCAATGCTTCTCTAACTTCGCCGTCCTACGATGCACGACCATTATATGTAAATAATGGGGCAAGTCCTTAACCTTGAGACTGGGATTTCTTATAGAAGAGCATTTTTCAATATTTGAAGCAAGGTCACGGGATACTCAAATTAACAATTACAAACACCCTGGTCCTTGATAAGCTCGGGACACGTGATGCGAGCCGCACCAGCGGGGATATCTTAAAGCGGCTCACTCTGGACAACAAAATATCCTCATGCGTGATATCATCACTGTCAACAGCCTTGGCAAGGGACCAAGGGTAACTCTAGTAAGTTTGAAGACATCTTTCAAAATCCTTGTCGATGGCTACCTAATCATAGTCTAAGCGTAGCAATAGGCCTAACTTCAACATGACGTGCGACGTGTGTGAAACCATCATCGACATATACTCAGCCGGTTTCGAAGAATGGGATGAAGAGATCCTTGGTGAAGTCTCGACGGTGCTGAACAGCAACTGTCCTCATGCAGAGTCCCTCAGTCGCGCTGCCAACTTTGATAGGCCAATAACCGACTTCCCAAATGAGCTTTTGGCGATAAAGAAGGAAGGGAAACAGACGGGCGTCCGTTTAGGACTTGCGCATTTGACCCCTGAAGACGACATAATCTTTGATAATGTCTCTACGACTTACATGGACCTTGTTGCACCGAGAGACATCCTCGATCATCCCGGACAGGGCATCTTGCCTGGCCCAAAGTGGATTGATCTCGATATCATCCGTGGCTGGTTCTCCGTCTGCAAGAACTCACATCAGTCACAATGCAGTGAACCACCTTGGCTGAAAGGAGTCGAGCCTGCCGATCCCGAGTGGTTCATTGACGTGATTGACGACTGCATTGTATCTCCCCCCGGAAGGGGAGTGGACTATGTTGCCTTGTCATACACTTGGGGACTTGGTCGAAATCTCAAGAATACAAAGGCCACCCTCGGCGAGCTGAGACAGCCCGGGGCCCTCCGTGTGCCAAATTTTGCGAGTCAACTACCGGAGACTATTCGAAACACTATAGATATTGTCAGATTACTCGGCGAACGATATCTTTGGGTTGATGCCCTGTGTATTATCCAAGACGACCCCGCAAGTCTTGGCCGGAATCTGAACCAAATGCAACTTATCTACGCGAACTCCACCTTTTGCATCATGGCGGCTACTGGATGTGGTGCTGAGTTTGGACTCCGTGGTCTCAAGGGCCTTTCACCAGAAAGAGACCTCGAAATGCGCATCTACGACCTGGCAGATGGCAACAGGTTGATAGCAAAGCCGCTATCCCAGGATCCAACTGCGGGGACCAAGTACTCTTATCATCAGCGCGGCTGGACCTTTCAAGAATGGCTTTTCTCCCGTCGACGTTTGGTATTCAATCATGGTCCTTTAATGTGGCAATGTCAATGCGCACGATGGCAAGAGACAGCCAAGATTAATCCAGAAGCTGATGCTCAGTGGAGCCGAATGCATCGGACCAAGGAGTCTGCTTTGGATCCCTCACCGAGTATCTGGGATTTCATGTCAATGGCCTCAATGTTCAACACCAAAGCATTGACTATGCAAGAAGATGCACCGAAAGCGTTTGCAGGGATACAGGCTATGCTTCATCGGGTCCACCCTGGAGGTTTGCTATATGGACTATCCGAATTCTTTTTCGACATATCTCTGGCTTGGGCAAGTCTGTACTCCAACATCCAGAGAAGAAGAGGGTCAAACGCTGCAAATGCGCTTCAGGATGGGCTTCCAAGCTGGTCATGGCTAGGCTGGGAAGGAGACGTCAACTTTCCTAAAGATGCCGAATTTCAAGTCATGCAGCCGTGGAATTATCATGAGCAAAAGATCGGCTTTCGGGAGCCCGTCACAGAATGGTTTACGATGGCGACGCCAGACTCGACTAGAAGAAGGAGAGTAAGATCTGAATGGTACAAGTATAAAACCAGTTTTACAGAAATTGCTTCGCCACAGCTACCTCATGGGTGGAAGAGGCAAGATTACAACCGACAACATCATCCCCACGACTTTTACCCTCCCGGTGGCGAACCAAAGGACATTTTCTCTCACGAGTTTAGCCCCCAACATGGTTTCAAATATCCAGTGCCGGTTCTGAACTGGGCGGACACACCATCATTGAGTGACCAAACTCGGTACTTGTGGTGCGAAACTAGCCGAGCCCACTTGGTATCATCTAAGACGACCATTCTTCGGGTCGAGGACTATGAACGGCGTGTTCGCTTCGTGGAAGGCAACAGCACAATTCTTTCAATTACAATGCCTCATATGGCGAGTGTCGAGGAAATGATGGACGACAAAAGGAGACAAAGCACTCTAGAGCTCGTGGCTTTCGCTAGAGGATGGTCTACTTGGCTTGGCCAGGATGTCGAGCGGACGAACGATGGAAACAGCACAGGTTTGCAAAGCCCTTACCTGAGAACATGAGGAGACAATTGAAGTTTTATTAGGAAATACCAGAATACCTGGCATGGACCCGCGAGATTGTTACTTTGTTTTGTGGGTTGAGAGGAGGGGAGACGTTTCGTATCGGCTGGCATCTGGCGAGGTTCTGGCGAGTTGGTGGGAGGAGAATAGAGAGAAACAACTCGCCCAAGTGGTCCTTGGATAGATATTAAGATACATCAGGGTATGTTTTGATCTCACCCCTAGCATTTATTTCATTTTCTAAGTGAGTTCAGATGAGCCCTCTTCTACGGGATGAGACTTGCCGGACTCCCCTAAGGCTGAATGTCTGGATTTTTGGTTACCCTCTGCCTGCTTCAAGGTAAGAGGGAGGTAGTCTTTGTCACAAGATAACGAACAAGCTAAGCTCAGGCAAATGAACTCGGAGTTTGAAATGCAATTAACTAGAAGAAGTCAATTACTCGGTCGATTCTGAGTTTCCTCTGAATACTTTCTCACTTACTTACCTACTTCACTGGGACAAACGGATTTGACAAACTCGCGTGATATGCAGCTCTAAACTGCGTATCCACACCCTCGTTGTTCATTTAATCTCAAGTAGAAGCACTTTTGTTGATGGTGTTTTTGGGCCGATCGGCAGTCTATGAAACAAAGCCGATAACATAAATGGAAGTTGGAATTCATGATTGGTCAGTCCCGCTCGGTCCCACAGCCTGCCCCTGAATGACTCCCTAAAACGGACAAGCCAGGCTACGGCAAAAGCTCCCAATCAAGCAGCTCGCCAAGAATCCCAGAGGCCCTTTTGTATCTCAAAGACCTTTTGCTGCGAAGAACTCCATTTCAGTGCCGACTTATCCAGAGTCGTATATGTGACTCGTGATGGTGCCGAGTTATCCAGAATCGTGTGTTTGTCACTCCAAACTCGTGATAAGAGCATGTAGATAAATACCACTCGCCCTTTTCCTTGGCAATCCTTCCACATCCCAGCAAATTATTCAATATTTCTTTGTTTAAAGGTAGAGGACTATAGGTGATCCTCCAAACTCACCATGCATCTATCCTCATATCAGTGCCTCTTGCTGGCGTTGTCGGCTCTGCCCACAGCATTTGGGAAGTCGTTCTCGCACCATTCCAAGGTGCCAAAGGGTTGGCAAGTCGACGAAAACGCCCGCATCTCTGCTGCAAAGCAGCAAGTCTTCAGCATTGCACTGACTATGCAAAATGTTGACCAGCTGGAGTCAAAGCTGCTTGATCTTTCCACTCCCGGGGGCGAGAACTATGGCCAGTGGTTGTCACACGATGAAGTCAAGTCAACCTTTTCTCCTTCAAAAGAGGCCGTTTCTAGCGTCACAAAGTGGCTCAAGTCCAATGGCGTCAAGCACTACAAAGTGAACGGCGCTTTCATTGACTTTGCCCTCGACGTTGCCGGAGCCAACTCCCTGCTAGGAGGTGACTATCAATATTACGTCAAGGACGGCCAGACCAAGCTGCGAACCCTTTCGTACTCTATCCCCAATTCCCTGGCAGAGCATATTCAATACGTGGATCCAAGCACCAACTTCGGAGCCACCTCGGCCTTCACCCCCGTCCCTCGTCCATCGCGGACTACTGTCACCAAGCGCAACGATGCAGCCTCAAAGAGCTCAATTGATGCTTCATGCCAGACAAGCATCACTCCTTCTTGCTTGAAGCAACTGTACAACGTCGGAGACTACGCCCCCGACGTCGAGTCCGGAAGTAGTATCGGCTTCAGCAGTTTCCTCAACCAATCTGCCCTCTTCTCCGATGTATTCCAGTTTGAGGACAAGTTTGGTATCCCCAAGCAGAACTTCACCAAGGTTCTGATCAACAACCCAATCAATGACCAGAATCCCGCCAGCAAGAACTACGGCGAGGCTAATTTGGATGCGGAGAACATTGTTGGAATCGCCCATCCTCTTCCTTTTACTGAGTACCTCACAGGAGGTGCACCGTGAGTTCAGTGTATCAGTATGAAATTTTCTCAGGAGCTAACATCAGCCAGACCCTTCGTCCCTAATATCGACCAGCCTACTGCTGCTGACAACCAAAATGAGCCTTACCTGCCGTATTTCCGGTACCTCTTGACCCAGAAGGATCTCCCTGCCGTTATCTCCACCTCGTACGGTGACGAAGAAGACGTATGATCCCTCCCTCGTTTTCGTCTGGCTTATCTAACATTACCTCAGGGCGTCCCACGAGAATATGCCACACTTACCTGCAACCTCATTGGTCTTTTAGGTCTCCGAGGTATCACCGTCATCTTTTCTTCCGGCGATCTTGGAGTGGGTGCTGGATGTTTGGCTCCCGACTACAAGACTGTCGAGTTCAACGCCATCTTCCCCGCCACCTGCCCTTACCTGACTTCCGTCGGTGGTACTGTTGATGTCACTCCTGAGATTGCCTGGGATGGATCGTCTGGAGGATTCAGCAAGTACTTCGCCCGACCTAGTTACCAGAACCATGCCGTCAAGACATACATGAAGACCGTGTCAGACAAGACCAAGAAGTACTACGCTCCTTACACTAACTGGAACGGCCGAGGTTTCCCTGATGTCTCTGGACACAGTGTATCACCTGACTACGAGGTTATCTACGCTGGGAAGCAGGCCAGAAGCGGGGGTACCAGCGCTGCGGCTCCTGTCTGGGCTGGTATTGTTGGTCTGTTGAACGACGCCCGATTCCGGGCTGGCAAGGGAAGCTTGGGCTGGTTGAACCCTCTTATCTACAAGTATGGACCCAAGGTCTTGACAGATATTACTGGAGGCTACAGCATTGGATGCGACGGCAACAACACCCAGACCGGCCAGCCAGAGCCCGCCGGTTCTGGTCTTGTTCCCGGCGCTAGATGGAACGCTACTATTGGATGGGATCCAGTGACTGGATATGGCTCACCTGACTTTGGAAAGTTGAAGGACCTAGTTCTGAGTTTCTAAGTTGATGAGCTCAGGTTAAAGCAGCACCAGCTCAGGACCATGGGTGAGAGAGGAAATCATGGGTATCTAGATTCGATCTTCTGGCTCAGTTCCCATCAAGGGCCGGGCTGCAACTATAATAAAGAACACATTGGCGTCTAGATATGTGGTAGAGAATACCTGTTTTGACTGCCTATGTGCAACCGCATAGAAACTGAGAGCAGAAAGGGCAAACTTCGCAAGCAGCCCATTGCTTTACCGATTTTTCTTATGAAGCTCCGTTGATGTTACCCAAAACAACGCGTAGAATAGTCAATCCCACTATCACAATAGGAGTGATTTGTCCAATCGAGTAAACAGGTGATGTGAGGCAAACCGACTGCATCGTGATGCTTCGTTCAGCAGCCACCCAGCTCAAACAGGTAAACGCACCATGTTCCAGATATAACTGGCTGACCATAATCGGGATCTTTGAATGCATCCTGAAATCCAGTTTCATGTATGCCGCCTCAAATTCGAAACTCACGGTTACAGCTTTCACACTGCTTGCAGTTCAGGCACGGTTCACAGTGCTTCTTTGTCTCCAAGCAACAAGCAAGCCTTCCACAGTTCCCGCAAGCCGAAGAAGATCTTGTGCAGGCATCGCATTCGCAACAAGTTGGATCGTCATTGTGGTTCCTGTCTCTTTAAGACCTGCAAAGCCGTATTTTATTTCAGATTTTAATATTAGCTCAAGTGAAGAAAAACAATAATTTTTATGTATTCATCTACTCTTTTACCTATCTAAAGTGCATTATAGTACTAGTCATAACGCCGCTATTTATATCTTCCATAACCTTCGAAACAACCTCGTTATTAAGCCACGCCCTTCCTATAACCTCGGCCATCCCCTCCTCCCGATCTCTTACCACGAACACACCCGACACCCCTGAGAATAATGTAAGCCTATCTCCTCTCAAAATGTTTGCAGGGCCGAGTCCGTATGCCCCAGTGTCTGTGCTAACGATTACCTGGCCATCCAAAGCTCGTATCGCCGCCGACCGGTCATCCAATCTCTTCTGTTCCACCATCTTTTCCATCTTATCCCAAGCGGCACTCATTTTATCGACTCTCACCCTGTTGCTTGAAATATCATCTTGCAGTTCCTGTTCAAGCTTCTCTCTTGGTAATTGGAAAAGTCGTCCACCCAACTCGCACCTCGCGTATCTGGCCCTCGCTTCCAATAGTCTGTTCCCTTGGCAAACCTCTTCTAGTTGGCGATTTAGAACATTTATTAGTCTCAGTCTCCGCAGAGTATCTGACACGTCCTGGATTGTCTCAGATTCCCGAAGGCTGCCATTGCTCAATCCTGCTCTTGAAGCGGCCCGCAGAAACAGGTTCAGCGTCGAACGGGAGAGTTGTGAAAATAGGTCGGCGATTTCTTTTTCAGTGACGAAGGGAAACCAAGTCGGATGTTGGTAGTGAAGATTAAAGAATGAGAAAGATACCAGGGCAGTTTCTACAGCATCACCCGTAGGGAAAAATGAATCCAGGATTCGCCTTCGTATGTCTCCTAGCTCGAACCTTTCGCCTCTCGGTGTTGTTATGATTCGGCCATCGGCATCGGCAGTGACATCTGCAATGCCGTCTACCAGGCCAATGTGAAATACCCGTATAGCCAGGACGTCAGTGCATACCGAACATTCCAGGGATCCAGCTATGAGACCATAGCAGCCAGACTCGCGACCAGGGAGAAGAGGATCTTGGAGGTCAGAGTAGGAAAAGTCGGGGACCCATGAAGGTAGGTTGAGATGTGTGCGAATGGGAAAAGTGTTATAAATGCCCTCCCATTGTTCCAAACATAGAAGGTAGGCGGCCATCCTGGTATACAATTTGCGCGTTGAGAGGTTATAGTCAGGGGTGAAAACTGTCCTGAGGGGCTCCATCATCAACGACCGCAGAGCAAAGATCTTATCTCGGGGATCAGATGCCTTGTATCTTCGCGAGCCTCTGAGTAAATCTGAAACTTTGTATTCAATAGGGTGCAACCGTAAGCTCCAATGAAGAAGCCAATGTCTCATTTGAAGCAGGTTGTATTCGTCTGGCGTTGACCTGAGCTCATCGCTCAGAATTCTGCGATATGAAGCGTGGGCCGTAGAGAGTAGATCTACTCGCAGTCTCTCCTGGAGAACATTGAATCCCCGCAGGAAGACCCATGCTTCGGTCCATGTATTGTTGTACCCGAGGAGAGGATCTGACATCTTGGCGTAGGCAAATTCCTGAATGATCCAGATCCGATTCCACCATTCTGCATCGAGCAATTTCCTGAACTGGCCCAACACAAGGGGAATATCGATCGTTAGCAGAGCCTCATCGATGTCTGGTGCATTCTTCACACGATGGAAAAAATCAAACAACTCTGGAAAGTCCGGGCCTTGACCAAGGAATGCAAGAACTTGCTCAGCCGTCTCATATATATACGACATCATTCCCACGACGCGATTCTTCTCATCATCGTCTCGCTGATTGATGCAAGTAGCATCAACCCAGAGTGAGCGCTTCTTGGTCTCGTATCGGAGATATCGTAGGGCTGTTGCCAGATTCTGGGTTACGGCCCAGGGCCTGTCATTGACCATGATGTGCTCGCTCACGGTAGAATCGCCCCAAGCGTAGGACAAAGCCTCGTAACCCTCGGTTCCAGAAATGACATAGACCCGGCATCGTATTTCGGAGTCGAAAGTACCGGGCTCTAGCTCGAGAACACGAACTATGTTGCCGCCCGGAGGAAGAGGGTCAAGAGGTTGGCCGCCATCTGTCGGACCCAGAGTGCTTTGACTTGCTACCGCCAGTCTGCAAGTCGACCCAAGGAGTCAGCCACCGAATTCCGTAGAGATTGAGTTTGAGTCTGAATGCACTTACGGCTCACCGTGTTCCGTCTCGGCAACTCCAACACCGTCTATGAATTGATGGAGGCATGCCACAGCCTCTCTGTGTTCAAGTAGAGCGATCTCCAAGCCAGCATGCGGAATCCTTTCAGACATAAAGTCCACATGGCAGCAAGAAAATAGAGAAACCCCCAAGCTTAGTAGTCCCACTAGTAGTAGTGGATATATCCATGTACCCGTGACTTGTGAGTAGATGACGGCCGCGACAGTGCAAATGAGGCCACAGAAAAGGAACACAATCCCAGCAGAGAGCAATACAGGTCCTGAGAAGATGCGATCCAAACCCAGAGCAGAGTATTTGAGAAGAAGGCTCAGGGCGTGTATTCGGAGAATGTTTTCTTGGCGTAAATGCTGCCGCGCGGACTTTGCTGCGGCACTGGCTCGAGCGTGGGGGTGTTCGGGAGATCTCGTAGCGTCCCCCAGAAGAGGTTGGCGTTCATGAGCCTGGGCCATGGTGAATGGATAACGTCAGGTGTCGGCTGTGAGCATAGGTTACAGTATTGACCACCTCAAGTTTGGCCAATATCTCACAGTCAGATTCTCGCCTGATCGATACCCAATTTACGCCCCCGCACTTTGGCGAGGTGCTTACACTGGTGGTTGGTCCTATTAGATTGGACCCTGTCCAAAGCCTCAATAGGTGTCACGTGAAAAGGGACTACAGTCCCAAAAGTAGTAGCAAACACTTCACCATGTCGGTGTTTGGCTTTCTTCGTGCATGGTCTTGCGCTGTTTGAAGGTGCTGTGCTTTGGAGCTAGTGTGATATCAGTCGAGTAAAGAAATTGAGATTAGAAAGGCTAAACTACCTAGGTACCCCATCAACTTCATCTCGTACACGCTTCAAAACTCCCATCAACTCCTAGCTCATCAAAACATCTTGATCATTTTCATATCGTCAGGGGCGACCATTATCATTACTTATTTCTCAGTAGCAATTTCGTTTTCTTCATGCTCGTGACCAAGCTTGGCCTCGACGTCACCCTGTTCGGCCTTGGTCGTGAGGCTAGTCGCGACACGAGTCTTCCAGGCGGGAGTTCCAAGATAAGCAATGCCATTGGGATCCTCAAACATATGTTCGGTCTCCTCAAGGGTCTTTCCGGCAGTCTCGGGGAACATAAAGAAGACGTGGACGAACATGGCGACGTTGAAGACACCAAAGATGAGATAGGTCTTGTATCTGGGAGTTGTTAGTGGCCGAGACAATTTGAGGTTGATTGAAAGAAGTCTTACCGGATGTTCTCAAAGGCGACGGGGGTGAACAGACCGAGAGCAGTGTTGAAAGCCCAGTTAGCCGAAGTAGCCAGGGCAACACCCTTTCCTCGGAGTCGGAGAGGGAACAGCTCAGGAGGATAAGTCCAAGAGGCGGGACCCCAGGTAGGAGCATAAGAGGCGACAAAGAGGTATGTGCAGGCAATAAGACCCTTTGCAGCTGAGCCAGACACAGTCATCGAGACCTCGGGCACTCCGTCCTTGCCACCGGGCCAGATAACACCATTGCCGCCCAAGATGCCAGCATTGGCAAACATCCAGATACCCATTAGAGCGCTGCCGGCGAGGAGAGTTGGTCGTCGACCCCAATGATCCATCCAGATCAGGGCGGGAACGGTCATGAGGACATTGATGACGTATTGAATGGACGAGGCCAGCAAGTTGGCGTTTCCACTGAACAATGTTAGGAATTAAAAGGAAAAGACGATGATAGCACTGACCTGTAGCCTGCCATGGAGAAGACGTAGGAGATGTAGTACACTGGGATTGGTTAGCGTCAAGTTGTCTTTCAGCAGTGGTAGCCAAAACATACTCATAACGTTCATGCCGGTAAGCTGGGACCAAATCTGGGTAAACAGTCCAATAAAGGTTCGGTTGATCATGCGGGGCTTGAAGAGATCAAGGTAGGTAACATCAGAGATAGAGGCCTCAAAAGCACACATATCCTTGATGTCCTGAAGCTCAAGAGCCACAAAGGGGTGGTTGGGATCGCCATGGCCGTGGACAAGAGTAAGCACAGCACGGCAGTCCTCCCAACGATCCTTTCGGGCGAGCCAACGTGGAGACTCGGGGAGAAGCATCATCATGAAGAAGAGGAAGATGGCAGGGACCATCTGCAGACCCCAGGGAATACGCCAAGAGGCAGTGTTGTAGTTGCGGGAGTTTTGCTCGCCGATGAAGGAGCAGCCGTAGGAGATGTAGTACATGATCAGGATACCCCAGGTGATAGCCCATTGTTGCATACCGATGAACCGACCACGCTTGGAGGGAGGAGAAATCTCGGCAATGTAGACGGGGACCTGAGCAGATTCGATACCGACGGAGAGACCGTTGATGACACGACCGACGACCAGCATACCAATGTTCTGAGAGGCACAAGAGATGGTTGATCCAACGATCCTAGCAAGAGTGTTAGCACTGGCTTGTCATGGAGGAATGCTTTCACTTACCAGATAAGACAGCCAACCATGATGGAATACTTCCTACCCAGGCGATCACTGAGCGGACCCGATATCAAAGCACCAAGCCAAGAACCAGCAGCCATACTAGCCGTGATACCACCTTGGTGCAGAGACTTGGGACCACTGCAATCATCATCGTCGGTAAAGGGTGGACCCTTGGGTCCCTGGTTGAAGTAGCACTTGTAAGAGTTCTCGCCGAGCTGTGCAGACACGGACGAGATATCGAAGCCAAAGAGGGCTCCACCAACCACCGCGACACCGGCGATGGCGTAAATATTGCCAATGGGCATATTGAGTGTTTACTCTTGTAAGAGTTGTATAAGTGTTGTGTGCATGTGACTGAAGAGTGAGTAGTACAGAGAAGGGAGGGATACAAAGCCAAGGAAAGAGTCTCAATATATGTCAATCTTCTTTGAGTCCCAATATCCAGAGCCTCGGGTTATCGGCGCCGTGCGGCGTCACGTTACGGTTGCAATGAACGGAGGTTGTACGGCATTACGTTCTGGGGGAAGGGTGGGGCTATGGAGAGGATTCTCAATACGGCAACTCTGAAACCGAGAATTCAAGTTGATCACTAACATCAGATCAGCCTGAAAATGTAGTATTTTTTCGTTATTATACGCTTTAAACTCTGGACAACTACTGAGACATGTCTAATCTTTGAACTATTTTCACTACAAATTCCGAGAAATCCGACAATGTCTCAAACACACACGCCCCTCCAAGGCACTTCCCACAGTTAACGGCATCGTACCTCGATCACCTCAACCCGCAATCATCCCCGTAAGCGCCCTCTACCCCGTGACGCTCAGACAAGGACCGTTTGTCTGCCACCGCGAGATCGACGCTGCACGAGATGGCCCTGATGCCGTGACGTTGCATCTTAACGGCCGAGAGTTTCGCCGGAGACAGCACCATTCTCACTTCTAGAGCCTCTGCAGGCCTCGGCACCACATTGCCGGGCCCTGACGTCGGTGGTGTTATCACCCCCTGTCAGCCCCCCTCGTGCCATTCATACCAATCACAATAACCCGTCAAAACACTGGAGACGCGGCGCTCCAGAGCCGCTTCATGACAAGACTGGTCTTGTGTTCCCCGGATCTCCACAGGAAAAGGTCCGATAGAATCAATAAGCGCAGCAATGAGACGCAATGGTTCATTCAGTCAAGGGGAGAAGCTTATACGTAACCATAGAGCAATTGGTCCGGGGAATAAAGGAGCTGGTGAGATGTGCACCCCTGTCGACAAATGCTGCTCGACCCATGACCATTGTCGGTGTTATATCCGAGTAACGTCCAAGGCGACCAAGCAAATCATTTCTCCATGGAGCTTGCGGCAATGACCACGATGCCAAGTTCTTGGCTGATCATGACAGGGAAAGGGAAAACAGGCTGAAAAGAAGGAGGAAACAAGCAAGGTCGATCAAGGTGTAGTGTCATATGTGCCAAGGCGGCCCCGGTCTGCCTAAGAAACCTGGTCCCTACACCAATCTGCTTACGCAGTGACCGTCCGTAGGGTAATCCTTCAATTCTGCATCACGATGCTTTTTCCCATCGTCAATCCCATGGTGACTCTTGGCACCTAAAGAATAAGATCGAATGTCTTAGATCAATCAGTCCATCTTGGTTGACACGAGGAGATGGATACAGTGACCCCGGAGTTCACCGTACTCACTTTTGACAATGTAACCATCACGCAGTCACCGACTTTCCGAAAATTGTCCCCGCTTCATAACCGTACAGAAAAAACATTCATTTGTGCGATGGGGACTATGGAGTTCCAAGGAGAATTCAGGCACCAGACCCGAGAGTGGGCGGCCAAGCATTACCAAGAGATCAGACCACCATGGACAAGGATGAGAGATTGAAGGTGGTCGGCCCCGAGCATCATGATCGACCCGGCCGACCTGTGGACCACGGACTTGGGCGGCCTACAGGGGTGATACGACAGTTGATTGGCACGGCTAGACGGCTGGCCAATCAATCGTTTACGAAAACATCATTATTCTCAGTTCATACAACGGGCCACGAATCCCGAGGTTCAAAGTTTCTAGAATCTGAAATGGGGCAGATGATCATCGACTTCGTATCTTCCTAAAATGCTGTTCTGCCCTGCTCCCCGAAACCTCCCATAAACAACTCCATATCAGACCATTCAGGCATCGTCACGTCCCCTCCTGGCATAAACTGTGTCATGGAACCTTCAATCGTGCCAAACCCAGGAAAAGGCAAAAAGTCTATCAAACCCTCCATGGAGCCGAGTGTCATCGCTTGACCAAACTCGGACTGAGAGGTACTCATCATTCCTGAAGCATGATGAGTTATGCCGTTGATGTTTGATCCTGGAGGGGGCGAACTGGGTGCTTCGTTGGGATTATTTGCACACTCGGAAAAAGTGTCGACGACTTGAGCAAGTCGCTTCATGGATCCTGATTTTTCAGTGCGATTTATCACGCCTCGGAGTGTCGAAACGAGATACCTGATTCCAGTCTGCAAAGAGGCCTCTTCGTCGTCGACATCTTCAGTGCTCTCGCCAGGACGAAGTCGGAGTAGTCGAAGGATTAGAACCATGGCTGAGCAATAGGCGTAAAATATGTCGAGACCAGAAAGACCATTGATAACATCAAAATGGTCCAGTAGAATGATCAAGTAACTCAACTGACAAGCATGCTTGACGCATACAGCAGCATGAAGAGGCACAGATGGCGCCGGTGATTCCGTGGGTGACTTTCGCGTCAATGCAACATCGCGAAGCAGAAGAGGTCGTGTTGCCACGATGGCAATGTAGTGAAACTGAACGTGTAAAAGAAGAACAGCGCGAAGTTGAGCACGCGTCTTCCACGCCAAGGATACCTTTAGGTCCTCCATATCCATTGCATTGGCGTTGTCAGTCAGGCCCGAGCCAGAACTCTTGACCCAAGGAACATCAAAGCCAGGGGCCTTGCTAATCTCGCTTTTCCATGTTTCCAGGGCACTCATAATCTCGTCAAGGGTAGGTGCCGAGGAGACACGATTCGTCCCAACGTGAAGAAGACGCGTTCTTGCAAGGATGCCTTGAAGCTTGAGTGACCAGGACACAAGCTTGGCATCTGTACCGATGCCACCATCGACAAACCCTTCCCTTGGTGGGACTATCTCGACATCAAGTTCTTGCAGTCCACTTGGTCGGCCAAGACTTGAAGCCAAGAATTGTTCAAAAGAGTAGAGCGTGCAGAAAACCCACTTCCGAATCTCTCTTTCGAGGGGGCGGAAAGAAGAACTCATGTCCGATCGATGAAGACCGAGCGCAAATGAGATGCGAGTTGCAGTGCCCGTGAGATTCCAAGCTGCATTCCTCTCATTGTTGTTGTGCAGGAACAAAGCCAGCAATAATAGCACCCGCACATTCGTGAGTGAGCATTTGGAGATGAATTGTGGCAGTAGGGCCCTTGCAACAGTGACAGATTTCCGCCGAAGAGCTGTATGGTCCACTCCTTGGATAGTTCTGTCCGCAATAGAGCCAAAGGCAATCATCATATGAAGACAGCCAATCCAGCCCCAGTCTGGTAACGGGCGTCGCCGTGATGGTCCAGGTTGGGGATATCTCCGAGCTTGCACGATGTACAATTCGTACTCATCTTCGAATGTTGCTCGATGGAAGAGAGGAAAATCATCGTGGACGTTCTTGAAGTATGATTGAATCAGCTGCTCCAAGACGTCATTGGAGGGGAGTTGTCTAAGAATCTCATTCATGTCGGCAGTTGGAAGTCGGGTAAAGTCGCGGGCAATAGCAGAAGTTATTGAGCCAGGCGAAAGTCCATCCTGGGGAGCTGCTTCAGCAGAGCCTTGCTGGCCTGTATTATCGTCGTCTTGACCATCGGCTTCAAGGAGACGCGACGTGTTGTCCTGGGTAAACCTTGTTGAGCCCTCACGACCAGGAGACTCGTGAGGGCTGTTGTTGGCATCAACAAGCTTACGAAGCTGATTCCAAAAGTTGAGTGTGCCTGAAGGACCAATGTAATGCTCGTGACCAGAAACATCTTTAACTAGCGAGGCCTGGGGTTCCTCGCTCTGTGACTTGACCCCAGTTGAAGAAGCATCACTCTCCGTAGACTGAGTAGTGACAGTAGAAACCTCAGGCCCGGTTGGAGTTCGCTGGGTAGGCGATTGCACGATATTCTCAATGGCAACCTGTTTTCGGTTGGGGTCGGCTGTGTTGGGCATGTCATATCCCATCCGCCGACCCAAGTTTTCAAGATCCTTGACTGTATCGAGTGCTTCATTTGGAAAGGCGCCTTTGACGATGGCCTCGAGACAACGATATCTAGCCTCTGTCAGTAACAGATACAAACAACCAGACTTCAGTGACTAACCTATCGCTAAGATCATCTAAGCTCCCATAGAAACGCGTCTTTCGCGGTGCCGTGTAAGAGCAAGTCGCATTATGCTCCAAGCACGTTACGCACCCCGTCCCAGATGGAGACGGAACACACCTACATCGTCGCTGAACCAGTCAAACAAGCCCCTGCCCGCCAAGGAGGATCCATACCTTGCGACAGCGGTCACAGCTCTGAGCATTCCGCTTCCGGAACTCGTCAGGAATCCGCCTTGTCCGCCTCTTGGCAGCAGTCGAAGTCTCGGATGCAGCATCCATGGCTCAAGATTGTCAAAGGAGTCATCGAATCGATGTCACCATCCAGAGGAAGCACAAACTTGACAATGAGGGGGCAGGGGTTATCGGAAGCATGCTTCCGACTATATCCGTAGATTGCATCAAGCTGAATGCGGGGATGGGCGATGATGTGATCGCACTAGCCAACCTCCAATAGGAACTGGACTAGCCGACTCTTACTTGGACCTCCACTCTCGTCATGTTTCGTCGTATCGTCAGTTCAACTCCTTCGAAGCTATACTATCCTAGACGGAATCACTTTATAAGACAGTTCAGGATGGCGAGCACCTTGACTCTGCCCGACTCCAGGACCCTGGCCTACGCGCTGGACGCCACGCCCAAGGATGGGCCATTGGTGATCCTCTCCAACCCCCTCAGCGCCTCGTTCTTGCTCTGGGACCATGTCGTCAAGGTCCTCAATGAGAATGGCTTCCGTACTCTGAGATATGATCAGCCTGGCCATGGAGGCTCATCAGCACCAAAGAATTTAGATGCCACCTTCGACTCGATGGCTGATGACGTGTACCATCTTTTGGAGTCGCTAGAAATTAAGAAGGTCGACTCATGGATTGGTGTCTCTATGGGTGCATCGACTGGTATTTATTTTACCACCAAGTATCCCAACACAGTCAGCAAGCTCGCCATCTGCGATACAATTGTGTCGTCGCCTGTCAACGCCGGAGTTGAAGATCTTTTTGTTCAGAGAGTGGCTGCTGCCCGAGAAGCCGGTAACCTCGAAACAACGATCCAAGGGACAATGGAACGCTGGTTTGGCAAAGAGTGGCTGGAAAAGAATCCAGAGGAGGCTCAAAGGGTGCAGGCCCTCATGTCTAAGACAACCGTCGACGGTTTCGAAACATGCTGCAATGCCCTCAGCAGCAAGACCTTCGATCTACGACCTCTTCTTGGAAAGGTTGGCAAATCAATCGATGACGCCGTTGTAATCGTGGGCCAGAATGACGCAAACCTACCCAAAGTTATGGCAGAGATGAGAACCAAAATTGATGACGGCTTCAAGGCTGCAGGAAAGGAAAAGCTCATTTCTCTGTTTGTCATCAGGGATGCAGGACATGTTTGCTTCATTGATGGGCTGAAGCAGTTCACCGACACCATCCTGGCGTGGTTGACGGCTGATCAGAGGCGCCGTGAGATCGAGGCTCTCAAGTCAAAGCAATCCTAGCCAAATCGAGGTGATTAGGTGAGATATCTATCTAAAATGAATAAAAGTTGTGATTACCATGTTTATCTTGTGACGACGACTGTCTCCTTATTTAGAACTAGGTGAGGTTGTAGGAACGACGTGGCTTAATAACGAGGCTGTTTCGAAGGTTATGGAAGATATAAAAGTGGCGTTGTTACTACTTCTATAATGCACTCCAGATAGTTGGTCATCCTGTCACTAGCGCATAGAATGATTCTGGATTAAGGAGCGAGGACCTCAAAGTGTTGGAGCTCATGGCAGTCTAATCACACGCCCTCAAGACCCCTTATCATGCCTTCCAATTGATCGGGATGTTTGATAGTCGTCGTCAGATTATCAACGCCAGTCGGTGTTACAAGTACATTATCCTCGATGCTACCTTGGGTCAGCCTTCAGCCGTGGTTTCAACGAACATGCAACTTACCGAATACCGCCCACATCCCAGTATTTATCCAGAACATCCGAGTTGATGAGGTCCTTGTGCCGTTCGTCTTGAAGATAAGGACGGATAATGTGCTCGCAGAAATAGATCTAGAGGCTTAGCAGAGGCTGTGAAGATGAAGGGGGACGCTTACACCCGGTTCCACGGTGACTACACTTCCGGCTGGGAGCGTCCCTCTCGTTCTAAGATAGCGCAAGTATTTGTTCTCGTCGTCGAAATTGGGATTCCCTCCAACATCATGAGTATCAAGTCCGAGATAATGGCCAAGTCCATGAGGGAAGAATGCTAAGCTTGTCTGGGCCTTGAGGATATCGGCCTTTGCGCCTTGGAAAATGCCGAGCTGAAGCAGACCCTCCACGGCAATCTCGTGAGCAAGCATGTGGACATCTTCCCATCTTACACCCGCTTTTATGATGGCAATGCATTCCATTTGCATCTTATATACGATGTCGTATATCTGTCGAGATTCTTTCGTAAAGGTGCCTGACAAAGGGAAGGTCCTTGTCTATCTCGAGTTAGTAGTGTTGGGTGTCACACAGGACATCAACTTACAATGTCAGAGGCGTAGTTGTTCCACTCAGCACCAGCATCAACCAAGAGATTCTGCTTTCCCCCAAGGGGTTGATCATTGGCTTCGTAATGCAAGATGGCTCCAGAGCGACCAGCGGCCACAATGGGAGGATACGCCATCTTCTTGGCACCGTGTGCGACGCAGTGGCCTAGAAACGTTGCCTCCAGTTGCATCTCGTTGCTTGCCTTAGAGGCCTGTTTCGTTATGGCTTCATGGCCGAGGCTTGAGATGTTGTTTGCCTTTCGGATCATGGCTACCTCGTACTTATCTTTGACGACTCGACACCGGTCGATGACGCCTTTGAGAATGGACGAGTCGACATTGTCGAGCCCGAATTTGATGTGCGGGCAAACTTGGTCCGCGATGGTATAGACTGTCGATTCCTGAGACCCGGAAAGATGGGAGAGGATATTGTCGAGTTCGGTCGAAAATTTGACTTCATCGACGTCATACTTCTCGAGCCCTTGTTGGGGGCTGAGAGGGAGGCCGGACCAGACAACCTCTTCGGGATCTATCGGGGGAATGAACAGAGTGGACTTGGAAGAATCGATATCGTATAAGAGATAGCAGTTGCTTAGATCACAGCCTGTGAGATAGTAGAAGTGTCGACGCTGCCTAGGTGCAAGGATGTCAGTTCAGCAAGCGCCCATAAGTCAAGTGATGACACACCGAAAGGGTTCAAACTCATCGCTATCTTCCAATAGCTTAGACATTCGCCCTTCAAGATACAGATAGCCCTTGGCATTAGGAACCTTCTCTCGTAAGAGCTCCACGACCCTCAGCGCGTGAGACTTGCCGGGATACTTCCCGCTCAGGATTCGGTCCAAGTCTTCGGCGAACATGGCTGCCGGCTTTCCGATGCTTATCTCTGACTTGCAGGGCCCAGAACAATTAAAGTCAGATGATTCATTCTGAATATTGTAATCTCATTGAGCCTCATGTATGGCTTTAAGTGGTCGCTACCTAGGTTGAGCATGCGTCGGCGAACTTGTGGTGGAGACGCCTCGGCTGAGGGCAACTCGCCGATCAGGGGCCCCACGGCGGCTCTTTGCGGCCCTATTTTTATCAAAAATCAGTTCGCCGATGGTTGCTTCGCCTGAGTAATACATGCAGCATGGATTGGTTATTAAACGAGGGTCTCAAGTTGGCCGAAGCTGACCTCGTCTACAGGTATCACATCCTGTTGGCTCGTCAAGCTGGGTTACCCCGGTCCGTGACCAACAGTTGTTGGTGATGACTTGAACCCCCGGCATGTAGGAGCATGGGGGTTTGTGTTGGCTGTTATTGTGTTGTGTTGCAACTACGGACTGATGATGTCCTTGATATGGGACGCCCTCGAACTGGTAGCCTGTACCACTTCTACATTCATCTTTTCCTTGTACAACACCGGTGATTCTACAGTCCGGCCAGTCTTGATGAGTTCTGTGGCTTGTATAAAGAACGACTCGATGCGCAATATGACGGGCCGGAGAAGCACCTTGGCCGCAATGTCTTCCGTAGCCCCCAGACGCTGTAATGACAGGTGGAATTTTTCGAGTAGTCGATATGCCGCCTCAACATCCCGCGGCTCCGTCGCTAATAGGAACAAGTAGATTAGGAAGTTGCCACACAAGATCAACTGAGATCGGGCATCTAGTTCGGTTAGTGGTCAGTTGACGATCCGTGAACTTGATCGGGGAACTTACGACGACCCCAGAAGCTTGTTAGCTCATTCTCCGTGATATACGCCATGAAAGTAGTAAAGTTGTCGAACTCTGCTAATGCCGTTGACAACCATCTGCGGAGATTTGAACCGGGGTTCGCTTTCGCCGCTTTCGTGGCTGGGTACATGAGCCCACGAAACAAGAGCACATGGGTGGCGTAGTACGATAGGTGAAGCGGGCCTGTTTGTGTAAGAGGATGCAGGCTTCGGCCAACTTGAAAGACTCACCGTTGGAAGTATTGGGCCCAACGGCCAAGCAGTTCGGGACAAGGCTTGGCCATTCCCTTAGCTTGTCTCGTATAGGAATGAGTTGAGTGCGCGTCTGCACAGTTGCTTTGACGCCACTAAAAGTGCATTAGAAACGGCTTGTATATCGGATTTGACTTGACTAACCAACTACAATCAAGGATGACGCGCGTGTCTCGAGCAATATTGATCATCTCAAGGAAGCGAACACCGTCAGGCACGCGGAAGGATGTGTTGCAAGGATCGACCATGTGATGCAAGTCCAGGGGAAGGTCTTCATCAGACCGGAGATCCTCCAGGTCTGGAGGTGACGTGGTGAATGTGTCAGCAGCAATGTGTGGAGGGTTCCCATGGCAAACGGCTGACCAGCAGTCAGTAAAGTAGGTGGCCCACCAGAGCTTCCTCCGCAGCTTCTTTTCCCATGGAGCAATGTTCCATTTGGTAGGGTCTTTGTGAAGGCCAATCATCTGAGCGGCCGCTGTGGCTTGCGACGCCATGATCCAGGTATAGGGAGTTTCAACGCTATCGATGTCGGGAGGAACCATGTGCATTAGCAGCAGGGCAGCCTGCAACCTCCAGAGGTTCGGCGACTCCAACTCTCGCCTAAGTGACTCTTGTGCATGGTTGGTGAGGTCATGTTGCTGGAATGGACAAGGGCCTTCAAGGGATGGGTCCTTTCGCCAAAAGACACAGGCCAACGCGTAAACGGCGCCCCGCAGCGACGAGGGGATATCGAGCTTGGCAGTCAGATATTGGCGTAGGAAGCGACCCTTGGAGATGACGGGAAACGCGGAGTGGACATGTCGGAAATACAGCCGGACCAGAGCTGGGCCGTGGGGCCAGACAAAGGTCTCGATGGCATCGGATGCGGCTTGCTTAGCCTGGTTCTTGTGTGCGGGGAACTCATCTTGCAGCAAAAGGAAGTGAATGGGGTGGTCATCTGGGTCTTGTCCGCCGGGATAGACCTGGAGGAAGCTGGCGTCAATGCCCTCCCGCTCACTCAGGAGGAGGGATCTGAAGGCGTCGAGGAAGTAGGGGTCCTGCTCGGCGGCCAATCCCATGGCATGCGTCGTCTTGTCGGGTTCATCCTCGAGCGAGTGGACAATTTCGTCTGCTGGGTCCTGCATCGGCGAATCGACGCCAGCCGACGCCACAGATTCTTGGCCGACAGGTCCTGGTCCTGATTGGCGGACGAGGCCGTCATGGACGACGGCAGCCGACTCGGCTCGTTGGGGGTTGCTTTCAGAGGCTGACGGTGAGATGGCAGAGATTGACGGTGACTGTGGGCTGGAGCTCGATGGTGCAACGCTCTGGGTGTTTGCTCGGGATGCTAATAGCGCGTCTGGATCTGAGAGCGATTGACACACTAGGCCCCGACTCTTACAAAAGAGGCCTGCTTATCGTTAGTAGGTGTTAGCAGGTCGTCTGTGTGCGGCAGCGCTCACATGGCGGCTCTGAGGTAATAACGCAGGCCGTTTTCCGTCGGCGACACGCGTCACACGGCCTGTTCTTACGGCTCCGAGGCTTACGGGCCTGGCCAAACTTGCTGCGGATGGTGAATTTGCGGGGGGGTGCGAGGGTTCCCGCTCCCGCTCCGCGATCCGGCGCGTCGGTACCCGTGAGATTCTCCATCCTGGTCCGCCGGTCCGGTCCCCACGCGAGGCGGCTGGGCTGGATGTTGACGAGGAGGGGAGGGAGGATGTCTGTCGGCCAAATCACGCGACGGGGGGGGACACGGGTACAGATAAGTTGGCCGAAGGAAAAGGAGTGGTCCAGGCTTTTTTTTTCTCAAGTTGGCCGATGTTACTTTGTTGGCCCCGGCGACATCGGAATGTGTATTGACGGGGAAATGAAGGGAGGTGAGAGGAGAGGGAGGATGACTAACGGAGATCACGGGAACTAAGGTTTGGCATTAACCCAAGACGGAGAATGAGGCCGAAAGGGGTTGACGATGGGGTCTTGGTGGAGATAAGAGCATGGGTGTTGAAGGACTTCAATTGCTTGTACGTGTTATTCGTATAACTCCGTAAATCATTGGACAATTTTACTAATCTTGTAGACTAAACTTGACACATTCTTATCTAAACAGACGTCGTCACTGATGCCGCTCCCTTGCGAGGATCAGCCGAAGGAGAGGAGTCCTCAATCTGAGTCCCAGCCTCGGCGTAAGTAATGTCCCAGCGACCATGATACAGCTCCTGTACTTCCTTCGCTGATGGGCTTTCTTGAACGAAAGCATCAAGCTTTGTATCTGGGACCAGGCGATGAAGCAAGGCATATACAAATGCGCTTGCCATGAAGCCATACATGTAGTTGAGATAGTACAGCTCAATGGCACCATCGGAGATGGAGATGGACAGGTTGACGGCTGCGATGAAGCCAGGAAGAAGAGGTGCAACACCAACGACCCACTGTGCAAAAGTTAGTGCATGTTGTTTGACAGAGCGGAGAGTACATACCGCGATCGGAGCGCGCCAGTTCAGGCCCTTGTAGTACCAGTAGATGCTGTTACTGTCCCCAGTGTACAGGTCATCCACATTGACCTTCATCTTGGCCACTACGATATAGTGTGCCACCATCAATCCAGTCATTGGAGCAAGGAACACGCCATATCCAGACAGTACTGTCAGGAAAGTCGTGGCCGTGTTGACAAGACGCCAAGGGTTGACGACTGGGCTGAGGAGGGCAACGATGTAAGCTCCTCGTCGAATGTTGATGTACTTGGGGAAAGTTGAAGCCAAGTCCATGCCCCCAGACAGTGCGTTTCCGGGGAGGTTACTGCCAAGCTGAGAGATGGCCAACGCGAGTCCAGCGAAAAAGACGGCTGCACGGGTTCCAGCATTATTGTCCTTTGCGAGCAGGCCAACAAAAAGAGTGGGCGGGTTCCAGATGGCTTCGCCCATACGTTTCTGAGTGGCAGCCGTGACAAGAATTCCAATGACAGAAGCAATGATGCTGTAGAAGGGGAATGCAAAGGCTTGTCCCCAGATAGCATCGCTTGGTCGGCGGGAAAGTCGAGCATAGTCGTTTTGGTTGAGGATTCCAGCTGCAATGGAACCAACCGTTGACATGATGCCGGAAATCATGAGCCAAACGGTGCTATTAGGGCTTCCAGTCAACGGAATGTCTGTACCCGACTTGAGAGTGTCGCCAAACCCGTCTGGTCCCATCGTAGCCAAAGCCCAGATGAGCAGGACGAGGAAGAAGATCAGCGTCACCGTGCTGGCAAAGTAAAAGAACTTTTCAATCCGGTGAGGTCGAATCCAGAGAAACGGAAGACTGATGATGCAAAAGACAAAGTACGACAGAAACTGGGCGGATGTCATGCCCGTGTCTGCGGGGATCTTGTTTGGGATGTGCTTCTCGAGGTTGGGGTCCCACGAGAGAAGCATCAAGTAGGTGCATTCACCTCCGACCCATGATTGGAAGCCATACCTATTATTGTGAGTAATTGGAGAGGAAATGAAGTAGATCTACTGACCAGACTGAGATTCAGTTAGCATTATCATCGACAAGGAGGATGAAGAGTAAGACTCACCAAATGCAAGAAAGATACGGTTCCAGATGACGAATTGGGAACCCCAAGTGCCCCAAACAGCCCGACTAAAGACGGGAAAACCAACTGCTAGAATTAGCATCTCAGCCTTGCGATGGTGGGTCGAAACATACTATGGTAGTAGGCTCCAGCAAGGGAGCTGAGGATGAGGGCAACAGTAGCAATGATGTTGCCAATGATGATGGCTACAGAAGAGTCAGATCAATAAAACACATACAAGCAATCAATTGATACTCACCAATAATAGCCTGCCACCAGGTAAGGCCCAGAGGAATAAGAGCGCTTCCAGTAAGGTATGTGGCGATGTTGCAGTTGATTAGCAGCCCTGCGAGAAAAACCTTGTCAGCCTTGTCCTCGCCACGGCAGAAAAACGCGTGACACGCAACGCACAGAAGTTGTGGAACGTCAGAAACGTCCAGGTGCGTCTCTCCGACCCGACAGGTCGGACATCCTCGTTCTGCAGGACATGGTTAATCAATCACATTGGACGGCAGGGCCAGGGAGGGGTCGCATACAATCCACCGGGATCCACGTGGCAGCTCGATGCGTTTGAGCAATGCTGACGCTGCCATGGTGATTCGCGGCCTAGACGCGTCAATTGTTGGAGATGGGGGTTCTTGATGGGATGAGGATTCTCCAGAGCTGTTGAGGAGGCTTGATTGACTGCCGTTCGACGTCTTTAAAGGCCCTCTGCTTGAACCATCGCCGGTTGTTTGCGCCCGTGTCAGAGGCATGGTTTTGCAAGAGCTTATCTCCAGAGTACCCCAGATCGGATGGGGCAAAACCATTCCGTCGGTGCTAACGCGACGCTTTGGCCTCGTACGCACTGTCTCAGATCGGGGAACTTTCATCGGGGAACTTTGTCGGCCAACTGAGGCATGTCTAGGCTCCATCGGCAAAGCCGAGTTCCCCGCCAGCCTCCTTCTTGTTGGCTAGGTTTCTATGATCGTCACTTAGTTACGTACGGGTCTTTTTTCTTTTTCGTTGTCTCGGAAATGGAGGTGAAGGAGTTTGGCGATGGCTACAATGGCTCAACTACAAAAGGGTGAGTATCATGGCCGAGTGCTTCAGCCCATGGGCAGCACAACGACCTTGACTAGCCGCATACAAACCGACGACAACATGTCTCTTTACCGCATTGGAGTAGACGTCGGTGGGACCAACACGGATGCGGCCATTCTCGACATCCGCGCCGTCGACACGCCCGGTCGTGGAGTCCTCGCCTCCCACAAGGCTTCTACCACCAGGGACATCACCAGCGGCATAGAGTCGGCGATCCGCGCCGTCATTCGTGACTCAAAGATTGACCAGGGTCGTGTTTTGAGCGTCACTATCGGAACTACGCACTTCATCAATGCACTGGTTGAGGCAGATGCAAGGAGGCTAGACCGGGTCGCTGTCGTTCGACTATGCGGCCCCTTTACACGGCAGCTTCCGCCTTTTTCGGACTTCCCTGTCGGTCTCCGGAGTATCCTTGATGGAGGAGTCCACTATCTCGACGGTGGTCTTGAGATTGATGGGAGAGAGATTGCGCCTCTGAACCCTCAGCAAATCAGACAAGCTGCCCGAGATATCCTTGCATCAGGCATCAAGGCTGTTGCTCTCGTCGGCGTTTTCTCTCCACTCGACCACGAGGGTCTGCACGAGGAACAGTGCAAGAAAATCATCCTCGATGAGGCTCCAGAACTTTTAGTTGTGTGCTCTCACGACATTGGACCTACTGGCTTCCTGGAGCGAGAGAATGCCACCATCCTCAACGCCGCTATCCTCCGGACAGGCCTCCGGGTCAAGAAGGGCTTTAAGCGAGCAATGGCACGACTTCAACTCACTTGTCCACTCTACCTTTCTCAAAACGATGGTACCTTGATCGATGCCGACACTGCAGCCGAGTATCCTATCAAGACCTTTGCCAGTGGTCCTACAAATAGTATGACGGGTGCTGCGTTCCTGGCTGGACTTGATTACAAGAAGCAAGCGGACGCAACATCCGAACCCGACTCGGTGGAACCTCAAGTCCTTGTCGTCGATATTGGTGGTACTACCACTGATGTGTGCGCCCTGTTGCCTTCAGGTTTTCCCCGTCAGGCCCCCGGCTTCGTCGAAGTTGGAGGTGTTCGCACAGCCTTTTCCATGCCTGAAGTCGTCTCTATTGGCTTGGGTGGCGGCAGCAAGGTCCAGGCCGACTCCGAGACTGACAAGCTTACCATTGGACCTGCTTCTGTTGGTCATTGTATTCAGCAAGAGGCCAAGGTGTTTGGAGGCCAGACCTTGACGGCGAGTGACATTGTTGTTGCTCTGGGCAAGGCAGAGCTTGGAGATGCCGCTCTCGTCAAGGATGTACCTGGGTCAGTTGTCGAAAAGGCGCGCAAGGAGCTGAAGAAGATGTTGGAGGGTGTTGTTGAGCAGATGAAGGTCTCTTCAGCTCCAACTCACGTTCTCCTCGTCGGAGGTGGTGCTCTGCTTGTTACTGAGGATCTCGACGGCGTGGACAAGTGCATCGTACCGATTCACCAAGGCGCTGCCAATGCTGTTGGTGCTGCGATTGCCAAGGTCTCTGGCGAGATTGACATTGTCGAGATCCCTGAAGGACGTTCTGAAAAGGAGGTTATCGACGCTGCATGCGCCAAGGCTGTTGATCTGGCTGTTCAGAAGGGAGCAGCCAAGGAAGGCGTGCAGATTGTTGAGATCAACAAGATGCCTCTTCAATATACGCCCAATGGTGCGATGCGCATTCAGATTCGGGCCGTCGGTCATCTTGCAATTCCCAGCGAGTTGACCCCTCCCTCTTCCCCTCCTTTGTCGACGGAGCAAGAATATGAGGAGGATGAGGGGGACAAGGTCAGCGTACCTGATGCCCTGGTTCCCACCTACAAGCCATCTCTCCACGTCGATTTGGAAACCTACCGGCCTGACGTACAAGATGGCATTTGGTACGTGTCAGAAGTTGACTTGGAGATGATGGCTACCGGATGCGGAGTTCTTGGAACTGGAGGCGGTGGTCCTACGCATCACGAATTTCTCAAGGGCTTGCACGCTCTACGAACCGGGGGTCACAGGAAGATGAGGATTATTTCTCCAAAGTCTCTCAAGGATGACGCTGTCCTTTGCTTTGGCTCTTGGTACGGTAGTCCCAGTGTTATCAACGAACGGATCGCTGGTGGGACCGAGATTTCTTCTGGCATCAATGCTGTCAACAAGGTTGTTGGGAACAAGTCTTTTGATGGCATGTTTATTGATGAGATGTGAGTGACCCCAATAATTCTTCGAAAGCTCCTCTAACTTGAACAGTGGTGGTGGAAACGGTCTGAGTGCTTTTCCTACCGGCGTTCACTTTGACGTCCCGGTTGTTGATGGAGATGCTATGGGTCGAGCTTATCCTACCATGTATCATGGTAAGTTCTAAGGCTCTTTCACTCCTCCAAATTCGATACTAACTTGCCTTAGCCACTTTCAGCGTGTACGGTCATTCTCTCGTTCCTTGTGTGGTCTCTGACGCCCGGGGAAATGCAGGCGTGGTTCTGGTGAGCAAGTCCCCAAACACACATCACACTTGTGCTAACAGCAACAGAATGCGGACTCACCTGTAAGGTTGGAGAGTATCCTTCGAAATACTGCCATCGAGCTTGGTCTAGGCTGCGCTGTGTGCGCGAACCCGCTGTCCGGCGCAGCGATCAAGTCCCACGGTGTCCCCAACACCCTCTCTCTAGCGTGGTATCTCGGCCGCGCTGTTCATGCTGCTCGGCGCCAGAAGTCGAGTTACATAGATGCCATTGTGAGTTACTTCAGTTGTCCTACAGGCTTTCGGCGCGTTGGCTAACACGATACAGTTTGACGTCTGTGCTGGAAAGCTCCTCTTCACTGGCAAGATTATTGATGTCCGTCGTCATGTTGGCGGCGGCTACACCATGGGAGCTGTTGTCATTGCTCCTCTGAATGAAGATGAGCGAGAGTCTGCTGGCTCAAGTCAACAATCTGCCCCGACTGACAGCCACATGTTTATCCCCTTCCAGAACGAGTATCTGTACGCCGCCTTGAGCGATGCGGATGGCTCGGAAGATTCTCAGAAGGTGGTATGCACAGTCCCAGATCTCATTTCTATCTTGGGCCAGGATGGCGAGGGTATTGGCTCTCAGGATTTAAGGTATGGTCTGAGGGTTAACGTCATTGCGCTACCTTCGCACCCGCTTTGGAAGTCGGAGGAGGGTATCAAGGTGGGAGGACCGGAAGGATTTGGACTCAAGATGCCATTCACCGGAGTTGATAACGACTTTACCGAGGCCCGGAGTGTTATTGAGGAGTTTGGGGTATAAAATAATGGCAGCTGGCACAAAGGGTGACTTTGTTCGGAGGCTCGGGGGTCTTAATCTGGATGGTAGATTCGTGGATAAAAGTAATAGACACGAAAATGAATATGAAACATTATTGAGGCTAGTTTCATGTGTGATGACGTAATTATTTACAGCCAAATGTTAGTGAATGTTATCGTGATTTCTACATGTGAAACTTGGTGTTTTCAGAGGTTTAAAATAAAGGAGAGCTCGTGAGTTATAATCTTCCATAATAGCAACGCTCTACTTCACTATGCGGTCACTTTAAATCTAATGAATTAAAAACAGAACGGAATAACACGTTAATAATTGCCTAAACCACCAGGAACGAGAGATATATCTGTCTGTTGACTCTCGTGGCGATCTTGTGAGGGACAGAGACAGCTTACCCTAGAACCGCGCTTCAATGCCGCTAAGCCTAAATTGGACAAGCTCACCCGAGGAAAGAGAAAAGACCAGACGAGAATGACATCACCGAGGAGTCAAATTGGCCAAACACCATCGACGGAATTGTCAGGGAGGCTTCAGAGGGCATACGCGAGTCGATATCTCTCCAACACGACCCAAGTCGACGCCCTGTTATCAGCTCAATCCTCAGATTGTTATCTACGAAACTCCACTGACTTATGATTGGAAAATCTCTGTATCCTCCGCATCATCCGTGACAATTGCCGACAATGTTCTAGCCCCAACTTCGGCAAGTCGCAAGATTACGTCGAGGAGGCCAGCTCCTCGCCTCGTTCAGTCAATGTCTTCAGTAGTAAGCTAATCACAGATACATTTAACCTTGTAAGCCAGTTAAACGCCCCTTGAGATCGCATCTCGGGGTCTCAGACACTCGTTGCCGTGTTCAATTGCCGAAACCTGTGGGGGCCTGACACCCCAATACCCCAGGTTGGCTGTGGGGCCCAGTTCTGGAGTGCAGCCGAACACCGAGTTTGCCTCGAAGAACTGGTGTAAGTGGTTATCGTATAAAAAGAGGGAGGCCAGAGAAGAAAGTAGGCCTTGGATTCATGCCAACCATTCCCTTCAACAACTGGTTTCCTTCCCCCTTTGCCCGTTTGTTTTCAACATGAACAACGGCTTGATTGAAACTCTTCTTAGCAACCTCGCCCGTCACTGGGTGTTGGTATTGGTTTCTTTGGTTTTGGGATGGCTTGTCAAAAACCGTTATCACCATGGCTTGAACAAGTACCCCGGACCTTTCCTCGCTTCTTTGACGGATTGGTGGAGATTCGTTGATGTCTACGGTCAGCGACCAGAGGTTACTCTCCAAGCACTCCACGCCAAACACGGAGATATTGTTAGGATAGGACCCAACACTTTGTCCTTTGCCGACCCTGCCGTTCTCAAGTCCATCTATGGCCTGAACAAGGGCTATATCAAGGTATGCTACTATGTTGGCTTAGCATAAACGATGTACTAATCCACAATAGTCCGACTTTTACATCGTCCAACAGTCCGTCGTCAAGGGTCATCGCCTTGCATCCCTCTTCAGCACCACCAACAATGACTTCCACTCCCAATTCCGCAGAAGCGTCAATTCGGCCTTTTCCATGAGTGCACTCGTCCAGTACGAGCCTTTCGTCGACAACACCACCAAGCTGTTCCTCAACCAGACTGAAAAGCTGTTTGCTGGAAAGCCCGAGGGTTGCGACTTTACACAGTGGCTTCAGTTCTATGCTTTTGATGTCATTGGCGAGATTACTTATAGCAAGCGCCATGGGTTCATTGAGAAGAATGAGGACGTGGAGGGTATCGTTGCATACCTTTCCAAGCTGTTCCTCTACGTCGCTCCGGTAAGTCCCCTGTAGATATGGCATGGTACAAGCTAACAATACCAGATCGGTCAAATACCATTCTTGGACCTTGTGTTCTTAAAGAATCCTATCTACCTCAAGCTCTCCCAATGGGGCCTGTTTGACTCGACGTTCCCCGTCGCTAAATTTGCGCGCGCTCGAATGGCCGAGCGACTCATCCCTGAGCTCAACTCCGACGCCGTCCTTCCTACCACCGACATCAAGAAGCAGGCTTTGGGACAGGATTTGCTTTCCAAGTTTATCGCTGCCCGAGAAGCTCGACCCGAGTTTATGACCGACACATTGGTGCAGACAATGGCTGTGTCAATGGCCTTTGCTGGCTCCGAGACGACGGCCATCACCCTCTCTGCAGTCTTCTACTACCTCCTCCGCAATAAGTCTTCCTACTACAAGCTTCAGAAGGAGCTGGATGAGGCTTCAAAGGCTGGAGCCTTTTCGGATTATGAGACTGGCCTCGTCACCTTTGCCGAAGCTCAGCGATTCCCCTACCTTCACGCCTGTATCCAGGAAGCCTTCCGGATGCACCCTGCACCTGGTCTCCCGCTTGAACGAATTGTGCCACCTCAAGGAGCTGAGATTGGCGGCCACCACATCAAGGGCGGTACTATCGTCGGAGCTTCAGCATGGCTGATTCACAATCGCCCTGAGATCTTTGGCGATGACACTAGCGAGTACCGACCTGAACGATGGCTCCCTGACCCCAACGCAAACCCAGAGGATGAAGATAAGCGAATTAAGAAGATGAGTGGTATGATGTTTCAGTTTGGCATGGGTAGCCGAACTTGCATTGGAAAGAACATCAGTCTGCTGGAGATTTACAAGGTCGTGCCGAGTCTTTTGCGACGATTCGAGGTGAGTTTCACAGACACTGAACTGAAGAAAATCAGCTAACTTTGACAGATTGACTTCCAAGATCCTAGCAAGGAGTGGAGGATTATCAATGCTTGGTTTGTGAAGCAAGCTGACTTTAATGTCACGTTTACACGGAGACAGCTGGTGCAGCCGGAGATCACGGAGAAGGCCGGTTAGAAGGAATGAGTCACGCAAGTATAAATAGAATGTATAGTAATGACTGAATGATTGTTCATAACATTTAATGGTAGCCCTGATTCAATTCCTTAATGCTTCTTGTGTTTGCCATCGCCGAATGCATCTTTGTGGGCTCTTCCACCAAATCCCCAACCAATCTGATGAGCAACATGGATGTCCGTCTCAAGTTCATCGGCCCAGGCCCAGACGAGGCCAGGGTTTTTCTGGAACATGCGTGCAGCTGCAATCAGGTCCAACGGAGTATCGTCTTCATCCTTTCCTCCAGAAATGACGTCTTGAGCCACCTGGCCGGTCTTGATGTTTCCCACTGAACTGACCAACATCTTGTCCCCAACTGCAGCCTTGATCTTCTTGGCGAAGGGAGCCTGGTATGCGGGACCGCCAATGATCTTTTGCTGTGCGTGGTTGCCACCGCTTGACACATCGAGAACATCAACTCCCCGCTCGGCCAGGATTTTAGCTAGCTTGACGCTCTCGTCAATGGTCCAGCTCTCTTCCTTCCAGTCGGGGTTGGTATCGAGCCACTCCGTAGCACTGATACGAACAAACAGAGGCATACCCTTGGGAATCGCCTCTCTCGTCGCATCAACGAGCTCAATGGCCAGACGAATGCGGTTCTCAAAGGTCCCTCCGTATTCATCCGTCCTCTTGTTGACGGCGGGGGAGAAGAAGCTCGAGACGAGGTACCCGTGGGCAAAGTGTAATTCAATGACGTCAAAGCCAGCCCCGACAGCGCGATTGACGCCTGAGATGACATCGTGCTTGAACTGATCAATCTCGGCGATAGTCATTGCGCGAGGAGTAGGAAAATGCTCGTTGAAAGCTTCGTCGCTTGGACTGACGACGTCATCTGGCCATCCGCCGACTTCTTTAGATGCGGTGGCTCCCGAGCTCAGCCAGGGAGCTACGGTAGATGCCTTACGACCGGCGTGGGCGAGTTGGATGCCGATAAGGGCGTTTTGGCTGTGGGCGAAGTCGACGTGCTTCTTGAGGGTGTCGACATGGGCGTCAAGCCAAATGCCAGAGTCTTCAGGTGTGATGCGGCCGTTTGCTTGCACTGCGGTCGCCTCAATCATCACAAGGCCGGGCTGTTTTGAGATTCAGCAGAGGAAATAGGGAATGGCATAGGAATACTCACGCCGCGTTGCAGCATCCCGCCGTAGTGGGTAATGTGCCATGGAGTGTGGAAGCCTTCATGTGCACTATACTGGCACATTGGAGCAACCCAGATGCGGTTTTGCATTTCAATGCCACGGATCTTCAAGGGAGTAAAGAGCTTGGGGATGGGCTTTCCAGAAGCCTGAGGCTGGATGGCCGTTCCGGATCGTGGATCCTGCTCTGGGGTGAAGAAGGGGACACCCTTGGAAGCCTTGTTGTAAATTGGCTGATGGCACTTGATCTCTTTTTCGGGCGCTGGAGTCTCTGGTCTAGAGACGGGAATGCCATGATGAGGATGGCAGATTCGCTGGGTGAGGTATGCCGCCATCTTGAGTCTGCGAGTGGTGGTCCGATATCAATGCTGATGCTGATGTCAAGATCTGTGCCTGGATATCGCCAGCCTTGGCCCCAAGCTTTATATCGATAGATAAAGTAAAAAATTGTCTTCATTCTGGCTCGATAATTCGGTCATAGTTCCTCCGGAAGCTTGATTTGCTTAGCAATCTTGGTTGAAGCTTTCGCGCCCTACACAACGTTGTAGGGCGCTGTTGGTCCCAAAGTCACAACGTTAAAAAGGACGTAAATGCGGGCCTTTGTTGGTTACGTTGATCTGTTTTTGTCAGCTCGTTACGTTAATAAACCCACAAGAATTCCCACAATTTTTGACGGCATTTTGAACGCCGATTCACGGTCTATTGCATCGGTTGATGCAATTCACCGACGACTTTCACGTGGGGACGGGGCCACGCCTAAACATCCATATCCAGGTTGCTTGCGTACGTGCCAACTCAGACCCGAAAGGCATCACTGGTATGGCCTCAAGATAGGCAACCACACAATGGCCTTGAAATACGCCCAAGGCACCCGCATGTTCGTACACAGCCCGCATGACTACCCACACTTCATGCCAAGGCCATCTTCTATCTCTTGATTTGATAGACCATTGTAGTACAA